TAAGCAGTACAATTTTCTATTTATTTGCTTACACAATGTCAAGAACATTCCAAGGACCTACACTGATCCGACCAGAAAAATCAGCTGTATCTTATCCATTCACTTCAGTGAATGCAAGAGCACATCTTACATATATGTGGATGTTTCCCTCTTCCAGCAGCTCTAAAATACATGCTTTGGAAAGAGGTAACAGAAGATGTAATTTTTGCACACATCAAAATCCCTTGTGTGTAATTGAGTGGAGTATTCATAAAATAAATAATGTATTAGGATGTCCTTTGAGCTGTTCTTGCCCTGTGCCCAGTAACCCTAAAAACCACAAAAGTCCACAGAAAGGAGGACAAGGAGCAGAAACTCACCACAGTTATGCCATCATTTAGCAGCGACTCTCCAAAGATCATCATGTAAAGCTGCTCATTAACAGAGGCTTCTTCAAAAACTACCAGAGCTGCCACGGGGTCCACTGCTGAAATCATGCTGCCAAAGAGCAAGTTCTGCAGCAGGTTCAGGTCACTCAGGCCGAAGGCTTCGATCTGGCAGATTCCATAGAGGGAGAGACCAATCCCAAATGAGTTTAGCAGAGATCCCAGAAGAGACCACCACAGAATGGATCCAAAGTTTTCAAAAAATGGTCGAGTTGGCATGAAATAACCCTCCTCCAGGATAATGGGTGGGAGGAGATACAAGAAGTAAATACTACTGTCCATCACCGGTGGAGATTTGTGATGGGAAGCAAAGATGATTGCTCCTACAAGTGCTCCAATGGCAATCAGGATGCAGCTTTCAGGCATGAGTCTTGGTAATCGGTGAAAGATATGGAAGCCTTGAATAAAACATTAGGGGATTATTCAAATTTAAATTAATCTGATGTCAGACAATTGTCTTGCCTGTATTTGGACACTTTGTCTTCAGACAGCCAGTTTTTGCTCTAAGGATTATGAAGGTAAAAACAGGCCATATTGTTCCCTTCAAAACTAAACACTCCCACACTCATATCACTAAAGCAGGGCAAGAGTTTGACCATGAATTTCTTCTCTTCCGCTGCCCAGCTCCTGATTGCTGAGCATGTATGAGTTGAAGCTCCAGTTCTGGGAAAGCAGAAACTTCTTTGAAATGATCCTCCACAATTTGGAAAGAAAATATTCAAGAATCCTTACTGCCCACCTGCTACTGGCTTGTCTAATCACTATACAAGGATCTGTATGATCATAGTGTGAATGAGATGTGCCTGTACTAAAAAGTCAGGATTTTTATAACATTTACGAGAACGAGACCGAGGCAGAGTAAGAAACCTTTAAATCTGAGGTCTGTAACTCCATGCTTGAAGCTAGGTCAGCCTTCATCTTGCAACTCTAGAAGATTCTACCATGACAGCATTTCTGTGACCCTTGAATTATCAGTCTTCAAAAGCAAAGGGATACAATAATATTTTTATGAAACTTTCAATAATTTTTTAGGACACGACTTTTTTTTTACCAAGATGTATGCTTATATCATAACTCTAATAATCTGCTTTTTAATTTAAAAACTCATTTTCAAGTCTTCTTCCAGTCTTACAGATAAGGAGAGTGTTTTGCCTTTCAAGATCTTGGAACTGTTTCCCTTTCTTACGTCTTGAAATCCAGAAAGAAGATAATACCTGAAACAAAACACTGAAAGCTTTAACTGTTTGGAAATCTTCTTCCCTGGGTAACCAGAATATTCAGACTAACTCTTTCTTCCAAATATACCTAAAATTAATAACTCATCAAAAATAATTTTATTTGAAAACTCGCAATAAAAGTAACAGATCCACCTGGGATCACAGACACAGTTCTTTTAAAGTACCTATTTCATGTTCAAAACAAGATTATGTAGATGTGCCATATGTCAATTCCAGGACTTTTATGGATGATAAATAAAGAATTTTGTCAATAGGCTTAATATTAACACACTCTGCTGATGCCATAACAAGTTTTATTTGTGAAAATTTTGATTGTTATATTACCAGTGAAGTCATTTGTAGGAATCAGATTGAGGGCATCAGCTGTAATGAAACGGGCAAATCATGGATAGTGGTAATGACTTTTGTCAGCTGGGTAACTATGACAGGAAAAATGTTTATCTTCAGGCCACCTCCAGAAAAACATCAGTCTCACCTACCAGCTTGTTCTAAGAAAAAGTTTGAAAATCCCACAAAAGGTAAAAAGAAAAGGGATATTTTATATGTGCAACTCTTCACATAATTACCATCTTATTCATTTATTTGATATTGCTGCATTAATTCTAAATGGTCAAAATAATTTCAGCCCAGCCAGGAAAATGCATATGATGAGCCTTTTTTTGCAGTATCAGTTACAGTTCCTACTGCAATTGCTACTCCCTGTGTTGCCTTTCCCCTTTCAGATACCCACATAGAGCTCTAATAGAAGCCAGATGCATTGCTATGTATTCAAAAGACTCTTAGCCTACATCGCTACGTATTCAAAAGACTCTTAGCCTACATCTCAGATGATCCACACCCTCAGACTCTCATTCTCTCTCCCCAGTATTACTTTTCACCAACTTTACCAACTATTTACCACATTTATGAACTTTACTATTTACCAACTTTAAGGAGCAAATACATAAAACAAAGACTCAGTGGAAAATGTTTCCTTTTATTCATACAAAGGAAGAATGCTTTACACTTTCTCCCCAAAATTCAATACACTTGAAGTCTCAGTCTTGTGTAACTGATTTCTACAGCTGTGTCAGGTTACAAATTCCAGTATCTTGGGATCTATAAGGACTAGAAAAATGAATGGACTGCACTGTGTCAGGGAGCTCTGTTGCTATTTGCTACTCACAGCCCAGGAGACCTGAAGATTAGAGGTCATATGTCAACTTAAGTAAGATGGAATCATTCTAAGGTGGAATTTTGGCACAGCCGTGGTAATGAACACACCTGTTCTTTTGAGGACAGACACTGTAAAATCAATCCCAGCTACAAAATGAATGAAAGTTACTTGGTTATACTGTATTTTTTTAACTTCTTTCCAAGTTAGGAGGATCTAAGATCCCATTTTCTACTTACCTATTTTTGCAAACGAGGCAAGGAGGATCCAAAGGGTAACTTCATAGGGAATTTGCACATAGTCATAGTCCAGTGTGAAAACATGTAGCCTCGTGTCTTCAGAGGAGTCAACAGCACCACTGGAGTCATGTTCATAGTGAAGCAAGGACCTCTTGCCCAGGCTGGGCTGACCCCCAGAAGCAGCAGCAGAACAGCAAACCACGCTCAACAGCAGCAGCAGCAGCATGTTGGAAAGCTTTGCATGCGCAAGCTTGGCAAAGCCCGTGTCTGGGGCTGTGACAATTTTATTACAGACTTAGCATATAGTGGGTGCATGAAGGTGTGCACAATCACTTCTGCTGATTCACACTGCCCACAGCCACTTCTCCCTCAGGGCTCTTTCTTTTGCCTGTTAGAGGTCATTTTATAGTCCTTGTGTGCCTGTCCCGTTCCTTGTGCTGCAGACAAACCTGGAGTTTGGATGAAGATACCGGTTGTGCAGGTTCCACTGACCCAGAAAAACCTTGGCCACAGCATTACCCTGTTGAGGAACAAAAGGGCTTTTCCATCTTCAGAAGTTATGCAGCCTCTGATTTTTCCACTATCACAAAAAAAAAAACCCAAAAACCACACAAAAAAAAAAACCCAAAAAAAAAAAAAAAAAACAAAAAAAAAAAAACCAAAAAAAAAAAAACCCCCACACCCACCAAATCAAACAAAAAAATGATCAATGCTCACCGTTCAGGCAGCAAGCACAGCACGAGGGAATTGCATCGCTTGGGAGAGGTGGTGGCAGCCTGGGCAGGCAGGACAGCCTGCTTCGTGCCTTCCTCTCTTGCCCTCGCTCCCCATCTGCCTCCCCAGCGCAAGTGGCACCCCGGGCACCGCACTTGGCACGACTCCCTGCTCCTGTCACACCAGGTAACAAAACTACCCAGTGTGTAAATAAAGGGACTGTGCAGGGCTCCCGGGAAGGACATCTGGTGGGGGACCGCGCAAATTACAGCCTCGCTTGGAAAGGGGCTCCCTCTCTTAAACACGTGTATGAAATTAGCAAGTAATAGCAACAAAAAGAGGAGGGGCTGGGTTACTGCACCCGCCTGAAATTGGATCTTGGGTTGTCTTGTGTTTGGCATTTATTTTACTGATACCGGTAAGGCACTTACTGGTCAAATATATTATCCTCCTTCAACTGCTCTTATGGATAATTTTTTTTTAAATGCCAGCATATTTTCTCCTCCACAAAACCAACCATGTTTAGTGTAAAGATAAGAGGGTGTGCAGAAATAGTGCTGTTAGTTAGAAGCTTCTAAAACCTGTATTATTTATCTTAGAACTGAGTGCATTTAATTTACTAACAAATTATTCAAATTCATCAATTATGTGATTGTGTTAGAAGACAGTGCAGGTAGGGCAGATGGTGAGAACAGATGTGATATCCCAAAACAGCTAGTTCTGAGGGCCCTGAAACTGCGCTGCATGTGCTTGGGAGGGGATTCCTTCAAAGCAACTGGCCTCACAGACTGAATGTCCCTTCATGGGTGGAGAATACCTTCCCTTGACTTTCTGTGGAAGGGATCCAATGTGTGCAGCTGTGGCGGTCTATAATGCAAAGCAAAAGGTAACAAGTGGGAAATTTGCATCAAAATAATAATCTGAACCAAATCTCCAATACATGTGCAACTGCAATGTCAAAATTCTCTGTGGTACAGTGTTAGAATCCTAGTTACTGAGAATTTTAGACTTTCAGTACTGACAGGCACTGACCCCCAAAAGAACACTACATTTAACCTGAAGCTGTAGAGAAAGTTTTAATTCCAAAATTAAATGACAGAACTAAAATTATAAGTGTGTAATTTGAATAGAGGTGTGTAATTTGAATATCACATAATAGAAAACTTGGAGTTTAAATTTTTAGAATATAATAACATAGATAAAACAAAATAAAAGTTTTAGAGCAGAAACTAATCCTTCTTCATCTTCTTCGTCATGAGTTTGGGTGGTATTGTGTAATTAAATTTAAAAGTCCACATTATGAGTCACAAGTAGTTAATTATTAAGTTAAAAGTAAAAATAATTTAAGTATAAATTCTTAATTAGACAGTTTATCCTTAAAAAACCTTGTCAAGTGAGAGATACGGCTCTATTTCTTAGTTTGTTAAAGCACTATAAAACTCATAGTTTATAAGACTGTAATATAAATAAAAACTAATAAACATCTGAATCCAGACAAAAAGTACCATCTCACACATTTAATCCCGACCTTAACAAGAAAAAAGTTAAAACTCCACAGTACAGCCAGTGATGCCCTTTGATGTTCTACTTCTACATGAAGCACTATCTTCTGTCAGCCTCACGACACCATCAGTTCTCCCACAAAAACTTTGAACCCAACACAGTGTTAGGTAGATAATGCTCAGCCTGCTTGCAAAAGAGTTCTTTTTTCCAGTATACTGAGCCTGTTAACGGTAGTATTTCTTGGAATCCCTTTCCAACAAGGAATCTGACACATGAGATGTTCAATTAGCATTATGAAACAAGGATTTGTTAACTTGAAGGCCAAATGAAGTGAGCAGATCAACAGAGAAGAGGCGGTAGCACTCAGATTGTTTAATAGTGACCATTGAATTTCACTCAGCTGCGGACATACACACAGACTGCAAGATGGTTTGAGAATAAGTGGTATGAGCTCCGGTGAGTTGGCAGCCAGAGGACTGCAAGGGAAAAATTTAGAGACCCTGGAAGTCTACTAGTTGTGACAATCAGGGCTTTGATTTATACCTGCAACTCACCCATAGTGCCAACAGGTTCAGTGGGCATTGAGTGACCAGCATCAGACAGGATCAGCAATGATCAGGTGCAGGTGTCCCTGAGTGTGAACTGTTTTACAACTAATTGAATTCTTCCCCTCATTGAAGGAAGGATGGAGATGCCTGGGGTAAGCCTACGCCATGGTCCTTCTTTTCTGAATCCCTTTGGCATACCCAGCTGTAGCAGTCTCTCATGGTATTTTCTTGGTGTTCCCACTGGAGGAGGTAACTCACTTGAAGAATCTGGGTGTGTTCCACTGGACTATGTCAGGAAATTAAACTGCAAGCTCCGTCTGGAGTTCCCTTGTTAAGATCTTTTTCTACAAAATAAGTGTTAAAGTATTCCAGAAAGAAATGCAGTGCAAAGAACATTGTGTGTCTCAAAATCAGAGCAATAATAAATAGTAGAAAATGGTATAATTAAAATGGTAATAAAATATTAATTTATGAAAGATGGCTCATATTTACAGGTGTGTGCAGGGGCACAGTTTTGCTGTGCACTGTCACACTTCAGTCCTTCTGACTGTTTCAGAGTGAGCTATTGCTGGCTGCAGTGACAGTTGACAGCTGTCAGATGATGCCAAAGAGGTCTTTGACAATCATGTTACCATTCCTGGGCCTGATGTCATCCCCCTGTGAAATTTCTCCTATCTATACCAGTCTGAATAACCTTTGGGAGAAGCCCTTGAGGCTGAAATTTTCCAGCCTCTTAGTAGTTTTCATTGGCATGTGGTAGCGCATGTATTTCCAGAACTTCTTGTGTGGAGCAGCAGAAATGGAAGACTTCCAGGTAACGACTGGCAAAATCCGAAGTGCTTTCTTCACTACTGGAGGCAAAGTCTCTGGTTCCTGGAAATCCTGGAACTTTATTAAAACCAGTTTGATCCCTTTATCTTCCAATGCACAGTTCACTGCTGCCTGCAGTTCAAAGATGCTTGGTCCACTGACATAGGCTGGGCTCAAAATTATTATTACCCGTCTGCTGTGTTTAATAGCTGTTACAACTTCATCTGTGTATGCTGGAGAGGAAATGGTGAGAGTTACTGCATCCTGCAAAGGAGTTTTTATCTTATCAGTTCCTTTATCAACAGCTAAAATCCAGAAATAAGGAAAAGCAAGAATAGGAATGCAGAGTAATCGTGCAAAACCTAGAAATTAGTTTGCTATCAGAGGGTACCATGGCTGTTCTTATACAGCTGAAGAACACAACTTTCTGCTCAGGACATGAAGGGCACAGCTTGGGTCTCAAGGGACACTTGGACTTGTCTTTGTCTCTCCTTCAGGGCTTTCTAATTACTGAGGTAGCACTGGCTAAAGTTGCTCAGAAAGTAACTACTGAAATATTTGAAGTCTTCTTTCCAGGGAAGGGAGTTTGCTTGCAAAGAAATTCTTGCACAAGAAGCTTTGTCTCAGCCTGGTAGCTCACAGTGACCTCACTCCATAGTATGTGTGTGTCAGGCACAGGGACCATGCAAAAAGGTCAAAACATGATGAGATTTGAACAAAAATTCCACTACCTAATTATAAAATTTGTTGCTCTGGTGCATAAAGGGTTGTTGTTTTTTTTTTAAGTGAATCACAATTTTATAAAAACTGAAGATTTTCTACCATGCCCAGGGAACTTACCTCCTCCTGGAAGAATATCTCTTTCAAGAATACATAACTTGTATCCATATTTATTTTCTAGCATATCTGGAAGAAGCTCCAGGGCAAATTTTTCCTCGCTAATTAAAGCAGAGTCAGTTTCAGAAGGGTTTAGTTTTGCATAGGATATGAACGCATCAAATTCCTTGCCATCTAAAATAAATGAATAAATAAATAATAAATTAATTACTATATACTTTAAAAAGTCTGGCTGAAGCATTCAGCTTGTTTCTTAATGCCCTGTTTCCATTTATGTCTGTTTAAATAGGCACAACACAAACCTAAAATTATGATGTGTTCATTACAGCTATCCAGTCACCAAAGACAACCTTGCTGTCTCACTGTCTTGCAAATTTTGTAGGCATATGCTACCAAAGCAAACAAGTGAGCTGGAGATGTTTAGTGCAAGGTAGTTTAAAGATTTGGTCCTTTTCAGGCAAAAGCCATGTGGTAGGTAATGATTCCCAATCTTTTCTCTCATTTGCCCAAACGCTGATTAAAGAAAATTTGTCAATGGCCAATCTTATTTTAAAATATAATAAAGCTTAAAGGAACAATGCTCTTGAATATTAGTTGCTTGCAAAAGATATGCTGTTTTGTCTGTAAACATAGAGACTTGTGTCTCTCTGTTAAGGAGCAAAGGCTAAGTCTGATCAAAATATCAGCTCAGACACAAAGTACTGACCAGTTATTGAACTTTAAGTCTTTTTTAAAGAACATTTGTACAGTACAGATGAAACATAGCTAAAGAATTTTTCTTAGCTTTGATCACCCTGATACCAATGACCTGAGTTAGGTGCATTCTTAACTATGAGGCAAAAGCAAATTATTTCTGCTGAATAAACTTTGAACTACACTTGAAGGAGAAGGAATGTAAAATAAAATAATTTCTGGTGAAAGCAAAAGGCACAGTGGACCCAGTCCAGTTTCCCAGTTACTTGAAGTCATTTAAGTTATCCTAAGGCTGCCAGAATTGACAGGAAAAGTATTGGAGACTCAAGTATTTTGGAATGGCAAGACATGGTCAGGCAGCCCAAATACCATCAGACACCTATGTGCAATTAGCTGAATTGCACCATGTGACAATATAATGAATAGGAATCAGAAATCAATTCCTCTGTGTAGAGCAGGGTGCTGCTGCAGGGTGAGCTGAGAGGCTCTCTGGATTCCACCATACTGACTGCACCTTCACCTTCACTGCTTGGGAACTGAGACACCCACACCCAGCACAGAGACCTAAGTGCTGAGTGTCATGACCCACATGCCGTAGTGTTAACCTCCTGATTTCTATCCCTAGATGTGAGGTTAGGACCACAGACACAGGCTAGAGTCACCAAGTTCCTACAGGCTCTAGAAGGGTCTGTATGTAAAGCAAATTCAGAAAACTAACATGAATGATCTGGGGCTGAACACTTAAATTCAGAACCAGCACATAGCAGAAGGTATCATCAAAAGTAAACAGAGGTGCGCAGATTAGATCTGGAGGGCAAAAATGTGATCAGACAACAAATGTTGCATCTCTGCTCCGCCTCTCTGCTCCTGGACACACGTTCAATCCCATCCTTCTCTTGGTGATAATTCTCGTGATAAGCTTTTCTGATAATAGGGGAAGATGATTCACTTTGCTGGCTACACACTGTCTTTTACTGAGGTATTTTTCTGCCAAGCTGAGCCAATTTGGGCCCACAAGAGTGAATCACCAGCAGTAGGCACACAGGACTAATGTGGGAATTAAAGGTGGACCAGAGGTTCACTAGATTGGTTTAGCTGAACTTCAATTCATTTATATCCTAAATTGAAGCTCCCTTGAAAACACATTTTAAAAACAGTAAATTGCACTACAAGCCAGGTATTCCTCATTTCACCCACAGAGGTCGCTGCAATCTTATTAGACCACAACCACTAACAAACTCATGCCTTTATAACATTACTATTACAATAGCAAGTTAAAAATAAATACAATAATATAATAATAAATACAAAATAAGCACCATTAGGCCATTTTTTCACGTAATTGTACAGGAAAATTACAGCCTGAGGAATTTTTGGTACTGTATTTAGGTGCTGAAAGTGTAGGAAACGAAGAATACCTGACTTAAGCAAAGTGATGGCATACATGTTCTATAAATGTTAGTATCAAATCTCCTGCATTATTTCTTTCTACATGTGGAAGAAGGCAAGAGTTTTAAGAGATGTATATGAATTGGCTAAGGAGGCCAATTAACTCCAGAGGGGTTGTGGTTTCTCTCTCCACAAGGTCCTGCACAACCTAGGTTGGCTCTGCTTTGAGCAGGTGCCCAGAGTACCTTCCAGTCTTGTAGGATTCTTCAATTGTCTGATTCTGTGCTGAGAAGGACACGAGACAAAAAATTATAGAAAGGAGGAAACAGCAAAATCAAGTCATAACCTCTGCTTTGCTGCTTTATGAACAAGTCCTTTCAGACCTCAGGTGACTTGATATGCATCCATGAAGTGAGGACATAATCCTGCAGGTGAGAATACATTTCCCTTGGGCAGAAAACTCTCTGAGTATGCACGGCTGGTCTGCACACCCCCTATACCCCCATGCTGCAAGTGGAGCTGTGTGCATGAGGTACCTGAGAAGCAGGGGACAGGCAGGGGACAGGGGTGGAATGCAATGGTGTCTCCAACTTCAGTGCACAGCCCTGGCAGGTCTGTGTGCGTGTCCTGCTGACATGCAGGGTGTGCTCTAAAGGGACTTTCCACATGTCCTTAAATCACTTTGCTACCAGATAGAAGGGAAATTTTGAGTGATTTCCTAAATTGCTTTTGCCAAATGATTTAGTGCTTGTAAAAATGTGTTCCAGAAGGGCAGTTAATTTTCCAATTGTGCATGTACTTAGAGGTATCTAGATACAGTTGTTTCACACTCACATATAAGATACATTTACAAACACAAAAACGGACTCAGACACTCCTATTTCAAACTGCATCAAGATGCAAGAATTTTTAGAAAAATTTTCTCAGACACAAACTATCAGAATTCTTTCAACGCCTTTAAGAAAATCATACCTTAAGTTCTTTGAAGTAGTCAGAGTGAGTCCTGATACATTTTTACTCTGTCTACTATTTCAAGTGCCTGGTTTAGCTGAGGTGGTGGGGCAATACTACTACAGAGACTTGAAAAATCGAAAGCTAATCACTCAGGTCCAAATGTCAAGTGGTTTCCAAAGATTTTAGAAAGAAAATATGAATACTTCCCAAACATTCATTTGTCAACAGGTGCCCTTCTTACTTCTCTCTTTGTTTATTCTTCTGAGAAACCTTTTGGCTTCAAGTGAAAGATACAATAGACCTTGAAGGCCTTCACCTTGTTGTGCGAGGTCATTTCATTCTTGTTCAAAGGTTTTGTTGAACATTTTCAGAGAATGATTTTGAAATATTGGAGATGCTAAGTTGTTCCCTGCAAATGGACTGCCGAAATTCAGCTTCCTGCTCTAATCTTCTATGGGTAAATTAGGGTAAAAGTCTAACTGACATTTCTGCTGGTGTTAGATATTTCGTTCACACTATATGACTTTTTTTCCATCTGCATTCACTGAACATCTTGCAAGGTTCAGTAGACTTTTTATTGGCTCAAAGAGAACAGGGTCATTAAAAGAACTTCATTAAAGTTCTGAGTAATTCATATCAGATTATCCCACATGGAAAAAGGCAGAAGAAAAACTGGAGCAAATTCATTTAAGACAAGGTTTCTTACCTTCTGTGCTTTTGTTGTGGACCAGACAACTTCGATACATCAGTACTATTTCAATCCAGTGCTGGTAAATAAAGGCAGTGCACAAAACAAATGCAAATATAGTAGCAATGGCACTGCATAGTACATACAAGAACAACACTGCAGAAAGAAAAGAGTCTATCATAACTTGAGTTTCCAAAATAGTATTGACACTTAGACTAAAAATCAGTCCAGAAATGGGGACAAGCCATCTTACAAAATGGCAAAATCCCTTATCCCTCTGGCAAAATTTAGGGAAGTCAAGATTTCATGTAGCCACAAAACTTAACATAGAATTTCAGTCTACCATCAGTGACCTTTTTTGCATGACATCTTTTTGGTGATATGAAAGGCCAATCTATGACAGAGTGCACAGAGAAAATACTCTCTGGTACACTCAGCAATGCCAAAAATAGCCATCACCTGAGATGGAAAAACTACATCAGAACAGACACAGCTGCACACAGTGCCCTTCTGGCAGCTTCCTGTTGCACTCCAGTGATGAACCTCCACTGTGAACTATGGTTTAGCACTTTAATTTCCACAGTGATTCAGATTTGGTACTTGAAAAGCTGCCACAATCATATCCGTTATGGTACCTTCTCAGAAACATGCATGACTGGAGAATAAACAGAAATATCCTATGAAAATCTGTGAATACTGTTGCTTTCATCAGCCTCTCTGCTTCAATTTTGTATATTGCCTATTAATGCTCAGAGGTTTCACTCTCCTCTTCTTCCTTCCAGTTACTCTCTAACTTCCACTTGGCTCACCTGCCTGCAGTAAATCCCAAGATAGCCCTGTTCTTCTGAGTAATCCTCAAAATACTTGGCTTTCAAGACATCTGACAAATCAGACTTTTCCCATTCAGGTTCAAGAAACTTCTGCTGCTGGCGGAAAGCCAGTGTCAATGGGGAATTAATTAGTAGCAATAGAGTAAATCAAAATGTGTCTTCAGGGGTAAATAGTCACCAGTTGATAGCTTTACCTCTCTTCTTTCTTTTCAGCCTGATCACAGCAGTGACGTTCCCCACTGAATTCTCAGCAAAGCATGTGAAGCTGCTTCTGAGGTCCTTTTCAGTAATTTCCTTCAAAGATGCAACGTGAAGAAGTGTGTGCCCCTTCAAACCTTTTGGATAGACACTAGAGAGAAAAAAAAATGTGTATTTTCATGGTACCTTTGCTGTTCATTCACACAATTTCCCAATGTCTCACACACAAAAACAGAGGAGTTTGCAACTTCTTAACATTCATCTTGAACTTTTAATAGTAATGCAATATTCTGGTTTGGAACCTTCACATGGTAAGAAAATACTAACTAACATTGTAAGAAAATACTTTGATAAGCCTGAAGACTGAAAGGTTTATCCTTAATTCATCTACTCAGCAAAATATTTGCCACTTCCCTAGTTTTCAATATACAGCCCCCTTTACTTCTATAAGATGGTTTTTTAAGATGTAAAATATTCACCTGTCAGAAATGCAGAGAAATGAAACTTCAAAAAGGAGCCCCAAGAGAGAACTAGCTGGACAAAAGATTGAGCAGCTCAGCCTCTTGCACAGGGGCAAAAAGCCCAAGAACATGATAGGCAAAAAGAATAAGACAGAAATAAGGGACAGAAGTAGGAAATGAAGAGGTAACTGAGGAATCCCTTCAGGGTTGAGTGAAGGATATGGGAAATAGATCTGTGTCTGCAATCACTCCAGAATACCCAGGGTTTCTGAGTTTCAGCTTTCCCCTTTGAAAGCCACAAGTATAAGCATCTCTGGGTCATCCCAAAAGTCATCTCACATCATACCACTTCAAAATGACAGTGTCCCATGGCTCCATCCCTGCTCCCTCAAGATATGTAGGAGTGAGCATAGGCAAGGATTCAACCAAAGTCTGTTGGGGATGTTTGTATTTTAAAAAATAGACAGAAACCCTACCCATGAAAACAGCTAAAAACTTGTTAACATGAATATTTCAAATCTAAATATTCTTAAAGTTAGGAAATTTTCCAGTCTATTCCATGAGTGTGTGTGTGATATCATAATTCTTTTTTTCCCCCATATGACTCCTATTATGAACTTGATTTTAGCAGTGACAGCAGGGCTTTTGCTTTCCACAGTGTACAGATAGTTTACCCATAAAGTTGACTCAGGGCTGTGTGGTGAAAGACAGGTAAGTGAATGAAAACAGGAAGGAAAGGGAAGCATAGTCACTATAGGGGCTGTCCCCAGGTCACAGGAAACCTTTCCCCTACATGTTTCTTCTCTGCAGGATCTGGTTAATTCTCACCAGAGAGGAGTCCCAGAATTCAGTGTCCTGAAATTTGGTGCTGCAAGTCCTCAGACCTAGTCTGTAACACCCCAATGTCTGAGACACACAAACTCCTTTCAATGTCTACACTCTGTTTTGCTGATCTGATTCATTCCCCACTCAGACACAGCTTCCAAAGGCAGATTGTGTGAATTGCTAGCAAGGCACAACAGAGACTGTGCTTTCAAGAACACTTGAAAATAAGAACACTTCAAAACAACTGATGCGGGGACAGGCAACCAGGAGCCCTTCATGTTGAAGCTGTCTGTGAGCTAAAGTTTTTAGAAGAGCTAAGATAATGCAGAGTTTGATTTTATGGCCATCAATATGTGCTTCTGTACGTGAAGGTCACATGCCTGTCCCTTGCTTGTGGCATTACTAGGTGAAAGAAAAGAGCCTTCTAAAGTTTTTTTTCAATAAAATGTATTCAGTAAAGCTGTTATTGGAGGACTTTTACAGCTGCTTGTGGTGGTAGTAACCAGACTGCTGGGGGGAGGGAGGAGGTTCTCACGTTGTTTCCTGATTCAATTTCTCATTTACAATCTCTTCATTGTTTCGTTTCCATGTTACCCTCATTGGAGAAACTGTTTCGAAACCAAACTGTACACGACATTCCAATTCAAGTGGCTCGCCTGGAACAAAAGAACACAGAAAAACCATGCCTGCAGAATATTATTCTCTTAAATAGCCTAGAAAGCAAAGCTGGTTTTCTTTATCAAGATCTGTCATTATTTATCAATACCTCCTATAAATATTTTCATTTGCTTCTAGGGGAGGAATTGAAACTTACCAACTTCTACTTCAAGGATCACAACACCATTGGGATACAAAAGGTTTGGTGGATGAATAGTGTTTTTTGCTGCAATTAACAAGAATATAATTAAGTATAATGTTATTGTCAGTGCAGAAGACCAAAGAAAATGGTTTAAAATTTAATTTTTCAAGTTTTAGGTGGAATTTGGACACCTAAGTCCAAGAGAAGGACAACAAAACTTGTGTATCTGCTCAAAGAGCTACTATCTCATTTTCTCTGAGGCAATGTTCTCTTACATGAGCTGAGGAGCTCAGCAACTAGTCTGCACTTTAAATTATTTAGGATTAAAAAATAAGGAACTTCCCTTGCAAAACCCTCTAAAGGTGCAATCTTCATACCAGTTGCCTGTCAAACCTTTTTTCATGCCCAGTAAGCACAAACAGAGCACATGCACACCCCATTCACAAGCACAGACACTTGTACCAAAATAGCCATGTTGTTTTCTAAACTCAGGCTGCCAAAGGGCACACATAATGACACCCACAGGTTGTGCAATAAAACCCACAGCTCTGATATTCTAGGAAAGTCCCATACTGCAGGAAATGGTGCCACATAACACCTTTTTTTTCTGTTGTTTGCTGGTTTTTTCACCGGGTCACAGCAGAGAAATATAACACAGAATCACAGAACAAGCGGAGTCGGAAGGGACCCACAGGATCGAGTTCAGCATCCAGCCCTGCACAGAACCATCCCCAAGAGTCATACCCTGTGCCTGAGAGTGCTGCTCAGACACTCCTTGAACTCTGTCAGGCTTGGTGCTGTGACCACTGGCCTGGGGAGCCTGTTCCAACACCCAAACACCCTCTGGGTGAAAAACCTTTTTCTGATATCCGACCTAAACCTCTCCTGACACAACTTCAGGCCATTTCCTTGGCTTCTGTCACTGGTCACCACAGAGAAGAGATCAGTACCTGTCCCTTCTCTTCCCCTCACATGGAAGAGGGAGTAAAAGAAGAGGGTCCACTGCAAGAGGGTCTCCCCTCAGTCTGCAAGGTTCTAGGGTAGGATGCATATGGTGCCTTTTAAGTGTTCTTCTGACTGCTCAAGAAAGTGAGGGAAAATAACTGAGAAGAACAATGTGTTAGCTCAAATACTGTCAGATCAGAATAAAAGCAGAGCTAGTCCAAGCCTGCCTGGAGAATGTTGTGGGAATAAAGCCAGAAGGAAGAGTGAAAGAGCAAGAGGTATTTTCAGCCACCACACAGAGCTCTCACAGGTTGGTAAGACATGGTTTCCTGTTCTGATGGGATGGATACATTTTTCCCTTGAATTCTTAGAACCAAATTCTTAAAATACCTGGGGAAAGAAGGATCACCTATTTCAGAAAATATCCTCATTAGACCATGAAATTTCAAAGGAGTGTTTCTTCACTAGACCATGGAACCAGGTTACCTCACTTGACACATTTCTTTTGCTCTCTAAATCTTGTTCTCCCTTTCACAGAGTGGCCTACCTTCCACCAGGATGCTGGGGAATAGTCCTGTGCTGTTTTCATACAGAAACAGCTGTACTGCATCCATACAGCTCAGGATATAGAATAGATTTATACTTTCCTACAGGACCTACTGCTATTACTATTGGATGTTCTAGATGTCCTCAGAATACTTGGAAGAGGATTTGAATGATCCTGTAGCTAATTCAATTTATGGGTTTTTCAGAACAAAAGCTTGAACAAAAGACAGAAACAAATATAATAAAGAAAACATACTTTTACTTCAGGTATTTTATTCTGAGTTATTAAATTACTCACCAATGACTTCTACTGTTACTGCTGTTCTCACTGTCCACTTGGTAATGTTGTCAGATGATAGAGTATAATCACATACATAAATTCCAGCATCTTTGTCATAGGTTGGATTCAAGTAGATTTCATTCTGCTTAAGCTTTAGGCTTGGTCTGCTTTTCCTGTATTTTATCTGGTGACCATCCTAATTAAAATAAAATCTAAGAATTAAAGGGTATTTTTTCTTGCTGTTGTTGCTGTTACTAAATTATATTTTTATATATTTGGACAGTATTTTCATGGCAGAAGGGCTAAACCAAAGTGTTTCCACTGAAGCCCAAAATGGGATGTATTAGGAGTCTGAGGAGGTTTTTCAGTAACACTAAAAAATATCTGAATAACCTTGATTTTTTAAAAATTATTTAAAATTTATTGTTGATAAGAAAATATGAAATCACAAAGCTGATCTAAATTAAACTCCTATTACTAAAGAGCAACAAAAAGAATCACTTTTTTGATGGACTAGGTATTTTTTGTTTTGTAAAGAAATAATTTTGAAAGCATTTTCAAGTTATCTTATGAGAAGTAAACATTGAGTTAAGATGGTGTGAGGTTGAGGACACTGTCACTACTTTTAGAAACATGAAAATGGTCTATTTTTGAGAAGCACCCCTATTTTTTAGCTTAATATATTCATATTCCACCAAAACCAGCAAGAATTTTCCTTAAATCAAGTTCCTGAAAAAATCCAATAACACAAATGTGAAGATGCTCCTTAACTTCGGTGTGTTTCAGATCAAGTTGTAGGTAAAGATAAACCTCATTTAAAATTTTAAAGCAAATGCGGAATAACTTTGACTATATCATAATTCTGCTTGATAGAATAGAATAATGTAAATAATACCAGGCAGGAAAATGCACAATTGCAAATTTTAGTCATTTTCCTTTGCTCATTTATACAGGTTTGGATGCTGTATCACCATCATTACAAACACTAAGTCAGGAGTGGTTCAGTGGAATAGTGTTTCATTTAAAACAGGACTCTTGGAAAGAAGAATTTTAAACATTATTCCTAAAATAATTTTGTGTCTAACAAAGACAGTTTTCTTTCGTATATTGGATATTTTCAAAATTTGAAATGTCAAAACAAAACTTAAAAGGTTGCATTTCAATCATGTCAATTTTATTAAAAAAACTATTTTCATTCTCATTTTCTTCAATTTCATAGCTGAAGAGGAAGCATTTCTTGGCTTCTGTTTCATATCATAATGTTTTGGGTGTGGCAAATTTCTTCAAAACTCTTCCTTAAATACGTGATATATATCAGTCCAAGATTCTGCTTTGGGGTTGAATGTCTCAAGAGCTATGACACATGGACATTAACTAGACCTGAAGCTCCACCTCCACCCAGCGAGACTGACTCCTACCTTGTACCATTTCACATCTGGCTTTTTTATGTGGCTGTAACATTTTGTCCCAGGACAGGTTATTGAATTCCCACGGCCAGCAAGCAGATATAGAATCTTTGTGTCATAATCTGAACATTTTGCTGCCTTCTTTGTTTGAACATCCAAAACAATTTTGAGACATGGGATTTTCCCCCTGAGTGATGTAAAAAAAAAAAAAAAAAAAGTTAAACATTTAATACATAAACCAAACCAAAACAATAATTCTCCTATAGAAATAGAAACCTTTTACTCCTTTACTCCATTACTTTTTGCTCCATTACTTACCATATCCTACAGATGTACACTCCAGAAGCACTGTCCCTTATCGGTTTAAACCAAAGTGCATCCCCTTGGAAAGTCAGATTTGAGCTTTCCTCGATAACCTTCAGTGTCTCTTTATCTTTCTGATGCCAGAACCATTTCACCTCATGTTGACTTAGAGGTGAGTTGTTATAAATGTTGGTAGCATCTCTATCTGGTAAAGCACATTGTAGAACAAACTCCTCACCATTAATTGCACGATACCACATTTGAGGTTCAACATGGGAACATCCTGAAAAGTAGGACAGTAAGATATCAGTACCATCTGAAAAAATGTAGAGTCACGGTGAAAAAATGAAAAGTAAAAATTAGGAATAAAAATAGAACCTTACCTTTCTTGTGTTGAATATTTCTTTATGTGATCAGAACATGGACTAAAAAAAATAGGTTTTCTTAAATATGTAATTTGCCAATGTTCTTGAAAAATTATTCAAAAGTTCCCAAAGGTTTCTTAAGCCTTTTTTCAGAAGCTTAAAGTGAAGAGTTTTTGTGATGTGTAGACTTTTGCATGCATGCTAACCTGTTAAACCTCAAGTGTGTAGAAAAGCAGATGCAGCTCTTCTCAGTCTTGCCGTGTTAATGGAGAAGGGACTGATATAAGCCTGAGGAAGCAGAACCTGCCCACCACATGCCCTACTTAACTTAAGATTGACAAACATTATTGTCTCACTGATATTTATAAATATTTATCCTCCTATGTTTCAGTAACTATCTCTAAAATTACACTTTTTTTTTTTTTAAATTCTGAAAGGTGTGGTTTGCCATCCTAATGCTCATCCTGCCAGTCAGGCTGTTGTGACTTTTGAAAGTCACAACAGGCAGGATTTCACCCCAGAAGAAGGGAGATAATGAAATCTGTTCCTCACCTGCCCACCTGGGAAACTCTTTACAGTTCCATTTTCTCTCTGCACACTAAACTGGATCAAGCTCCTCCAGATATATTGTGTGTATGGAAGGCTTGGATAAATCAATCTCCTTCTGCATTTGCCTTCCTTCTCCCCAGTCCCTGCGTCACTAGACCAGATGCTGGAGACCTAAGTCACAGAAGCAATTAATTTGTTTCATTTAGGCCTCAGAGACTCTCCTTTACATTTATCCTTTTCGTTGGTAACTGATTTTTGAGTCAAATTTAGGGCAGCTTCTATTACCAATACTTCAGAAGCTTGCAGAAAGACTATTTGTCTGACACAAGTATGAACATGTCCAGGAAACACACATAAATGCAAGGAAAAATGAAGATCTCCTTTTCTAAGTTTTCAGAAAGCACCACAAACACCAAACATCACTGGAGCAGATTCTTACCTGGCAAGTTAATCTCTGTAACTTCTACCCCACTGACAAATAGTGTTAGTATCCAGCACAAAGTCAGCATTATTTTCTTTATCAATTTTGGCTGATATTCAGAGACATTTTCTTTAAGAATCATCTTGCTTTCTGTAAAAGAGGACAACAGGGTTTTTTGTAAATAAGAGTCCAATAAAATAGATAATAGCATATTTCATTATGTACCTCTGTAAAACTTTACAAACATTATTTCCTGCATATTGTGTTTTTAAAAATGGGGTTTGCAGCACTTTTCCTGCTCACGCTATTTCACAGAAATACAGGATGGATAATACTCAAGAATATGCAACATCCTCTCTAAAAACACCTTGCATAGAATTGCTTACAGATAGATTTCCAAGTCATACCTCCAACAATGCAGAACTCCACCTCTGGAGAGGAAATACCTCCTCCTTTGATAGGAGCATGTTCTCTAAGATGAGAGGTAGGGTACCAAATATCATCAGCCTTCAGCTAATGATGCCTATCAGCAACAGACTGAGACAGGCAGAAATGGCACCAAAAATCCATGGAGCGCTGTTGTAGCTTGAAGGTCAACAGGCCCAGATTGGATTCCTTTGGGATTAAACCAAATCTGAAGATGTGCTGCAGCTGCAAACAGCATTGAGCCCATGTGGCTGGAGAACCCTGCAGAAGTAAAGCCCTCAAAGCATGTCCTGTATGGGCACGTGTCTTTGGTGCTCTCTTTCACTCAAGAGACATGCTCCTAGTGGGCTTTGTTATCAGCCAAAATGGGCATACTTAGGATGTCTACTAGGGCCAGCAGAGCAACCTAAAACCCCTTCTCCTCCACTGTGGTGTACCTGGGTGTGCAGCATCGGGCCTCACTTTTGCACTACAATGCTGTGCTGCACTGCTTGAACAGCTGTGGCAGAGCCCTGCTGAGAAGGGTAGCGCCCACACCTGCATAAAGGACCAGCTCTGAGGGCTGCCCTCTCTAAACTGAGACTAGGAACACCCAGGGGACTTGGAGACAGTCCACAAAGCACTCAGATGCATCCAGACCCCCATAAAGACAGTACAAGGTGAAACTGCAAACCATATTGTTATGTTTTCCTTCTTCTACTGAGTCTGATCTGCATCCCATAGCCTTCTCAGCCATACTGGATACACCCAGTGTGCATATTCAACAGCCATGGCTCAAGCTGGGTATTTAGTAAGGACGTACCCAACACCTATGACTGACATGTCTGCAGTGTCTGCTCCAGGAGTAAAGGGGCAGTGCCTGGTTCAGGAGCAAAGTACTTGCTGCTGTTCAATTTGCACAGCTGTGCATTGTGCAACAGAGTCCTCAAAGGTTTTTTTCCTTTCCTTTGGCCATAGAGTGACTCTGCATTTGCAATGCTGTCAGAGAGGCACTGAGTCAGCCCAAGGGCAAAGCAGAGAGGCTGGGCAAAGGCTAGTTCCTCGTCTGTTGGCACCTCATGCAAATCAAACACTATTCATACTGGTTAGCATCAACAGAACCTCCAGTGCACACTGAGCTAGAGAGCTGATGAGAACTTCCATGCTTTGCTTTTCCAGGCAGCTGTTTTGTGTAGAGGGGAGGACTTTTAGTCACCATTCTCTTCAGAGTGTCTCTATTCCCAGCAAGTGAATGCAATGATCTATTTTTTATGCTCAGAGGCCACAGGAAGTAAGTTAACTCATTTGTTCTGACCCCATCCTGGTGCTTTGTTACAGGTTGGCTGCTAACTGTCATCACCCCCGATATTTTTTTAATCATCCTGAAACTCCAAGTTTCTATGTATGTGTCAATAAAGTGAGTTTGCTACCAGCACTGGAAAAAATCCCTCCATAAGTTTATCCATCTTCTTTATCTGCTGTAAAAACATCAATGGATCCTGACTCTTGAATCTGGGTTTATGACGCCTGTGAAGACCTTGCTGAAGGCATTCACTGAGGCTGCATCTCTAGCCGTGTTAATTCTGTATAAAGCCAAGGATGGTGTTTTGAATTATGTCATCCAACAGCCCACATGGCAAAGGCATGCTGGTGCCAGTAGCAGTCAAGACCCAAGGGCCTTTTGTGTGGTTCAGAGCTGTAGTCCCTGGAACAGGTGAGCAGGTGTTGCTGTTGCCAAAAGCAGAGGAACAAGCGCTGATCTCTCCATTCTCAGGACCAGTGACATGACTCGAGAAGACAGCATGAAGCCGTGTCAGGGGAAGTTCAGGCTGGATATCAGAAAATTGTTCTTTACCCAGAGGATGGCTGGGCACTGGAACAGAGTTCAAGAAGTGTTCAGACAAAACTCTCAGGCACATGTTATGATTCTTGGGGTGTCTTGTGTAGGGCCAGGAGTTGGACTCGATGATCCTGATGGATCCCTTCCAACTCAGCTTATTCTATGATTTTATTATCTATTTTTCTGTCCTCTGTACTCTACTCTCCCTTGACCCCAGGCAAATGGTCCAGTCTCTCTCCTGTGACAGTTCTGGTCCTTCCTGGTGACTCACTAAGCCACCTGTGACTCTGTTAAGCCACCAGAAGCTATTTGAAGAGTGCCTGACCTGGCACAGGATAAGCAGTGGAAGTGTTCACTTCCCAGCTTCCTATTTGTGTGTAACTGGGGACACACAGGCCACATGTAGTGAAACTACATGAAGTGACAAAGCATTTAATGATGCCAGTGATGTGTAATCTCTTTGTTATACAAGGTCACCACAAATGGGAAAGAAGTGCCAAAGGGAAGGTTGACTAATGAATGTTACAGTTTTGGTTAGCAATCTTTTCAAATTTTCTGTTGTCTTTAGCTAGGCATGGGAAAATACACCACTGTCATTTTGGGGATTTTTCAGTTTTGGTTTTGGTTTGGGTTTGGGTTTGTTGGTTTGGTTGGGTTTTTTTTTGCTAACTGATAACATTTTTATTAGAGAATCTTGTAATCTTTGCATTTTTATAGTATTTTAGAAGTATGATAGGCTGTGAAATTAATAATCGTCATCTTGCAAGTGTGCTTGACAGGAAGAGGGAAATTCACAGCAGAAGCAGACAACAAACACCATTCAGGTGCATTTGCACTTCAGGTAGACACTGGTGATTCAGTGACTTGGTTTACTCAAGGACTCACTTGTCTTTATCAGTACCTACCAGAGAAAGAAAGGACTCTGTTCCAGGCAACTTACTATCAAAATCTCTCTATCTTCTCCTGCCATGTACACATCCATATTATCATATCCTTTGTCTAGGGACTTGGGGTGCCACTTAAATGGAAAGTACTATATGTACAAAGGAAATTAACATCATTTTCACATAATTTCTTGTGCTAAAAAAATTCAAGTGAAAAATAGGAATTGTATTATATTGCCTATGTTTCAACTCCTAAAGGACTGTTAGAAGAAAAGAGTAAATTTCGATTTCAGAGTCTTCACAGTATCACAGAATAAGCTGAGTTGGAAGGGACCTATAAGGATCAAGTCCTACTCCCAGTCCTTTTTGAACTCTGTCAGGCTTGGTGCTGTGACCACTTCCCTGGGGAGCCCATTTCAGTGCCCAGCCACTCTCTGGGTGAAGAACCTTTTTTTAAGATCCAGCCCAAACTTCCCCTGATACAACTTCAGGCCATTCCCCTGGGTCCTGTCACTGGTCACCACAGTGAAGAGACCAGTTGTACACTGTGATGAAATCTCCTTTCAACCTCTTCTTCTTCAGCTTTTTACATAAAATATAAGCAAAAAATCAAAATCAGTTTCTTGAGAGCTGTGTGAAGTTTCATGATATCTCTGAAATCTAGTAAAGACCGGCATACCACAATCCTACCATCATACAATTCTGATTCTGATGAAAATCACTTCACTATCAAAGCTATCAATTTCTATGTCTTGTATTCAACATATATCAGTGGAAGAGCAAGCATAATCTGATTCTAGGGCTAAGATTAGTAATAGCCACACAGGAGATGAAGAATGCTTTACCTTGTCTACAAAATGGAAAAGGATATTTATTGAAGCTACTTACTAAGACACTACTGTTTGCTTGACCAAGCAGTTAAAGCAAATTTAATTTAAAATGCACATTCAAAGACAATAAAATGAACTCACCTTCAAGCAGACAGGGTGAGGAGGGCTAAAATCTGAAGGTAAGACATATACTTTTTAAAAAATTATCTCAAGATCTTACTTGCACATCCTACCCAACATGATAAGAATTGTGGTTAGCTCTAGCTGTGCACTCTGTTGAGTTTGTTTCCTTTACAGGAATTTCCTTTACCTCACTGTCATCATCCCTTCCTTTCTTAGTTTAGTTGCATTATGTTGAAAAATTCTGGGTCATTTTCTTGTAAAAAAGAACAGGGGAAACACCTCCAAGCAAGAAACCAATCAACTCTTAGGTTCTAAAATCTTCTATTTGTATTGCATACAAAATTGTGTTGGATTTTTTTAGTTTGCTTCCTTTAAGAAGAGTAATGTTTCCTTGTTTTTTTCTTTTTCCATATGCTGCTTTTAGACAGTTCACAAAAATCTGTAATACCTGAGATCTACAGGATTATTCCAATATACAATAATATTCACAGTAAGAATCAAGTTCTCCTTACCATTAAAGTCCCCAGCTACCTTCCACACCCACTGTAAGTGGGAGCTGTAAGAGGGCACTGTAACCTCCCATCTGTGTCCTCCTAGTTCAGCCTCACCAGTAGCCAAACACAGCCTTGGTAGAGAGGGAAGAGAAGCCCTGATGAATCTGAGCCATCTGTGACTGCCCCCCTTCAACCTGCTGGGAAGGCAGAGCACTTCAGCATACACAGTCCCACCCAGTCCAGCCCCTCTTTCAGGCTTCCTGCTTGGATGTAAAACCCGTAAAAGACCAACTGCATAGTGACCCAAACTACATAAAAGCCGTCAATTCACATCACAATGACTCCTATTCCAATAGAAGATATGTAAATATTTGTCCATCAGTTTGCAACTGACTTATTTCAAGAACTGTAGGACTTGTTTTTCTTCTCTTGTGCGAAGTTCTCTATCTTTACCGCATATTGGGTCAATCACTCTATTGCCACAAGAAGGTTAGAAAGGCTGTTAGTCTCATAACAGGGGATTTCAATGTTGCCACTCTTTATGCACACATTCCTTTATGCAATGACCAGTATTAATGTTGGGTTCTGAACGTTTGGAGATAAAGGATTTGTAATCTCAGCTTCCACCACATTTTTAGCTCTCTGCTTATTCCAGACCTGAGCCCACTGATGATCAGTCTAGGTGATGGTCTTCTAAACTATATGTTTTACCCCATTGCAAAATATATGTTTGATTTATAAATTTTAAAAGGCTCCAATTTATCTCTAGAAATTTCAGTAGAAAGAATTAACCTTTTGAAGGTATCCTGTCTGACTAGAAGAGAAGCACTTTTGTTCCCTCTTCACTTAAAGGAATTACAGAGTGCAACACAGCTGAAGTCAAAGCCCTTCTTTCAAACTCAGATTATCAGAAAAAAAATGGTTCTTTCAGAGATGCGTCTTAAAGACATAAAATATACTTTGTTCATTTTAAGTATAAATTGTTGTAGTGTCCAAGTAATAAGGCTTACCACAGTCAAAAAATTAAGCATAACAGTCCAACTATTATATCAGAAATGCATTTTAGAAATACAACAGAAGCACAAAGAGTTTTGAAAGCCATGCTATCAGAAGTCTGAGTGGTATGTCATACTGGTTGCCACAATGGATGAAAATCTTGTATATAGTACCAAATATTTGGCTAAGCCTCTTCTCCAATTCACCCTTTTGTCTTCTGCAAAAATATTATAAACACTAAAAAAGCAGCCTCACACACTTGCACTTCAAGGTTCATATTTATCTTTGACTGCAAGGCAAAGTGCAAGAAGAGGGTAAAGGACCACTCCAGAATATCCTCCCTGCTTCTCCTCTCTCCTCACCCTCTACTCCTTTTTACTCACTTGCCCTCCCACTCTGCTAAAATTTAGCATATTTTATGCTACATCTGTGGAAAATTTTACCTCCCACTCCTGTGGAAAGTCCAGTTTGTGGCCTTTATCTTACCTTGTCCATCTCACCTCTGCTCGAGTGGGGAAAATGTATCATCTCAGTGTGTATGCAGTGTAGTCTTATAGTGCAGAGAGGATTAAGGGTTTTTACTCTACTGGTACTATTCTGGCACTATGCTGGGTTGACACATTTACACATCACCTCCTCCCCTGCCCAGCTATGGTTAACACCTAGTGCGTAAGACATTTTCCACTCCAATGATCTTCTGCAATTAGTCAGTGCTGCTGATTCTGCTGTTGCAGGAGGTGTTTGAACAATGTCTAAACATGAACCTCTGTCCATTTTGTACTAGTTTATGCTCCTTGTGAAATAATATACAGTCACAGGTGGTTTCTGGAGCTTGTGGGTGGTTATGAAATAACAGAAGGTGGTGTTACTTACCATCAGCTTGCTGCACTACAGTGAATTCTGCCTTGGGCATCAGGGACTAACATGTCTAGAGCCACAGAGGTACTATGAATGTACTAATAACTGAGTAGCCACATGCCAACAGAAGATGAGCAAAGCATATTCTCACCATGCAAGCCTTTCAAAACTTTTAACTCACACAATTCGTAGCAGTTAATTAGAAACAATTGCCTGGCACCTCAAATTCCATGACAATTTCTTCTTGCCTTCCGTGATAGTCCAGCATGCTTACTGCAAGCCAAGAAACATAAACTTGACAGAGATGACCACTGCCGAATTTTTGGTTTTCTTTCAGAAATTTACTGTACTCCAGCTTACAAGTATGTCAGAGTAGTTTCTCCTTTACTCTCTCAGGAGACCTTACTCTTATAATGTCTTTAATGCCTATTATATATTTATTCAAGGACACATCCTTGTATGCACATTATTCCTTAGCTTGAACAGCTCTTCTTTCTAGTGGTTTTTTTTTTCCTGTATGCATTTGGTAACAATGCTCCTATTCCTTTCCCTGGTCATTTTACCAGCCTAGGCAATTAAACTCTTCTAGGATCCCATTTCACACTTCCCCTGCTGATCCTCAATGGCTCTGCCTCACAGGTCCCAAGGTCTTGTTTCACTGGAAGCAATTCATTGGTATTTGTCTTGCCATGCTGGAAGCTGGAGACACTCCTGAGATAGTCACAAGTTTTCATTTCCAGTGTATGAGTTCCTTCCTTGTAGATGAATTTTTGTTGCTAGTCCATAAAGGCAGTATCTTCCTAATGTATTACAGAAATAAATATGCTTAATGTAAGGCTTATCAACCCAATATAAACAAATAGAGATGTTGCTATCACAGCTGAGAGCTAAATATTTACTTCAAGTCTCCTGAAAGAGGAGGTCTCGTAATGAGGTCTCATGGTTAAGTCCACAAGAGATCTTTTGCTAGTGATATCCAGATAATTCCTAGTATGTACTGTCTGCTCTTCAAGACTAGACACAGTTACTTCTGAATTTGCCCTACTCTTTCTAAAAAGTCAGATTTATACAGCATTACAAGTAGTTTTGGAAACTCTATGGAACAGCATTCCTTCACCATAGTCAAAACCCCTAAATTTTCCTGCAACGAATAGAAAACTGTTTTTTAACCTTATAGTAGAATGAGGTCTCCCTCTATGGAACAGCATTCCTTCACCATAGTCAAAACCCGTAAAACAGCTACAATTTTCCTGCAATGAATAGAAAACTGTTTTTTAACCTTCTAGTAGAATGAGGTCTCCAACATACCACTGAAATTGGCTTAGTTATGGTAGTCGTTGCAAGCAATACAGCAATAATCCATAAATTTATTTTATTGTCTTTAAGAAGTACCTTAAGGCTTCAATGAACTTTATTATTTTTGTATTTGATAGGTTACAAGCAAAAAATATATTACACTGGACTGTCTTGCTGAATTACACATTATTTCTCACCCACAGAAGCCAGATGAGAGATCAAACAGTAAGAGACAAAACCCTGTGATGACTTTTTTATATATTTAGCTGACAAAACAAACAATAAATTACTATTGTGGCCTAATTGCAGCTGCTTTAGCTGAAATTCAGAAAATTTGGATTGCTGAACTGCAGGAAGCTGTAAGTTGTGGATACTGCAGAAAGCTTGGTAACTGCTGCTTCACCCAGATACCCAATCTAATTTTAGTTCAGAAAATTTTTTCCCAAAAAATGCAATCACATTTTCTTTTTCAAAATATTGAATGCTTTTCAAGTTTATCACAAGCATCTCATTATGAAAGGCTGTGTTTCAAACATCCTTAAAGTCTGCAAGCCAGACCATAGCTGTCTCTAAAAAGAAAGCAATTTTCTTTCTACTTTCTCTGAAAAATCAAGATAGAAAAGGACAACTTCAATATATAACCACAGTTCCAGAGTAACCTTCCAGGCCAGAAACACACATCTATCTTCATAACTGTTAATCTGTATTTTCCAACCATTTTTAATTACCTGAGGAATCAATCTACAGAATTCTGTATGTGAAACATAAAATTCTGGACCATTTTGCACAAATCAGCTATATACCCTTACATAGGGCACTATGTACCCTTAAGGTCTGAGATGTCCCATGAACACTAACCTTGCCCTGCACACACAGGAGTTGTGTTCCCAGAATCTGTTGGAGCATCCTTATTGGTGCTCTCTTTTTTTGTGTCTGCTGACTGCAACCACTGTGGTTACCTTCAAGTTTAGTAAACACACTGGTAACAACTTGTTTCTGCAGGCATCATCACTTGCTCTGCAAGAGAACCAGCAAATCTTAAGGTTCCTTCTGTCCAGCCCTTCTACAAATCTGCTTTCATTACAATCTGGAGAATGGTGGAATTGATAGGATTTGTCCTTATGCTTGGATTCGGAGTGACACAGCTGCTTGGAGGGGAATTTATTCCTGTTTCACAAGTTCTACCTGTCCAATATCTCTAAAGAACACAGATGGTCATGAAGGAACAGAAGCACTTGTAGTAGGAAAAGAACCCTTGAACTGACAAACCTTTTGCAGTAATCACCCTTATACAATACTACCCCACAGCAATGATACAAAATAGTCATAATTCTTCCTACATTTATGTTACAATTACCAATAGACAAGAAGGGTTCTTTGATAATGTTTTGTTTCCAGTCTGTATTTTGTCTGGCAGAAATCGGTCAACCAGCAACACTAAAAAATGCAGACAGAGACCATGTTCTCACAGCTAGTTACCATGTTATAGTACATAGTAAGAGACACCAGAAATTTCAAGGCTGGTGGCTTGCAACTGCTGTCTCCTTACTGATCCCATCTGTGACCTCTTTAGGGAAATTACATATTTCAATAGCTTTTTTGGACTTGGCTTTGTTTTAAACTTCCTAAATTACAAATGATACATTCGTTGCTTGTGGTCTAACCACATTTCCTTTTCTTGCATTTTTTTTCTTCATACCCTAAATTTGATTTTTAACACGTTCTTGTGGTGGTGCATGTCACCTCCCAGACCCCCAGGTCACACTATGAGCTGAGAAATGTTCAGTAAGCCTCAGCCTTGAACAGCACCTGGTTTGAGCTTTCTTGAGGAATGTTTCCAACTCAAATTGTGGCTAGGATGGACAATTACTACAACTAAAGCTCACTCCCTTGCAACCCTATAAACAGCAGTCCTAAGTAGGACCCTTTGAGCTCTCCAGGACCACAGTGGGCTGCAACCAGCAACCCCCCTGTCAGAGCCAGTGAGCTCTCAGCTTTGCTGTACTTGGAGGATCACCAGACAACAACAGATCCTGGGCTGACACCCCCACTGCTTGAGGCTCAGCCCTTTGTCCATTGAGAAGATCCAAAATTGTCTGATGGAAGCACTTCACTGAATTCAAGAGATACCTGATATATGCTTTTCCAGGTCTGCATGCATGAGAGCATTAATATTTTATAGCAAATGCATGTTGCTCTCCTAAAAGACTTAAGTTGGTAAGTTAGGTTTGTGAGTTACTGTTGTGCTGTAGTAAATTCTATATTAATCTTTTGTTAAATTGTTTAACTTAAGCTATCAATTAAGTGCTGTTAAGTGCTGTTAAACCTTTAGGCCTAAACTGTTGGTCAACAGTGGCTCAGTTTGGCTGTGGGTCTGAACCTTGTACCTAAATGGGAGTGTCTTCCTAATTCCTTTTTATCCTTACCTTTTCTTACCCTAGCTCTTTTCTTCCCCCCACTCCCCCTGCAGCCTCCTCATAGATATTTTTTTGTTGATTTTGTGGTTAGATTGAATGAGTTTAAGTTTTAATCTGTGTTTAATCTGTGCACTTTAGCCATCCAGGAAGTAGTAGATTGAACCTTACCAATGAATTTTTCATCCCTTTCACTTTTATATTAAATCTGCTTTTGCCAATACATATGTCAGTGATTCTATAAGCAACCTTAAAACACTCATTTATGATATTACATGTCTAGCTTCAGCAAAAATGGAAGCCACAGATGTGGAGAAGGAGAAATATAGTTTTATTAAGTGCAAAAGTGAACAAAACCCACAGTATGAATCACTGAAATGACCCATTACCTCCAACCAAATGACCGATTACCTCAAACCAACTATCATGTTAATTCACTTACACATGATGAGGCAAATTATTACAACTACAGTCTACAAAAGTAATATTAGCAGTTCCTTTTCTCTATGGACTGGCAAACAAAAATCAGGCATTTCCAAGGTCTGATTAATGTCAATAATTCATAATATAAAAGCAATAAGAACAATATCTGGCATTAGTATGAGTATGTATAACCTTAATTTCCCTTGTTCCCCTTTACCAATGATCCTTAATTTCCCTTGTCCTCCTTCACCACTGCATCATGGGCAGTGAGGATCCTCTATAAAGGGACTGTTCCATGATACCCTTTTGTGCAAAAACATTTCCACTTTTACAGATGTTGAGTCATTCAATGTATGTCTGCTTTGCTGGCATTCAAACAACTTGGGAGATTATGCCATTTAGCTTTCAACAGAGGATATGTGTAATCCTCTGCTATTCTGTAAAATCTCAGGGCAGTCAAATTCAGTGTGGTGTCACAGGTTTAGGGTACATCTTCATGAGGTCTAGCAGGTATATGCAGTCACATTGTCTCTCCAAGCTGAGGTGAGGGGGCATCCATGACAAATTCCATTTCAATTTATAGGAGCTGATTCTCATAGAAGGTAGGCTTGGTCCAGAGCTATTAACAAACCCTGGGCACCATCCATAGTCACATGTGTAATAAAATATGTTTGACCTTTAATTTGTTAGGCAATACATTGACAACATTATATTAAAAACTGCATGGCTGAGGAGAAAGTTTAATAACTCAGTTAAGTATTAGGAGAGTTACTAACATTTCTGTAAGATGTTTGGCCAGAATATTGATGTGCCTAGTATGTCTGATGGCATTTCTGTGCTGACAGAGAATGTCCAAACTTATCTGTGACTAGAAAACATGGGAAATACTGGTAGAGAAGAACTGAACATTGTGAAAGTATTGAGATTTGGAAATGTAAAGGCACGCATCTCCAGAGGAGAAATCTTCTTCAGTAAAAGCTTACACCAGAGAATGATTTCTTGACTATGAACCACATTTACATAACTCTTTAGTTGTCTGACAGAAAGGAGACCTCCTAGAGCTGATCTGAAGGTCACTACAGATGTTTGCCTTATTTCTTTGATCCTTTTCCATCTACCTGTTAACCTGGAAACAGTGTTGTCTCCCATTTTGGAAATCTATACTTAGCCTTTTACCTAAACATCTTCCAGAAACTATGCATGATGAAAGGATATTTGACAATCAATGTTTCATTCCCATGAAACTTGAGACATTGTCATGACACTCAACACTCAATTGTGTTTTCAAGTGCACTGAGAAGGTAATGGAGCTCCTCCACCTCTGTGAATTAAGTATCACTGTAAAAGAGATGCCTTCTCAAAACTAGCAGTAATGGCATGCAAGGCAATGAGAAGAGTGGGCAGAGCCTTGATGGTCTCCTAAAAACCTGACAAAAGATTTTGGAAGTGATTCTCCCTTCACTTTTCCCTACTGATGCTTGGAGGAAATATGGTTCCATTTTATCCAGGATATTTTTATGTCAGATTGATATCTTCTGTCAGGCAGCTAATAGTAAGGGAGGATTAGCATAGTTTTGAATAGCTCTTCTAACATTGTTTTAAAAAATATTATTAAGAGAGGAGTTCCAAAGGATTAGGAGTGTATATACACACTGAAGAGCTACTTTTCACCTAAATCCCCTACATGCAGCAGCTGAAGACAGCTCAGGGTATAACAGAAACATGGAATGGGTCTGTTTGGAAGGCACCACAGTGGGACATCTGGTCTGAGCTCCTGCTCAAGCAGGGTCATCCCAGAGCACATTGCACAGAATTATGTCCAGTCAGTTAAAGAATATCTCCACTGAGGGAGGCTCTACAACCTCTCTGCGCAGTTGGTTCCAGTGTGGCATCAGCATACATTAGCAAAATACTGATATTTCTATCCCACCCCTCTCTTCCCCCTGTTAAAATGAGCATTTGTAATCTTTTCAGTGAAATAGGATGTAAACAGTCTTTACCATTCCTTCAAATAATTCCCAGTTGTAGAACATGTGCAATTCAGTTGTAAATGCTGTTAAACTATCCAAAACTGCCCTATTTCTAACCTCCCTTTTCTCTATTGGTTTGGGTTTTTTTATAATTGATGTTGCCCAAAGCCTGCATGCCAAGCTCTTAAAGGCAGGAGCTATTTAGGTCTACTTACAATCCTTAGAAAATACCAAAGTACAAAACAAAGAGCATCTTAATAAGAGATTGCAAGTACTGATTTATTTGTTGTAGGCCCTAAAAAGAATATGCAAGTAAAAATAGCATCTTTCTACGTCATTGAAAATAATGAAATAAAAATGTTTTTCATTGTGCTTCATGCCTTATGGTAAGTCCTAAGCAGAATGAAACTTCTATTTCTTGTGCAGATTGCTGAGGAAGCCTTCTCTGGAATAGGATTTATCAGTTGGGGTTAACATCATCCTGGCCACTGCAGTGACTTCTGCATTCTTATCAGATCTCAGAGCTGGCCTCTAAATCAGCTATTTCCCAAAATATTAGTTTATTTAGTTCTATTAGTTAGTAAAACACGCAGTTTTCTGCTGCATCTTCTGTCTCCAGAATTGTTATATAACTGCATTAGGGTCACAGCCCTCAGTCCAGGGTTGAGGAGCTTCTGAGCCTAAGTCAAGATTACTATAGTGCCCTTTGGTCTTTGTCTTGATAGGTTTTGCTGGCATCAGGTACCGAAGGTTCTTCCAAAATCTGGAATTCACGGGAAGAGATTTATCTTTTTTCCATTTCACCACCCTTTTTGATGGTAAAAGTGACAGTGATTCTGGCAAGAAATTGTAGTCACTTATAGGCATATATTCAATTAATATGATCTTAGTTTTTCTTTCAACTAGGGCTTTATGCAGTCCACTCTCAAGTTCATATATGGCTCTGTCAGAAATGTAGTTCTGGCTCAGTATAATGATTAATCTTCTGCTTTTATCAATGAATGAATGGATGTCATCAATGAGTGCTGCAAATTAAAGATAAATTTATTGTTATATTAAATTGAAAGGATAGGGACCAAATCAAATTATCTTTTAAATTCACATATGTACCAAAAATGTAAACATTTTTATGTTATAAAGTGACAGTGTGTAAGCATCCTGTCCTTATGAAGAGACTAATATGTATTAAAGATTAGGAGTCTCCAAAAATTAACTCAGGTATGATCAAAGATTGTTCTCTGGAGCAGACATAAACCTACTTATAATCTCCATAGTCACATGTACAGAAGGCAACAGCAAAATTAACTTTCCCCCAACAAGACATCTCTTTGCTCTTTCCTGATACCTTTGGAATGATTCCACAGAAAGGCACAAACAGCAACTTCTCTCCAAGTATTTTGTAACCCTGGGTTACACCTTCCTTTATGACACCAAACACCCAAATCTATTTCCTGTAATCCAGGCTGAAAGACCAGCATGTGATGACAAAAGGAGTTCCAGCTGTGTTCTAGATTTATGGCTTTTGGTATGAAAAGTGATGAAAGAAAGTGAATGGTGATACCCTTTAAATACCAAATTGAATTTTCATTAACAGCTTCCAGTGCTTGTTTTAACACCATGGGACAAAGTCTACATAAAACAGAGATCTAGAGAACAGGACTTGTAGAGAAAGGCAAAGCAAACTGCAGAACTAACCTAATGAAGAGAAAGCTGCAGGTAAAAGGAGGCTGACAAGTGTATTACAACACCAAAGGCTCCCATACAAAAAAGGAAATATTCTATTTTACATGTTCACAATGGATCAGATCAGAGAAAAGAAAATAAGCTAAAACTATTGAAAGAATCAGACTGCACACTTCAGTAAACAATTTTTTAATACTTAAAGATTGAGAATAGGTAAGCAGAAAGGGCTTAGAAGAGCTGTGGTTCCTCCCAGGATAGAAAAATTTGTCAGGAATGGATATAAAGAGACAAGATCCTGCTTAATGAAGGAGACTAACTGATCCTATTGTTCTGTGGTTTGAACAATGAAGTTCTATTTCTCAGCTAGATCTTTGGACTAAAGGGAAACTCATAGTACCTTTTATCCAAGCAAAAGGCAGATCCCAGATACATCCACAGGCCAAACAAAATTCCATTTCTTATTTCTATTATGTTATGGCACTCATTTCATTCAGAAAATGGTTTCAACCATCACGCAGAAGATACAGTAAACATAGAAGTTACCTAAGAATAACTAGTACCACAGTCATCAGCTGCTCTGTGCAATAAATGTGAGGTCATTCATTGACCCTCAGCAAAAGCAGAGCAAAAGCACTGTTACTGGGAAATATGTGATATCTTGATATCTTCTGTGTCCTCACCTTAACCTTCTTGATGCTTGCTCTTTGATCTTTTCATCTTGATTCTTTGTAATTAGTGATTTATGCGTGCATGTGTAAGTTTACATGAATTCATAAATATAACTATAAAACATGTAAAATGTTTGCAACCAAACTTTGCATGCACACAGTCCAGATTAAATGAAAAATGTAACCTTTCAATACACAACACATGACAGAATTCCTTCTAATTATAGACTTCTACTTTTGTGTGAAAATGATGAGCCTATTTAATGACAAGAATATTCAATATACTTACCCCCTCCAGGGAATACATCCCTCTCAAATATACATAACTTGTACCCAAAGTTTTCTTCTAATATCATGGGCAATACCTTCAAAGCAAATTCTCTCTCTTCTTCAGTAGGAGAAACACAGTCTTTCAAGTAAGACACAAACGCATCATATTCTTTTCCATCTGAAAATAAATCAACAATTTAGTGTTGTCAGCCATTAGAAATCCAGTATGCGATTCATCATTCTGGTTTTCAAACTTAGTGTCTTGATGGCACAACGTCTAGAAACTCCTGATCTTTCTCCTGAAGACTCTGAAGAGTCTTCAAACACTCTTCATCAGATTAAAAAAATGTCCTGAATAAATTTAAGGTTGATACAAAAGATTCTGATTGCATTTGGATAATACTTGAAAATATTTCCTTTCTACATTAAGGTGCTTTTTAAATAAAATCTGATTAATTTAACCAATTAATGTCACATCTGTGAAAATCAAGATATGGAGGGAAGCAATAAAGGTGTCTGTAAACTGAAAAAAATTGTTATTTAAGTAATGTTGCAGATTTCAACATTTATGGTACACTGTGTCGAAGTGGAATGGGTACGGGCAAAAGAGATAACAAACCAGTTAATTATTTTTGTTATGAGAGTATGCCATGTCTGGTCTTGGTTGGAGCACTAATTTACAGACAGAAAATCGAAGAGCAATCCAGAGGCCAGGTCACCCACGCTGCCACAGAGCAACTATCAAGACTGATACTCCAGCTTCTCAAACTGCACTTCTTTGCTTCCCTTTCTGAATACTTTACTGCATGTAGTTCATAAGAGAGAGCACAAAGTAAACACCATGAAACCCCACACCTTCAAGAGCTCTAGGAATAGGAAATCCATTGCCTAGTATCGAACAGGCAACTCCTCCAGGGCAGCATAGCCCAGGTTCTCAGAGATCCCCCCTGAGTGATTGTAAGCCACTCTGGTAGCTGATATCAACAAGTAAATATTAACACTGGTAGGCATAAATGACATCCACCCATTACCAAAAAATCTCCAGCCATTGCAGTTTATTCAAGTTATATTCAAGCTGATTTAGAGTCCAAGAAAGGCCAAGAAAATCAGACCCACATATACAGCAAGTTTTGTCACCACAATTTTCAGAAAAATTATTCTTAAAATTGAGTAATTGTCAGGTTTGCTGTGAAGGCCACAGAGCTGCTGCCTGGTAAGACAATGGTAATGTGCACTGCTGCGCTCCTTAAGTGCATGTAGTGACAAACCCATAAACATGCAATGGCCTCTACAGTCAAAGAAACATTTTAAGCTTCACCTCAATGAAGGGCATCAGTGAGGTGAAAATGAATTTGTGTCAGTCTGCCCATCTGAAAACTCCAGTGTTCACCCTCTTCATGGGTAGACAAATGGAAACCTCTTTACCCCTATCAACTTTTGTGAGGAAGAATATGGCAGAGCAGAGCTCATCTGAACACCATCCAACCACATCCCTTCTACTGCCTGTTCCCAAGGCACCGTGTTTATCTGCTCTCATTGCCACACATACAACAAACACACGTTAGCACCTGACCATCAGGTTGTCTTTTATATTCTGAACACCATCCAACCACATCCCTTCTACTGCCTGTTCCCAAGGCACCATGTTTGTCTGCTCTCATTGCCACACATATACAACAAACACACGTTAGCACCTGACTATCAGGTTGTCTTTTATATTTATTTTTTTTTGCTTCTCACACTACTCCTAGATTTATGATATTTTTTTATCTTCCTCAAAGCTGATTTATTCATAGATAGAACCTGTCAAAAAATATGTTTTATCAGTATGCTTATTTCAATGTCAGCATGAGCAAAGTCATACCTCCAGCAGTATCGTCTCTCCTGCAAATATTTCTGTAAAATAGAACTAAGTCGACCCTAAACATCACAAACACAAACACCACAGCCATGGCAACAAATGGAAATAGCAGAGCAAGGACCATTCCAGTGGTAAATACATGCACTGGCAAGTCTTGAATCTTCCCTGTAAAAGAGAAACACAGCCTTAACAAAGAGTATTATATAACAAGATTACTGTATCAAATACTGATGACACCTAAAAATCACCTCAAAAAACTCACAATGTTGATGGGAATCCTTTCCTGCTAATGCTTCAAGCACATATGCATGCCACACTAAGACAGAGAGAAACTAGAAAACATGTTTTACTGCAAAAATCTTGGGCACGATCACATACAGTTCATTTGTGTGTGTGCAGGGTCTGTGAGATCAAGACTGACATTTCAGATCCTCATAGATGTATAGCATTCCAAAATGATGGTTACTCACTTTGGTGAAGTTTCCTTCCTTAATGTCCTATTTAATATCTTTGGCCAAGATACTTTTGCTTTTTTTGCTCTAGTCTCTTTCAGACCTTTCTTCATTACTATTATTATCATTTTTAAGAGTTTTGAGAGTTTTAGCTCCAAATACAAATTTTTAACACTTAAATCTTTGTGAAGTTTTTACAAAGGCATTCTCGAGACATGCTCATTGTAGTCTGTATTTCTTTTGCTTTGCACTGCTCCTGTCCCTGTCTGAGAGGACGTTGTTAGGTCCAGCACTAGGTGTGTGAGGGCCTTCATAAGCAGTGTTTGGAGCAGTGTTTCAAAATGCCCTCAGGATTGAGAAAGCTAATTATCAAACTAGTTCTAGATTATGCCATACCTTTCTTCAGTTTTACTATTTTTATCTGTGTGCTTTCATCAGCTTGCAACATGCAGGTGAAATTATGATGCATGTCCTCATCTCTTACTTTTTTAATCCGTAGTAGCCTTGTGATATAGAACTTCTTTCCCAACCTGCAACAAGGAATGGTGTTAGCAACACTATCTGTACAGAAACCTACAACCACCTGAGAGGCAGATTCTGAGGAAAAGTTTCTAGAGAAAACCCTCAGTCTGCGGTTTTTACTGAATTTGCAGTTCCACAAAGTGTAGGACATTTTCACATATAAATTACAACATTTTCAGGAAACCTACTGTAGTGTTTTGAGTTCTTCTTCACATATTGAAGGTTCATTCTCAGGGATACCTGTGCATTGTTCTGGAAACGTTTGGTTAATTAACCAGTAGAGGCTGGCATCTTCTCGCATATAATAACCCAAGGAACCTGTGCAATTGAGTATCTCTTCTTTACCTGAAAAAACAAACAAACAAACAAAAAAACAAACAAAAAAACAAACAAAAAAACAAACAAAAAAAAAACACAATAAAAAAACATGGGAAGATTTAGTGAGAAGTAGTATTCATGTACACAGCGAGCACAGTAAAGTGTCAGCTTTCCAGGAAACATATCCTATAAGCTGTGCTCCTTTCTAAATTTTGTAGCCCCTGCTCAATGTTTTATAGGTGTTACACCTGCATTGGTGGTGGCCTCAGCAGTCATGCACTGCTGCAGAGTGACAGTCATCCATTGCTTTCTTTGAGATAAATCATCAAAGCCAGGTGGGTTTAAATAGACCTGAGAATTTCAGGCTTTAGAGACCTAAAGGGAATGTGACTTGATGATCTTTGAGTCCCTCATATTTGAGATATTCCATGGTTCTCTAAACCAGACTGTGTGCTGCAGGCTGAGAACAGAAGAGGAAAACCTATCACCAGTGCTTCAGGGCCAGGTAAAAGTAAGTAACTGGTAAGGGGAATTACAGCCAACTAATTGTAATAGGGAAACTATATATGATTACTCAACAAAACCAAAGCCCCTGTTGAACCTGCACAGAAGCAGTTCTTATCTCAGTATCACAACTGGAAATTCCTGAATACATGAACAAGTCATTTATTCAGTCAGCTACTTGCCTCATTTCAAAGCACTGAGTGTAACTGACAGGAACCACCTCATAAAGTTCCAGTAGTTTTAAGAAGTCGCAAAACTAAGAGTGGAAAAAATAAGGGCAGAAGACTGCAGCTCTGGAGTGTGAGATTTTTTTAATACTGTCAAGGGAAACTTGACCTGAAGCTAGCTGCAACCACAGTTTCTAGGCCATCGCAACATCGTTTCTAGGGAACACATCCAGAATGCTCTTTATTAAGTCAGGACAAATGCATGTTATTTCTTCTTCAGACCATCATGCACAAATACTTTCCAGTAAGCAAGGCCTACCCAGCAATTCTCCAAGAGCACACAAAGCTTCTCAAGACTTACCAGATACTTCTATAACCTTCAAAGCAAGAGCCAGCTGAAAAACTGGCCATCATAGATTCAGACCATAGAAATCCAAATTACAGTTGCACAGACCTAACCCAGTATCATTGGCTTGCAATTCTAGCATTTCCACCACACACAACAGCTATTTGGAGACAAATATAATAGTACACCATCCTCAGCAATAGGTTTTAAAGATCATAGACCTGGCTCATCCTAAATTCGCTTCACTCTCCACCCTGCCATCTGTCTCATCACTCAGCAGGTAGTTCAATGACCTTATCAAATGACCTTATCAAGGGGTGGAAGACATAGGTCATAAGCATTTGATGCCAAACCCTGCTAACTTCTAAGGGCTGGGACAAGCACAGCAACGAGGAAGAAATGTGCAGGAAGGGCATTCGTGGGAGGCTGGAAGGCATGAGGCATCATAGCGCTGGGGTACTACCCGTGAGAAAAGGATTTACCAAGCAGTATTGGTAGGAAGGCAGGAAGGAAAATTAGCATCTGAGGTCCTAGATGAGTAAATGAGATACAGGTATGAGCCGCAGAGGAAGTAAGATTTGAAGGGAAGGATCAGGAGGAGAGGAGAGGAGAGGAGAGGAGAGGAGAGGAGAGGAGAGGAGAGGGACTGATAAATTTCTGTTTTAAAAAATTAATTACAGCCTCAGTCACAAAATCCTGGATCTTGTCCAAGGCTGTGTGAAGCCTGCAGATCATTTTATCTAACGTACTCCTATCTAGAGGCACAGGTAAGATCTCTTGACAATACAGATGTACACGCACACATTTCCAGGACTGCCACACCTCACACTCCTCATTTCCCTGAAGAATAATATTCTCAACCACAAGAGGTATCAGTGGGATTGCTCATTACTGCTGTGCATTGAGTAAACCATACGTCTTTTGCACATTGCTTCATGGGGTTTGCTATCTACAAAAGAAAGCCATGGAGAGATGTTCTATCACCACCACCACCTTCTCTTGCAAGCTGTAGCAGCAACCTCAGCTTCTGCCTCTCTGAAAGGGTACATTTAGTGTACTTGTGTATCAATCATGGAATACACCAGGCAAAACATTACCAGATGTGAGGTTAGATCACATACAGGATGATGCACAGACAATTAGTTTGAGTACACTTATCCAGACCATAAACCACAAAGAAATCAGAACAAAAGTATGTAGGTAGAGTAGCTACCTCAAAGATTTTTGTATTAATTTCATACCTATTTCTGTTTCAAATTTTTCATGAGTTCCAAGTATCTCCAAAGTAAAAGCCTCCGGTGCGTCTAAAATAGAAGTATTGTTATTGAAGTGGTACCTCACATTCTTCCACAGTAAAAGTTACATAATTGTTCTATATATAAAATTAATCGCAAACATTCCATTTAATTCACAGAACAATATCTGGGTTCTGGTGTTTCTGAGTAACTTAAAACCCAGTATGTCTCGCTGAATTTTTTTTCACATACATATTTATATACAGAGTACAATTTGCAATGGTTGGAAAGGCTCTTGTGCAAAATTCTTAGTACGTTTGTATGACTTACTTAGAGCAGCTAGTTTGAAAAAAAAAAAAAACCTGCAGGGAAAACATACTAAATACATTTTCCATAACTGGTAATATTTTATCCTAACTTCTACTTTTTTACTTCTCAAATTATTCTGAAATAGTTCAGATTACCAGACTTTTCTCCCTGGTATAAATTTGTTAAATGAGAACTGCAATTTAAAATCTCCTTAGTAAAGTGAACCAAAAAGTATGCTTCAAAATTTTAGAAAGCTTTCTTACCTTCTTCTACTACAAGTTTAATTGTATTTGTGCTGTGATATATTGTTCCTTCATGACTGATTAAAATTTTACAGGTATATATCCCAGAGTTCTGTACTGTTAAGGCTCTAAAATTTAGTTCCTTCTCTGTTTCATGTTCATAATTCTTACAGTCCTGCATCAATAAAACCAGAAAATACTAGTCTGTGGCAAACATGCATTCAAAACATTAAAGAAATTAAGATTTTTATTTTTTTTAACAGTGTCACCATCACCTTTTCATTATCCCAATGACATGTGTCTGACCCAAAAAAGGTGCAGGCCCAATTTTCATTCATGGTCACTTAAAGGCAACATTTGAACATTTAACCCATTAGAAGTTGAGAACACTGCAATTGAGGAAAACATAACAACCTGTGGCCCTATCCATCAATGGTCCCATCCTCCCAGGCCCCGAAAGACAAGAGAACAGGGCTGAAGCTCATTCTTTCCAGGCTACTCCAGATATCTGTACTGAATCAGTCAAAATCCCTTCCTGAATCTGATTGATCTTGGAGTGACCAGGGTCTGTTACTCCAACCAGGAGACCTGAGAGGAATAAGGAGCACACCCCAAAGAGATGATTTGCCAAAAAATGAACAGAACTGGATCTGTTACACACCTAAAAACTGTTCAGAGACAGCAAAATTGAAAAGTTTGCAATTACTTTGCAAGTATATGCCAACTGTAAAATAAAAATCTTGGCATCTCATTCAGCATCGGTACAATATCTATATCAGCAAAGTAGCAGCTGGCTAAACCAGCTGCTGCCAAAATCAGCAGACATGCACATCAGATCTTTTATCCTCCCAAACTACTAGTTTAATAACTTCTGAAACAGGTATTTTTTAACAAATTGAAAAGCAGAAAAAGTTTTGTTTTGTGTCTCTATCTAAAGATTTTCCCCCTAATCCCATGAGAAATTAAAGCTTTACAATGTTTCTAGATGCTTCTAAAAATTTGTTTACAATTAATATTTTCTGCAATCAGATGTTTTGTTTCTACAGCCAATGATTTGAGGGATACTGTTTCAGAAATTACCTTATACCATGTTATGCTGTCATTTTCATAGACAGACAAATCGCTGCATTTCAGTGAATGACCAGTTCCAGCACTTTTAATCTCTGTAGTTAAATGATTTTCATTGAAACAGCTGCTTTTATTTCTTTCAAGTACATTCAGTGTCCACTTTTGAATTGTGACATTTTGTTTTCCATTGCTAAGAAAAAAAAATATAGCAAAATCAGTTTTAGGAGCTTTCTAAAATGATGCAGCTTGGTGAGTTACAAAACAAAAATAAATTCTGAAATACATCTGTTAGGTAAAAAGTACATCTACGGTAACCCAATTACTTTTATTTCCCTTTATCACTTTCCCACTCCCAAATAAGTGTTATTTCCTTTAACCAAACAGGTTACCTAAACTAAATGCACTATCACAAAACATTTGACAATACAATTATATCTATATAACATGACAATATATTCCACATTGACCTGAACAAGGATGCAACAATCTGTGACATCATCCATATTACATGACAGCATCAAAGAATTTTGGACCTTGAATCAGCTGAAGATTTTGCAGGTTTAATTTCCTACATGTTGCTAAGCTTAAAAGCCATGACAGAAAAATATATTTGTAAAATTAGAAATAAGATAGATCATTGTTATTTAGATATCTACTAGGTTCTATCCATATATTCCTTGAAAGAATCAGATCATAGCTGTAATTTCAGTGTTTGATATATCCAAATATATGACTACCAAGGGAAAAGAACCTGAAGAACTTTTATTTGGCAAAGTTAGAGCTTAAGAGAAAGCCATATGCCGCTGTCAGTTAGTGGGTGAGATTCTGTCAGTTAATGGGTGAGATTTTGCAATTAGTGCATAGAGCTCTCATTTGTTTTCTGAACAAGCAGAGCCTGACAAAGGAAAAGCAGCAATCACAGAGAACTTCCCTCTAATGCCAGTCATGTCTTCATAAATATGTTTGAATCTTTCTGCCTCCAAGAAAAGAAAAATAAATTTCTTCCAGAACTGCAACTAGTCAATAATTATTTCAATGAGAAAGTCCAAGAGGACAAAGGACTTGAAATGGAGAAACATCCATGGTGAGTCCATCAGCTTAAACACCACTCTTGACACGTCTTTTGAGTTTACAAGATTCAAAAGAGCTATTAGGGCATCATTTTTATATTGAATTTAACCAAGTATTGGGTTGTTTCTTTTCTGCTTTTTAAGTTCCCCAAACAAATGTATTTATGTATTCTCCTTGCCCTCTTTGCATTGTAGCCCTTTTTCAAGCTACACAGGTTCTCTACTCACTTGAGATGTTCACTACTCCTAATTGTAATTGACTCTTTAAACCAAACCATAGTGGTTTTGGTAAATCAGCTAACTATGCTGTCACTAACAGGAAAAGCCTTACAAAACTTTTCCAGCAAAGAGCTCACATGGGTATTCAGGTGGATGGAGCTCTTCTCACCTATTCTTCAACATCTTATTTACACATTTAAATCAGAGCTACTAATCACACTCAGCAGTGGCACCACAGTCAGAAATCACCCTGTTACAGTGCAGTTTATATGACCTATTTTACATGTTTTTGTTTAGGACAAGATCACCTGTGAGCCAGAAAGGCCTCTCCCTCCCTGACAGTAAAGATACCCAAGATGTTTATGTCTACAGCTACCTAGGTGTAGACATAAACATTAATTCCAACTAATTCCACTGAGTCCATGTGTTTCTTTAGACAATACTCTACTAATCTGAATACTGTCAGAGAATTAATTACAGATCTAGCCATGACATGCAAATAATTTTACTCTCTAGATCCAGCAGATGAAAGAAAAAGGTCCATAAAGCCACATTACTCCACAGAGCACTGTTACTCCACAGAGGCTTTCTTCTGTGATCTTATCTGGGGAAACCACTCAAAGTGGATCAAGATATTCTACCCGTTGAGCCAAAATCTGGCAAGAGAATGTCCCTGGAAGGTATTACAACCAAACCAGTGCAAACAAAGATTAATTTTTTCATACATAGTTTCTAGTTTGGTTCATACATAGTTTTCTAGCATGGTTTTCAACACACACAAAAAACCATTTAGTTGCATTTTTAAACTGCTAGTGTCGGAATTGTTATATGTTTTTAAACTGGTTTTCACTTGTTGAGAGTCCTCAGTGATATTTTGTCAGGAACAAAACTGTTTCTGGTTAAACAGCTTTTCAATCTCGCCCCAACAAACCCACCAAGAAGGAACAACAAAATCTAGCTTGACTCAGAAGATGATACAGGGAAGTGAAAGCCCTTACAGAACATAAACCAAGCTTACTGGATACATAGCAAATTACAAGTATTCTCTTGGCTTTTTACTACAACAAGCCAGTGTTATTTTGATACTTCAATCTTCTGTAGGAACCGTCACTCTGCTTTGCAAATTGCAGAATTAACTCTACATGTATGTTCCCAAGGCTTTCAGTTCCTCTAAACATATTGAAAAATTGAGCAATATTTGGATTTTAAAATTTATAATGCATTTATCATGGTTCTCTGTAGCTTTTTGTTTTTTTCAGGGACCTCTAAGTTCTCTCAGTTTCAAAGTTACCAAAATAGAGCAACCTGATGACCTGCTTTTTTGTATTCTGTTTTTCTCTTTGACAACCACAGGATACAGGCTATAAAAAAACACCACAGAAATTACAAATATTTCCAAAGACCTGTGACACAGTTTTTGCTGCTTATCACACTTACTCTAAGTACAATTTTTATTTTCAAGAATGTTGCTGAAGATGGACACATTCAGGCCTATAGGTGATGCCCATTGATTCCTGAGTTTGTATCCTAAGTCTAGTGTACTAACAAACACACATGAGCATGTCAACACACAGATATGCACACTTCAGCTACCTATGTATGTCTCAGCAGGACATATCTGGTTTAACTGTAAAACTTCTGATTCCTCTTTAAGCAAAAAGTGGTTAAAACATCATAAAAAATTGTTACATTACTTTTGCCTCTTGCTTCTTGCATGTTGTCACTTGTAACACATCAGAAAAAAAATCCTTCATTTAATTAGTTTGCAAAATCTGTCAACATGTTGTCTGCTTTTCTTGAAAATCTGCAGTATATGTAATTGTCACATTGTTCCCTGAACCTACCTAAACAGTTATAAGTATTCTGAAAATTATTTCCCATGTAGCTTACAAACAGCTAACTCTAAATTAAATAGTTGAAAATTAAAAATATAAATAAAAATATACTTAGCATCTCTTCTTTCGCAAGTAAAACTTTTAACCTACTATAAATACTCTGAAATTAAAGTAATTCCACTCAGTCATTCTTATTAAATCTTAAACAAGTTCAGTAGCCCACAACAGCCCACAATTTTTCGCTACAGAAACTTTTAAAAGTCCTCTGTCTCTGCAGAAAACAGTTTTTGCAATAATTTTCTGTATTTACTGAAATGTAACTCATTTAATATGCCTGCCAATAGTGAGAACCATCATATAAACTAAGCCCAAGATCCCATTAAATTCCCATGTAAAACATCCCCTTTTGCCATGTGTTCCAGCAGTGAGACCTGTGAAGAATTCCCACAGGAGGATTGCCAGATTCTGGCATCATTCTTATCCTAACAGAAAGAAATTCAAAAATTTAAAAAAAAAAAAAAAGGGTGTTTCAGAGTAATAAATTTTTTTCTCAAAAATACTTTCTTTCAAAACTTTTTTAAAATGTAACAGGTAACATAGTTCTAGAAGACAAGACAATAAAGGAGAAAATCAAAACTCTCAATTCCAAATGAATGCTTTGATGTAATCAAAACTTTTTTTCTGAGTTTCTCTCTAAAGCAAATGAGAAAATCAAGAAATTTCATAAAGGATTTTGACATTTTTGTGTTTTCCAACAATTACTCATTTTAACAAACTTCATTCTGATAGTTTTACTTCAATTCTTTTCTTGTCATCTCCTTCTTCTGTACTTAAGGCTCTTTCCTTCGGTTTTGAGGTCTACGCTTTTTCATAGTAATTTTGTAGAATTCTTGTGTTTTACTGTGGATTTACTGTCATTACGCAAGTCTTAAAGTAATCAGGAAACCACAATGACGGTAAATTGAGGCTGTGGTTATCACAGCTCTCTTCTCTTTGGCCCTTTAACGAGTATTTAGGGCTCATTATGGCAGTCTCCTTCAGAAGCCTGGCAATTCAGGTATGACCTTCGCCTACCTTTCCCCACCCATGCCAAAATTACTTAGTCTGCATTTTATGACACTTATTAGGTGGCATTTGAGTGAGTTTTTAGATTTAATAGCTTTTTTGTGAAGTGACCATAAAGAAAACTGATCAACACAACAAAATGGCACAACAAATTAGACAAACTACCACATTCATCATCCCCAAAGAAAACCTTGAATTTAACATAGATGAATAAAATTTTCTCAATATTTACCCTACAATTAAAAATACTTTACATTTCGTATACTATGAGTCAGTATTTTTAAAATAATATCAGTAAGGAGATAACATGGAAGAATTTAAAAAAAAAAAAAACGTTTTCAGCTTCCAAGTTGACTTGCAAGTTAACAATTGAAGTCTACCTTAGAACTGTAAAACATCAAACTTGAGTCCACAATATTTCTGGAAAAATGTGGAGAGCATTTTTCAGTATCCACAGTCACATTCCCTTTATACACCTGGCCAGAACCTTAAAAATATTACTTGGAGAACAGCACAAATCATTACATGCAAGGTGATCTGCTTCAAATTAATCATTGCTTCAACTGTAAATGATGAATTATGGGTTTAGTGCAAGTTAGTCATAAGAACTCCGTGCAGCAAAGCTTGGATTTAGTCCCTTTCAAGGTGCTCCAATGAAGAATGCCACCAAATAACAGAGGCCCATCCTTATTTCTCCTTTTTATCCATGGTGTTCTACAGCAGTAAGAAATCAAATCCAATTATTTCATTTGTTCTTTGAATGGCTCCATGAAGGCAAAGGTTTGCACAGAAAGCAGAGTTCAGCGATGTTATGTTTAATCTTTACTATACTCTTAGGTGACTCGGCAAGCCTCATAGCATGAGATCCACTCAACACAGCAAGAAAGAACAAGTCTGGGGAAGAAGACAAGCAAATGCTTCCTTTTTCTTGTCAGTGAACAGAAGGGTTGCCTGACACTCATTTTTCTTAGGTAATTAATCACAAGCCAGCAAAAATGCTACCTGCCTTATCAAAAGGTTTACAGAACATTTAAAAGGCTGAAACTCCTTATAGATATTTGTAAATATCACAGGTCTGCTTTGATAGCTATTGTGAAATGAAGTGGGAAATGACTCTGCAGTTAATGCAATTCCCTAAGCCCCTTTTATATGGATGTCACTAGCTATAGAAAACAAGACAAAGAAATTATCTTCATCATAGACGCATGAACAGGCAAGACATTTACCCACTGTGTTGTGTACCCACCTATGAATGACAGAGTAATTCCCAGAGTCACTGAGTTCAGCGGGCCAAAACTCCAGAAGGTTCATTTGTGTAACAATTCTGCGTGTTTGCTTTATCACTTGCTGTTTTCCAGCACTTTCTTTGTACCAGTTTATTGTAGATGCTGCTTCCTGAAAATGTTCTTGCCTTGACTCAACGTAACAAAGGAAAAAATATTCCCCTTCTAGAACATCAATGGAGGTGCGAATGGGACACAGCTTCCCTTCAGAGAAAGGGGAAAAAAGATATATTAGGAAGCCATTATTTTATTATTTCAGAAAATTGCATTAGCCTGACTTCAAAGTGATTTGCTGTGCTGATGGCATGTTATAAAAAAAAACTTTTTCAGCAAAATTGTATGGCAGCATTTGTGTATTGATTCCTGCAATATTTACTAAAAAAATCAGCCTTTTCCAAGCCTTTTTTCTATCTTACCAAGGCAACACCAGAAGAAAAAGGGGACTGAAAATAGAAGGATATTTCCCTATCTCTGTGATTCTTTCACATGAGTTCCACAGTGTCAGAATCACATTGGCTCAAAGGGCAGAATCTGGCCTCCCTCTACAGTAAAGCAGGTGTCAAAAATGGAATAGGAAAGGAGAAATTCTTCACATATGGTTTGACTTAACAAATATGTTTGAGATAAAAGCACAGATCCTATAAATTAACATATGTATTTCCTTATCTTCTTAATTAAAACTGGATCATTATGTAGATATATTTCTGAAAAACTTCAGATGTCTTTGGAAAACTGCCTTGGAATGGGATTATGTGTGTAAAATTTAGTCTTCAAGTCTGCCTTTCCAAAAAAGTTTCCAAAATTTACTTTTGCAAACAGAAACTATTAAAAGTATTGAAAAGGAGCCATGATAGAGGATTAAGAGTCAAAAATGAAATCAGCCTTCATTCTCTCTTTCTCCTGAGGTTCTCAGAGATTATTGTTGTTTACCAACTATTATGACCACACTTCTGAATGGCACAAAAAGAAGCAGACTCTTTCTCTTGTTTTCCATGTCTCTTCATATGGTCATGGCCACATACAACATCATCAGGTTTCTCCAGGGAGCATCCTTGCTTTTCATTTCATAATTTTGGTGTTTAGGACCAAATTTCCCAAGTCTGGAGCTGGGCTGTAATTGCCAAACCTTTAAGTTTTTGTTCTTGGCTGCAAAAAACAAAACTTGTCCTACTCCAAGCAACTGTCAAGAAGCTGGCACATATTTTGAATGTTCTATTATTGAATTGAAGACTTTTACTTACCAGTGGCAGATTCCATGATCAACATCACAAAAAAAATCCTCAGAGTCATTTTCTTGAGTTACTTCTCACTTCTTCTCCAAAAAAAAAATGCAATTGAATTGCTCTTGCTTGTTCTGAAAGCCTAAAAAAAAAAATTTCACAGTTCACCACAAGTCCAGTGAAACAGATTCCTTTGAGCATGTGAGCAGTGTAACTACTCACTGTTAGGCTTAGGGTTAGGGTTACACTGTCTGCTGCTGAAGAGGGCTTTACAAATGGGAAGCTAGATAGTTTTATCATAACAGCTATTTTTATACATCAGGTAATGTATCTAGATTTTTCTTTGCAATTTCATTTCAAATTCAGAATGCACTGCAGGATTTGCTTGTTCAATTTTCTTATTTAATGGATGTGTTTTGCAGTATTACAAGAGCACTCAAATCCTGAGCCAGCAGATACCTACCACAGGACAGGACAGTGCTTTTTTTCTCCACAAAGAGAATAAACTTTGCAAGACTGGACCTTGTAGAAACAGCCAATGGAAACTTCCCTTGCCTTCAGTGAGAACAGCACAATGTTGTAGATTGGATATGTTGATGGTTAACTTTGAGCCTGTTGGAAAGCAATGGGACATGTAATTTCTTTCACAATTTGATCTTTAGGGGCAATAAGCTCCAGCTGAGAGTGCTAACATTTCCACTGATGGGGAGGACAAGAAGCAGCCTATATTCAGCTGCTTCATGCATAGTCAACAAAGGCAAGTGGAAAACACCACTAAGACTGGCTTGGAGCATATTCTGAGGTTCCTCAGAACAGCAGGTTAACTGACAACCAAAGAGAGAGCCACTCCTGAGACTCAGCCTCTGTTTTGCTTACAAAACAGATGAGATACACAATCAGTTCAGTTCAACCCCTAAATCCAAAACAGATATCCTTGCTTAGTGTGACCCAAACATGGATGGACAGATAAGACAAATACACGAGATGTATTTCAGAGATCTGAGAGAGCTGCCAAAAAAAAGTCTCATTAGCAATCCATTTCTTTTTTATTAGGTACACTTGATGCAATTTGAGAAAACACAGACTTTAAGAGACTGCCCTAAGATTTAGTCAGAAAGTTCCTGTAATGTGAAGAGTCTGGAGGCAGGCGGCTACTGCATTTCCAGCAGTATTGCAGGACACCAAACTGGGTAGGTACCCTCCCTCTCTTACCTTTCTCCTCTGTTCTTTACAAGTGTGCCATCGTTTCCTAAAGCACTGCAAGGAGATGAAGGAAGTATTTCACATCCCTTTTTAAGATGGTCTGGTAGGCAGATCCAGATTTAGAAAGCTAAAATAATCTGGATGGTGAATACTGCAACACCCAATTTCAGTTCCTTATTACACATGAAGATTCATACTCCTACACTTCATAAGGAAAGAAGGGCCTTTCTCTTTAATTTCTTGAATTTTACTTTCCTTTTCTTTCCTATCACATTCAGAAGAAATACAGCTGTTAGAGACTACAAGACTATGGCCCACTACATAAAGATAAAATCATTTAACACCAGATTTTAAATTCTAAATCCACTTCTTTTTTGGTGTATCACATCAGCACAAAGCAGAAGGTTGGTTGAATGAACAAAATATAATGGAAGCAACTTAGTAATGACCAGGTTTGAGATTCATGACTTCTAAAAATCAGCAAACAAGACCTTAATGTTACTCTCTCATTACTGTTGAACCTGATCAATTTGACTGAAATTGTTTTACTGTAGGCTAAAAAATTTGAGCCATAGAGTTTGAGTACTCTTCAATGAAAGGGAGGGAGCAAAAAAGGTGAAAAAAAGAAAAGTGCTTTTAGTGAAAGTCAGCTAATCCAGAGAGAATCTTTGAGAAACATGATAAGATTTTAATTTTCAGAAAAAATTGAGACCTTTTAAAGTAAAAGCAAAGATTGTCTACCTAATAAAGGAGTACAGAAATACTAACGGGCAAAATTCTAAGGCAATAGAGGGAAATGACAGTTTCAATGAAAATTTATTAAATTACAAGTTGTCTATAAGGCTTAAAGTGACAACAGCTTTATGCATTTTTTATGTTTTATACATGTTTAATTGATGGAGTTTTAATAATAAAATATGGTTCTTAAAAATGCTTGTGCCACTGTGAAACCAACAAAAACTTCAAACAAATCAAAAGTTTAAATTCTGATTACCAATGTCTCATGAATTAGAAAAACATGCATCATTAAAATTATTCCCGACTTTTCAAGAATGACCAGAAGATTTTTGAATGAAGTTGGGCTGATACACAGAAGCGATTGATCCTCAGTTTTGGACAAGTAACTAATTTTGATGAACAATTTTGGAAAAATCAGTTTGGTCCTGAAGGGTTGTAACTTCCTTTAAAAAAAGAACAAACACAACAGATTCTCCTAAACATGAGACAGTTCTAAACATCATCTTGGGGTCAAGGAAAGAAAGCACTCATCTTTCCTCTTTAAGAGCAGCTTCTTATGGAATTTAAGTATTTTTAAGTATTACCACACAGTGCCATAATTTACGCAACATTGATGAAGAAAACAAAAATATTTAACAAACAGTTGTCTTAACCATAGTAGATCCAAGCAGCATTCTGCCAGGATTGCAGTTTCTTGGTAAAAATGAAAATCTGTCTTAATTTCAAAGAACATAAGCAAAGCTGTTTACTTACTATGCAAGTCTTGACAGGTGGAAAGTGAATGGAGAGGGAGTCTTCCAAAGCCCAGAGAGTTGCAGTTTGAACTTACAACTCTTCTGAATCTCATTCATAATTGAAACAGAGAGTTGACTCTCTCCACAAGTGAGTCAATACACAGATATTTCAGTTTGAAAAACCTTCTGAGAAAGGAAAAGAAAACTGTTGATTGCGGGAAGGAAAGCGGAAAAAGTAGATGTGAGAAATTCATTTCTGCTAGCATTAATGGAAAGTTAATAGCAAGTCCTTAATAGCATTTTTTTTTCTAAATTAGGCATTTGAAAGCTAATTGATACATCAATGTTTTAGGCATAATCTTTTGCTCCTACCACTTACAACAGCACTGAAGGAGCCCATCCTCCTCCAAAGCCACCCAGGTATGAGAAAAAGGGCTGAGGACAGTGCAGAGACGGTGACAGGGGCTGTATATTGAAATAAGCCGTTTTCAGGGATGAACTGCTTATGACAGCTGGGTAATAAGGAAAAAGTACAGCGTGAGCTCTGGACAGAGGTGAACGATACTGGTGACTCTGGGGAGCGCCGGGCAGTGCCACGGACAGGGAAGCGCGGCTGGGAGGGAGAGGGAGAGGGAGAGGGAGAGGGAGAGGGAGAGGGAGAGGGAGAGGGAGAGCGTTTGGGGACGGGCTGGGACGGGGACCGGCAGGGTGCCCCGGAGAGGTCTCCGGCCGGCGAGAGCGGCTCCCCGCGCACCCGCAGGATGCCGTGAGCGGGGCAGGCGCTCGGCTCCTCCGAGACACGGGGACACCAAAAAAAAATATATAAAAAGTAAAAAAAAAAGTTTTAAAATCCCGCCAAAAAGAATGACAAACCATGGTGTGCAGGAAAAGAGATAGGGCAAAAGATAAGATTCTACATAAGTTCTTATGTAGTTCTTCTTCATAAGTTTTTATGAGAAATGTCCCCATTTCAATACTATTTTTTCTGTGCTACCATACCTTTCAAGGGGAGAATAGTGGAAACTTTCAAGACATTAAACATTTTGTATCTCCATTCCTGCAAAGTGAGTGTACGTATTCACTTCTAAATAAGCCATCATGCCATTAGTTCAGTTTGCTTGTTAGCCAAATGTTGTATATTGGAACTGTGGTTCCATCAGGAGTTTCTGATAGGTTTCTTGTCTGAGTCCTGTTCCTAAGTAAATGAATGCTTGCCATTGTTAATTCCATGAATGTTTTATCTGATAAGTACTGTGCAGCGATTCACTATGCCTCTAAATAAAGTTACTTTGATAACAGCAGGAAAAAAATCGTTCCCTCATGAATCCTTTTATTTGCCTATCACCCTTTTCATCTTCAGAAATTTGCTTGATGATAGCTACATTTTGGGTTTTTTACCCCAGACAACTGCTAATGCAAAAGTTCCCAATTCAACAGGAGGGGACAGTGTGGAGGTAAAACAAGCAGGTTACACTTAAAAGGAGGGAGGTATTACACAGAGCTGGCTTGCTTGCATATTTTCATTGTAGAGGTGAAGTGAAGAAACCCTAGAGAGTTTTGCTATCTCACCTCATTTGTTTTCCTCATCACAGAATAAAGCAATATGTCTATAACAATTAGACCTTTCACAATGTAAATCAGCACAATTCCAGGAAAGTAAGCTAAGGATCTAACTAACTATAGCTGCTTTTAAAATGTGTAGAAGATACTTTGCAGTGCTTTTGGTATTATGACTTAGTACCTGATTTTTAAACCTAAAAGAAAGCAGATATCATAAAGATGATAATGATTTTATATGACAGTCTGGAAACTATTTAGCAGCCAGCAAATAAAATGATAAAGTAAAATATCATCAGCTTTTTACTTTCACAGACTGTCTTCATAGCTACAGTTTGGAAATTTCTTTTTTTGACTCAGTCTTCTACAGCAATTATTTCCATGAGCTTTTCTCACATTTATTTACTTTCATATTCTTTTGAAATACTCTCAAGTTTTGAACTTTAATCTGTGTTGCAGAAAATGCTGTGTTCAATTGGTCCTTTCAACTACAGTCATAGCTAGCTCTGGGATACATGAACATATGTGAAAGGAGAATAAACTTTACACTTTTTAGTTCTCTGACTAATACAATTTTAATTGAGAAGTCATAGTGTAATAATAGATATGTAACTTGACTAAAAATAGCTACATCAATTTTGAAAATGTCATTATGAACATGAAAGTTTGCACTAAGATTAGAAAACAGATTTTTGAATGAAGCTCTGACAACCTGACCAATTAAGAATCAGTTACAGAAGACCAGTTATTTCACACAGTTTTTCACATCTTCCTTTCCATCCAACATAAATTATATAGAGGTGCTAACTGAAAAAGCTGAAACTATTTCCATGACAAATTGCAACATACCCAACTCCTGTAACCACACTTTAAACCTGTTTGCTCTTAGATGGCAATAGTCCTTCTTAAACTTTATCTATTATCTCTATATACAAGCTATATTAATTCCTAGCACACGTTAAGTCAAGTCCAATAGTTTTTCAGCGTTATCTTCCCCTAATATCAAAAAAAGCAGGTTGCAAACTGATAATGTATCTGTTAGAGCCTCGTATGTTTCTCAGAAATTTTAAAATACAGAAGTTGGACACTTTCAAACGTTCCTCCACATCACAGCATCACAGAATAATTCAGGTTTGAAGGGACATCTGGGAGTCCTCAGGTCCAGCCCCTCTTCAGGGTGCATGTGAACAAGACCTGGATGGGGATTCCACAGCTTCTCTGAGCACATGTTCCAGCTTTGGGACATGCATATGGTGAAATTTTTTCCGTAATATCTAATATAAATTTCCTATGTTCTAATTAGTGCGAGTTACTTTTTTGACCCATCTCTGGGCTGGTTTAGAAGAGTCTGGTTCCATCCATTCTCTCTGTCTTTTCATTAGATTATTGTAGGTAGAATCAGGGCCTCTTGACCTCTCCCTGTATGATCTGTGCTCTTGGTGATCTTCTCCTGGACTTCAATATGTCAGTACCTCACTTGTGCTGAGGAGCCCAAAACGTGACATAGTGCCCAGAGATGATCTCACAAATGCTGCATTCAGGGGAATAACCACTTTCCACAACTGCATTCTCATTAGTAAGGTGCAGAGTGCTGTTAGTCATCTTAGCCACAAGGACACACTCTTGAATTGTGCTCACTTTAGTGTCAACCAGGACACCCAGCCTATTTCTGCAAAGCTGTTTTGCATTAGGTTGAGCTCCAGGCTGAGTTGCTGAATGGGTTTGTTCCATCTCAGATACAGCACTTTGAACTTTGTGGGTTTCCATTTCTTCAGCCTGTTGCTGTCTAAAACAGCAGCCCTGTGCTCCAGTGGGTCAACTATCCCTCCCCAGTTTGATTTTCTGTCTGAAAATTCATTGGTTGTGCATTCTGTCCCATTGTCAAGGCCATCAGTAAGGATGCTAAACATTCCCAGCGCTGATATCACTCCGTGAGGGATGCCTCTAGTGATTAGGTCTGAGCTGAGGTTTGTGTGCTGGTCACATCCTGTTAGTCCCTCAGGTCCCACTGTTTTTGTGATCACTTTTGTGGATCTGTATGTCTAGCAGAGACTGTGTCAAGGACCTTGCTCACTACAAGATGTACAGTATCCAGTGTCTTCTGGACCTTGCTCACTACAAGATGTACAGTATCCAGCTGAAACACAACTGGATATGCATGATTTGTGTCTAAAACAACAGCTGTAGTTTTCCAACCCTTTAAAGAGCAAGGAACACACAGTTGTACATTCAATTTAATATAATATCAATTTTACACATCATCTTCCAAACAGGCTTTGTCCAATGCTCTAAGATATTAATGTTGCATAACAAATAATGGCTTGCTGCAAAAACTCTAGAAAACTCTTAAAACCTTCTTTTAAGGGGTAAGTTTCATGCTTCACAACCACGTGAGCTGTAGGAACATCAAATCTCAACCATATAGGATCTCTAGCTGGTCAGAATCTCTGAGTGCCTGTTCACCCACAAGAGGGCAGGATGACTCTGCTCTATTAAGAAGTGAAAGCAAATGTGCTCTCCAGAGTCCCTTGAGGGGCCAAAAAAGGGTAGAAACTCAAGAACATTAAAACTCTTTGTGGGCAATATAATTCAGGAACAAAATTGCTATGGTGCTGTTTAGTTCAAGCTTAAAGCATCCAAACTGAATCTTCTATAAGCTCTCTATGTTTATTCCTATGTTATTATTTCTATGCTTATTTATTTCTATGTTGAAAGAATAATTATTTTTTTTTGGGGGTGGGGGAGAGTGGTGGGAAGGGACAGGGCAACCTGTCATTCTGTTATTCCATGAAGGTAGACAAAAAGGCAATTTTAATTAAAAAAAAAACTTTTGAAAATCTAGGTTGTTTGTAAGTTGCATATCACAGAATGATTGAGAATGGAAGACACCTCTGGAAGTTATTTAGTTAAACCCCCTGCTTAAGATTGGCCAGAATCAAGCCCTGGCAGTTTTTTAGTATCTCCAATGCTGGAGACTCAAAACTTCCCTGGACAACCTGTGCCAGTGCTGGGTCACCCTTTCTGATGTTCAGGGGGAACCTCCTGTTTTTAGGTTTTCACCCATTGCCTCTGGTCCTGTCACTGGACATCACTGGGATGAGCCTGACCCCCTCTTCTTTGTACCCCCCCTCCAGGTCAGAGACGTCACCAGGCTAAAGAGTCCCAGTTCCCTTTGCTTCTCTTCATAGGAAAGATGCTCCAATCCCTTCACCAACCTCATGGCCCTTTGCTGTACTCACTCCACAATGTCCCTGTCTCTCCAGAGCCCAGAACTGAATGCAGGACTCCTGATGTGCCCACAGTGGTGCTGATATTTTATGATGCTGTAAAAGTATTCCACAGTTCTTTTTGTGCTTTCTCTCTAACATTACAAATATGATAACATCTGTAGAATATATCCATTTTAATGCATATCTCATATTTATTTACTAAACACTAAGGAGTTTCTTTACTAAACACTAAAGAATAACAAAAAAAACCTGTGACAACTGCAGTATTTTTTAGTCATTATTACGGTCACATACTCACCCCCGATACTGTAAATGTTCTTTGCCACTCTCTGAATCTCTGAATTTGCTTCTTTTTTTTCTGTCAAGGCCATTTTTTTCACTGCTGGCAAACCACAATAAGAATTCTATTCTTTTTTTCTTTTTTTTTTTTTTTTTTTTCTGGGCTGACCATGAGACTTGAAAAAAGTAGCATCACCACAAAAGCCATGTAGTGAGCTTGTTTTTCACCACCATGAATACATGCCTGGCTGACAGAAGTTGATGACACACCAGTATATTTCAGAGCAATTTGGTTCATTACTGATCCTGTGCACTTCCTCATTGTACCTTCTCCTCATCTCTTTCCAGCTTCAAAAGTCATCCTAGACTTTTCTTTTCCAAGACACTTGCTTATCATCCTTTCTTGTTCATTACAAGCTCAGGACTCAAACTGTATTAAAAACTTATCCTGTGATAATCTTGGAAGTGAATATTCTGTCTTGCTCTGTATCTTATGTGTAAAAATCTTCATAGTTTTTAGCAACAGGCTTTCCTGCTTTTACATATACCTTAGTGTTGGTACGCTCTCTGTGGGAAGAAATGGTACATAGGAATAACCAAGTCTCACACTGGCATGAATCCATCTTGTGGAGCCTCTACAGAGACAGCAAGGTTTATCCAAAGGTATCTTTAGCAACAGGACCCAGCACTACACACAATCTAATGAGGTAATTACAAAATGCAACATTTGATGCTTTATAGTTGTGGTGAAGCTAGCAATGAGTGAATGAACCCTTGAAAATACAACTCATTAGTGAAAAACTGTCTAGTTTGCCATAGATCTTTTAACTGAATGCTGAAAAATATCTATACAGATAGTTTATGCACATTTTTTTCTACTCCAAATATCTATTTATAAATCTGAAGATTCATATTCAATAAAAACTTACAGTGAAAGGAAAGAACTTGCCTGTTTGTAATCCTGGGCTTGGTAACAATGAATGTTCTGCATCTAATCTTCACTTTTTAAGTCTATTCTGTGGCAAGTCTCAAGTTGAAAACGAAGCCTTCTCTGACAGTAAGAATTTCCTGGGTTTGAAAATCTAAAATATTAAAGTTTGCAGGGATACCTGTACTAGAATACATCTTGTTCCTGTTCCCCTGAACTAGAAGGAGATTTGGCTCTGACCTCTGCAATTAAGGCTATTTCCTATCAGAAAGTATAATTACACATGAGCCTAAAGCATGGAAAAAAGGTGGATAATTTTTTCATAAAAAAACGATCTATTTTTTCAGCAGCTTAAAGGAAGGCTGTCAGCATATCAAAAGAACATCGTAATTTTTTATATGTTATTTCTATCTCAAGAAAATAATTACAGTAACAACATGATTATTGTACCTGAAATATTTCAACTTTCTCCTTTGTGTAAGATTCATTTTAATAGATATAAAAATAAAGTGCATATAAAGTACCTTTGTATGTATCAGTGCATTTATTTCCTGTAACAATGCATATTATATTTATAGATATATGCATGTATACATATATATATCATTGCATTTATTTCCCTCAACACTGTATTCACATCAGTCTCAAAAGATCCTTTAGTGAGGCATCCATACTAAGAAAAAATAAAATTTCATCTTGTGAGTATCACCATTGAATCAAAAAGGAATAAGTGTCAGAAAATAAAATTTAACAAAAACATAACATTATACTTTCTAGTTGCAAAATACATGTTATATTTTCTAGTCAAATAATACAGAAGGCATTCATATTTTATCAACTGCATTAGAAAGATGAAGTAAACCTGCAGAGCATTCAGTTATTCACAATCATAATTTTCTGTTATATATACAACTATATATAGAAAGAGTATAGGCACATTTGGTTTTCTGTGACGTGCAAAATTCTCCACACAATCAATAATTATTTCTTTACAGCACTCTCATACCTATAAAACGTCCCCTCAGTTCCCTAGACCTCTTCCATCAATTTACCCATTGCTACTCAATTAAATGACGGAAAAAAGTTCAAAAAACTCAGCCAGACTTGCAGAGTGAACAGTCATGCACCTTCTGAAAGCAAAGCCAGCTGTGGGCTTGTGGTCCATCCTGGTAGTGCAGCGCTGCTCACCTGCTGTCAGCCAGGTGTGAGGGTCTGCGTGTCAGCGGCATATGGTACCTCACCTGCTTCCAGAACTTAGAGCTGGGTGACTGTGGGTGCACCGTGTGCTCCTCTTTCCACTTGATGGTGCCTTGCTGCTTAATAATAAACCTAAGGGACTCCTGAAGCTTCTCATAATTCCCAATTGTCTCCATTTCCAGAAGGATCACCTTTGTGTCATTTTGAATGAGGGCATTGTATAAAGCAATGTGTTGATCATAAGAATCTTCTTTAGAATTAATCAGCTGGTGTGTCAGCAGGATGATCAGCCTTCTGCTCTTCTGCATCCTCTTCTCAATTGCACTGGCTGCATCTAGCAATGCACAAAAAAATGATGACACACTGATATTACTTTAAAAATTCTGTTGAGATTGGAAACTCCATTTTCATTGCTTTGTAACCAGAAATAATTTCTACCTCACTTCAGTGTGATACAGTTTGTTTATTGGAGAAATACTTTATTCCCTAAACCCTTCAAAAAGACATGAAACAACAACCAAGCAAAGGCAATGGGGCAGGGGCAGAGAAAAGCAAGAAGCCCAAAACAAAAAGCTTTCATTTCAAAAGGGTTTTTTGGTTGAAACATTAATATATTCACTGCTTTTAAGTATTGTTAAGAATTTCTATTCCAGTGACCTAGGGTCAAGTTGAATAGATCTGACTGTAACAAAATTGTGTTTGATCAGCAGTCTCCATGTAAGGAATTGTGTTGTACCAAGTTTAATGCCTTAGAGACAATCTTGCAATACTTACCCTTGAAAACTAGTCATTAGGAGGCTTTTGGGTGACTTGCATCTAAGAGGCTTATTTCCAGGTGGGGTTAGAGTTAATCACAGTGAATTGTCCTGAGTTATTCTCTGTTAATTTATACACTAATCTGTGCATTGTGTTGGCCTTCACCCTGCAGGAGTAAATCCAGACTTTCAGGGCATCTGTGTGTCAGCACAGCTGAAAGTGTTTGAATTTCCCACTGCCATGTTAGGGAGAGCTGATCAGTGCTACTGTCACTGTGATGCCAAGCCAAAAGAAAGGAAGAGGGAGACCAGCTGAGGAAATTCAATATACCAATTATTTAACAAACCAGCTGATTTTCAGATGCATCAGCCAGCTCCAAAAGCCAGCTCTTTTCCTTTGCTAGGGGCTGCCAGACCACTCACTGCAAGTGGTGTAAGTTTTTGCCATTGACAGTTTTCTGAGCTACTGTAGCTCCTTGCGCTGGATCTGGGAATGGTCTGGCTCAACTTCTGCAGCTTTTCTTCACCTTTATTTTTCCCAAGGCTAGGCTGCCTTTTCACAACTTTCCAGAAGAGAAGAGCATCAAAGATTTCAGCCTCAGCTCAGAGCTGATGAATGACACCTGGCCCAATGCAGATGATTTCAGAAATGTGAAACAGAAAATGCACCAGCTTAGGCTTCATGCCTGCTCACTGATAGAGAGAGAAGACCCTGTCCACAGAAGAACCAGGGCACAAGATAAACAGAGAAGTCAGCTCAGGAGGAGAGCAGATAGCACCTAGGTGGCAGCAATCATATGCAATAGTGTGGAGGGCGTCCATATGGAAATTAGCAAGGATTAATAAACACGATTTCATCATGAAAGACAAGAAAGTAGGAATAAAGCATACCAGTTCTCTCCTGAACTAATGCTGGGAATTGTGTGAAGGGAAGATAGAACATATCATGAAAAGAAGCCGAACTCCTTGTGATTCTAACCCCTCTTAAAAGGTTGAAAACTCCTGAGTGATAACAGCAAAGATGTTTCCTCAGATGATTTTGTGGGTTTGGCTTATGGGTTTCTCCTTTTCCTTTTCCTGTAGTCAGCCAAGCCAGCTCATGCTGTTTGGTTGTGGCTTTGCCCAGATAATGGCTGCACAGAGTTAGACTTTCCAAAGAGCAAGTGTATTTTTAAAAAAGTCACACTCGGGATTGTGTTTCCTGTGCCTTCCAAAATGATAAGAAGTCTGTGCCCCTTCCTTGTAGCTTGCTTTTCCTAGAACACTGGAAAGCACAGTATCCTTGTGACACCTGGCCTGAAAGAGCAGAGAGATGGCTGCTGAGGAGATGAGCTGCAAGGTCTGGAATGCAGAGTGACCTATACACCTAAAAGGGACTAGAACCACAATTTGTTCAAGCTTGACAAGTAATTCATGCATTACCAGATCTGAAACTTACCTTCTCCAGGATATATATCTCTCCCATAAATACACAATGTATATCCACATTTATTTTCCAGAATATCTGGCATGATTTGGTAAACAAAATATTCCACAAAATTAGCTTCATTGGTGTGGGTTTTGGGGTAGATAACATATGCATCATATATCTTCCCATCTATAAGGCAAAACAAGAGGAAGGAGTACTGTGTTAACATGAATTAGAGATGTCTCTTGCAAAAAGTAGATGAGAAATAAAAATATCAGTCACTGAAATAGATCTAAGAAGAAGTTCCAACCAATCGGAATAATGTATATAATCTGGTGCATGTTTGGAAACTAAAGACTGTGCATATTTGGTGTTTGCCATGCTCAGTTCTTTTGTCTTGTGTGTTTGTAGCTTTGGAGAACCTGGCCTTTGTATTGTGAAAATTGCATTCCAGCTGTGGTAATAACAATGCAGTAAGATTTCAACTGATCAATGCATATTAGCATGATATAGCCATGAAGCTCAGCATTTGTTATTTCAGTGATACAACTCACTACTAACAGGCTTTGTCTCTCAGCACAAGATATTCCATTTAAATTCTTCCATCTTGAAGGCTTTATTCATCATTCCCACAATATATCATACTCCTGAGTGAAAATCACATTTCTTAGGAAACAGTCTTACAATCAGAACCAAATACAAAGGCAAGTATTTATTTCATTCCTTACTTCATTTCTCTAAATCAAGTTTTCCATTACAGTATTTTTATTCTAATCCCAGTTGTTTATTTCTTTCTGGTGGAAATGGCTATATCCTTTCTTTTGTTGCTGAGGTTCTTGCTCAAACCATTCTAACAATATCAGAAGCAGCTGAGGGATCTGGGGTTATTTAGTCTGGAGAAGAGAAGGCTCAGGTTTGAGCCTATTTTCTCCATAATGACCCAAAGGGAGGTTACTGCCAGGTGGGGGTCAGCCTCTTCTCCCAGGCAAGCAGCAACAAGACAAGAGGACACAGTGCTAAACTGCAGCAGGGGAGGAATAGCTTGGACATTAGGAAGAATTTCTTCATAGAAAGGATGATTAGGCATTGGAATGGGCTGTCCAGGCTGGTGTTGGAGTCACCTGGAGTCATCCCTGGAGGTGTTTAAGGAAAGGCTGGAAATGGCATTGAATGCCATGGTCTAGTTGACATGGTGGTGTTCGGACTCGATGATCACAGAGGTCCTCATTGATTCTGTGAATCTGTGATTTTGTGATTCTGTAATAATAATGAAACATCCATTTCCAGAGTCTGATTAATGTCATCATGCAATATACTTACATGGAAACTGTCCTAAAAAGCATACTTCTTTCCTCTTTAATGAGAAGATAAGTAACTAGATCAGCTGTAGATATCTACCATGCACACATCTGTGGTAAGAGTCAGCTTCAGATTTAAACATTTTCCATTTAGCTGGATTTGGTCTCCTAAAGACATGTACTTCATCATGTCATTAGGCACTGCCTGCCCTTCAGCTGCCCCCTGCAGAGGGGTTCAGTCTCACTTAAGCCCTAAGGCAGCCTCAACAGCACCAATTGTTTTTGGTCAGACAGCTGGTCCCAGCCACAGATATCCAGGTTTCATGTCTAAGATGGAAACTTGCATGTGTGCACTTTCATTGCATACAGCTAAATGTAGATGTCTGACTCTTGAGCTGAAAGCAACCAGTAGAGTTAGATGGGATATATTCCTCCAGAAATGTCTTCCACACTGTTTCTTTTTGGTCTACAAAAACTGTGTTGCTCTAATATATGCTTTTAGCATGTTAGTTATCAGGTTTGTTCCTTTGCATTAAAGAGCACATAACAAGTACAGTTAATAGCACTGTAAATCAGACTCTCAACGTCATTCAATATTTTATGGCAAATATCTTCATTTAAAAAACTACAAAACTAGGACTTAATCTCTCTTTTATGTAATTCAATGCTACAAAACCCAGGAGAGCACTTGCAGAGCTATGTAAGACTTCCTCTTACTAAAGGTGTAAGAAAGAGAAGAATCTGGCTCTGGTGTCATGGGTTAGCAACTATCAAATAAATTACTTTCTCTATGATTTGCCATTTTTCTTTTTTTAAACTTTCTTCCTCAAATCTTACTTACCATCCTTGACTGAGTAGGGCTGGAATATCTCCCGATACAACAGGACAATATCCACTCGGAAGGACTGGTAAAGGATAACTGAGAGTGCTATTGCACCTAGCAGAACTAGAGATGCTGTGATCAGGAGGACATTAGGAAGAAACTCTGCAAAACAGAGGAATATTTGTTAGCCACAGAGAAGTTGACCAGTGTACTGAAGCTTTAGCCTCATATCCTTACTTCTGTTACAGCTTTCAGGAGCTCAAAACAGAGATGAAAAAGCTGCTTCCTTCCCCAGCTGGCATAGCCAGCACACAGACCCCTGAACCAGAAGCATATTCTGCAGTATATAATTAATATTCACTTTGTTGAATCCAGACCTACCAATGCTAAAAACCACAGCTGACAATGATGTTTAGGTACCTTGTAACTTTTAAAAACTGGTAATAACACAACCATTTTGTGAGACATCTAAGCCTATGCAAGAAAATCCACCAAAGGACAAATGGAGGCTTCTGGCATGATTGCACAAATAGGATACAAAGAGCATGTGCAAGCAATGAAATATGCAAGATAAGAACTAAGATAGCACTAGACAAGCAGGAAAACAGAACATGTCCTGGTCACAAAAATAAAATAAACAATGCTGAACTCAGATGATATTCTCTCCAGCCTTTTCCTCTCAAGAGGTTCAAGGAGGATGTAATAGTAATGATGAGTAAGAGAAATTGGGATAGAAAAGAGCCAACCACTTTAGTTCCAATTTCCGTCATGGAAGAGCTCTAGAATCTGTTCATCTTTACCTCAGAGATGAAGACTTATCAAGGATAGATTAAGTCGAGATATATGGAAAACATTTTTTACATTGAGGGTGGTAAAATACTGGAACAGATTGCCCAGAAAAACTGTGGATGGCCTATCCCTGGAGGTGGTCCAGAACAGCTTGGATGGATGGGGTGCTGCAAGATTTGGTCTAGTGGAGGGTGTGCCTGAGAAATTCTGCTGAAAATGGATATAAATTAAGAGTTTACAAACACATTTTCCCTTTCCTCTGGTAGGATGTGAGGTAAATTTAACAAGATTTTCACAGTCTTTACATTTCTTTCTTTGGCATTTAAAGGGAAAAAGAAATGGTAGGCTTGTGAGGAAGCTTACCTTACCAGAACCAGATCAGGAGGAAACACCTTCCAATAAGACTGGGCAAGAAAACCACCAGTTCTTTCTCAAGTGAAAGAACTAGTTGTTTTCTAAACACTTTTCTAAAGTGAAGTTTGGCCGTATTTTTAATTGTGTCACATGATGCCTATGAAGGAACTTCAGCCTTATTGACCCCTCAAATTTTATTATTTGATCCTCTTTCCTGATCAATACACACTTGTGTCACATGATGCCTATGAAGGAACTTCAGCCTTATTGACCCCATTAAATTTCAGTATTTGATACTCTTTCCTGGTCAATACAAAAAGTAAGGAAACCCCTTTCACTACCCAGAGGGGCTGACCCAAACACCAGAGTGTGATGTTGTTTCTTACTGTACATTTGCTGACGAATACAAAAAGTAAGGAAACCCCTTTCACTACCCAGAGGGGAAGACCCAAGCACCAGAGTGTGATGTTGTTTCTTACTGATACATTTGCTGACAGCATGCTCATCATAACATTACAATTACTGGTGTGTTGCATTAAGTCTCTATAAACATCTAGAGAAGAAACAGGTTCAAACACCAACTTTTACAATTACAAACTTCAAATAATGCTGTTTATATTCGCACTGATTAGACCAAGGCTGGCAAAGAAACAACGTGCCCATGCCGTTTGTAATGTCTCAGATGATCCCACAGAGGTGTGCTCCTGGAAGAGCAGGTTCAATTTCCAGTAATGCTGGCTTAGCCTCTTCTTTCTCTGGAATTAACTAATGAACATTCACTAATCTAATTCACTAGTGAACATTCAGCACAGTGGGGCCAAGTGCCACAAGCCCCTGAACAAGGCTGAGTAGATCCTGTTGTTCCATTTGACTTTACTGCATCATTTAGCAGCTGAGTTCATGAGTTCATCTTCTGTTTATATTCAATGGGAATACAGAACTATCAGCTCACAAGGACTAATATTGGAAAGCCCAGAGAAAGCATGTCAGAAAGCAACTTTTGAAGGAGTTCCAGACAAACTCCAGAAGAGCAGCAGTTTTTTCTGTTTTCTCTGGCATCTAAAGTGGATGCACTTCCAAACAGTGAAGGTAGAGATCTGGGTCTAGAGTTCCTGTCCACATCAGTCTACAAAATATGAGCCAAAAGGTTAGCTTTAGCATTAAACATCTTGGAGGAAGAACAGAGATGATGCTTTGGCTGAACTTTATCTCTGCTTTGAATGACTGTGTAAAAAAAAAAACAAAACATTAACAGGATAGTAGCTAGCAGACACAAGTTGTGCTGTGCGAAACACTGAGGAACCATCATCTATTTGGAATTTTTTTCCCTATTAAATACAAACAAAACAAAAAAAAAGGAGTGTGCATATCTTCATTTCACATTTACAAGATGAGAGGCACAAGCGAATCCTATAACATTTTTATTCTTCTGAAAAAACAAGAGTCATTGCTTTAACATAAATATTGCTGAGCTGTGTGAGCACTGAGTGAAGAAAACTAAAGCAGAGCACAGCCACTTCTGGACATAGCATTGCTGACACCAGCAGTCTGAGGAGCAGAGGCAGACACCTTGTCAACAGCAGCAACAAGGACAAGGGAACAGATATCCATATAAAGAAGGTAGCAGTAAAAGCAGAGGCACAGCCAAGAGCTTTCATGAACATTTACTGAAGACCTATGAATAAAAAAAAAAAAAGATCTGTCTATAACAGAAATTAGGTTCTGTGATTCATGGGATGAATACAGGATATGCTTTCAAAGTCCTTGAGAAAAGAGAGTAGTTTTAGATTACATATTAGGAAGAAATTCTTTCCTGTGAGGGTGGTGAGGCACTGGCACAGGTTGCCCAGAGAAGCTGTGGATGCCCCATCCCTGGAAGTGTTCGAGGCCAGGCTGGATGGAACTCTGGGCAACCTGGTCTAGTGAAAGGTGTCCCTGCCCTTGGCACGGGGTTTGGAACTAAATGATCTTTAAGGTTCCTTCCAACCCAAACCATTCTATGATTTCATGATTCTTGGTGGTTTAGCATATCTGAAGGGATGAAAAAGGAAACAATTGATCAAAGCTGCTTCTTGAGCCTTCACAGACAAAACAGCATTTTCTGCCATAGGAATCTGATTCAGAGGTGTGGGCAACAGGGCTTAAGGATCTGGCTATCCCTATTAAAATATAAAATGCCCATGTGAGCTAAGGACAATCCCTGTCCCCATCATTTACTGTCCTGGATTTTCCTTCTCTTTCAGATACTACTAGAACCAGGAATTTAAAAACAAAACCAAGGGAAAGCCTTTGAAGTGCTACTCACACCTGTGTGTGTGAATAGCACAGAGGGAACACAGTGGCACTCAGAGAAGATAAAGAGTGATTTTGAAGAGGTGATTCTCACAACATTCAGTCCAAAAAAAGGCACTACAGTGGATGCGGTATAGTAAGGAAAGCAAACAAACTGGCAAACCAGCAACTGAAACCCTCAGATTTGAAGTTTGCCTATTTTCTGCCACACTTTTACACTAGAGACAATAGTTTGTCACAGCAGAGAACTATCCTAGAAACAGAATATTCTTATCACAGAGCTGATACAGTCACACTCTGCATATTTCATCTCTTGCTGACACTGTTTGAATAATGTCCCGCTCTCTCCCCAGCTCAAGGACAAGGACTCGGCCACAAGAATTTTGCAACTAGCTGGAACATGTAGGGAAGACACAGGCTGGTTTTGCTTCTTATTAACTGAAACTTTTTTACTATCTGAAACAAAGAATAAAATAACCTCATCAACATATTTCAAACTAAGTGCAAATTGTAAAGAATCAAAATGAAAAAATCCTACCCTTAGATTGCACTTTGAGTTGTAATGTCACTGTGACTCTTGTGTTGTACATCATGTTCAATGCTATACATGTGAAATTTGACTGCAGATCCTCCTTTTTTACTTCAGTAATATTCAAAGTGGTCTCTTCATAGTATACTTGCTCATGTCCATTAAAACTACTAGAAAGAGAAAGAGAAAGAGATGGTAGCATTGGCTAGGCACAGTTAGTGTAGGAGAAAGATTATTCTGTGTTATGTGCACTTACAAATGAGTTTCTTCATGAAATCTTGAAAAAACAAGGTTTTTCACTGGGGTATCATCCACATCCCATCTGACAGCAGCCACTGGCTGTTTCTTAATCCCCAGGCGGGCCTGACATTTCAGAGACAAAGCAGCACCTAAGCAAGATACAGAGATGTAAACATTCCTTGCTGAAAAACAAGGAAAATTATGTTTTCCTCATAAAATCTTTTTCTACAAATCTTCATACAACTTGTGTCATCCTAATTTTGACATATTTTTCTACTGCTGCGAACTACTGCTGACAAAATGATACATAGAAGAAACAAAATGAAATAACAGGAATTTTTCAGCAAATTATCTAATAACACACCAAGGATTACAAAAGGAATTATTTGTATTTATTATGATGAAGGCAATGTACCCTTTATTTGTAATGCTTGACACATATAATCAGCTAATGAGGAACACAGAATGGATATGGCATTTGACACACAAATGTACACAGAAATAATCTAATTAAATTTCAGAATATTTATTTTGCGTAACACTTGTCTGCAGACTTAACTTGGATTTCATTCAAGCTGGACAAAAGTAAAGTAAGCCAGTCCAAGCAAAACTAAAACAGGAAATTACTTATTAAATACTTCCCATTAGGAAATATTTATTCCCAAGAAATGGTCACCACTGCACCGGAAGAAAATATAATTTATGTATGTTAAATTGTTTCCATTTTTAAGTCTGCATCTAAGCAGGTCTTAGATAAGAATGTTAAATCTCAAGGTTAGATCATTAATTGGTATTACGGAGCATGGGGAAATCCCTTCATTTTTGCAAACAGGAGAGAATAGAACCAGTACAGCAATTGGGTTTCAAATGCAAAGTGGATTTTCTCTGTGTAAGTACTATCAGAATGATAGGCAGAGCCCACAGAGCACTGGGCACTGACCATCTTACTAGAGGAAGCTTGTTCTCAAGCAGAGACCACCTAATTTCTGACCAACGAAACAACTGGGGGAAAGAGGAGTAAAATAATGGGAATGTGAGTCGACTGACAAGTCTCTGAGCCCCAGCACATGGCACAGAGAGGGCTGTGCACCCCTGCAGTACCTGCTGCCAGAGCAGTCTTGCTGTAGGACAGAAGCAGAGGAGTGGTAGGTACAATCCCTTCTCCCACTGGCCCAGCTTCACCCACTTGCCCTGGCAGACAGGTATCCTGGATTACCTATTGAAATTTCTGATGGGTTCAGTCTCTTGCTGGAGAGCTCCACCTTTCTCACTGACTGCAAACAAACCCCAGACAACTCTCACTGCTACCAGGAACACCTTGTCCTGATGCTGCAAGCTAACCAGGATGACTGTGAATCCCTGAGAGCATCAATAGCCTGAAGAGCGGAGAGCCAGGAGCAAGATCTGCATCACGGGCTGTCCAACTGCTCTGTCTACATCCACTGCTGGGTCCTGTCCTCCAGCCCTCCAGCATCTTCCAAGCAGACTGCTCTGATCACTGCTAGCCAACATGGACACGAGACAGGCAGTGCTCCTCAGCCTCAGAGCCAGCAATCGGTTCCTTGCTCTCCGTTCCTCAACAGAGACACAGGCACTGTCTCCACATGGGGACTGAAGGTAGCAAGGAGTAGCTCTAGCCACAAGAATAGTCCATCCTCCCCTCTTAGGGGTACCATCAAGCAGTTTTGAGGGATTTAGCCACAGCCCTCTTTGAAGTGGATGGAAGCTGTCACCTTTCAGCTGAGATGTAATGATTCACTCTGTGAATAACCCTAGTCTACCCCAGTGAGAGTAGAACAAGTTATTTAAATCTTCTTAAACTTCACTTAATGCCTAAATAACACATCAGTTATACGTAAGTTCACAATGCTGCACCTGGAGGGAATTAAATATTGTAAATATTATGGTGCAAAACTGTGATGAAATCTTCCACCATTACATCTTCTTGAAGATTCCCATGTTTGCTGGACCATTACAAAACATTAATTTAAAAACAAATTAAACTTTGTACTCACCAAGCTCTGCTTCTATTACATCATTATTCTTTGGAAATATGATTTGAGGTGGTAGAGGTGAGTATTTCACTTTAGAAATTAAAGAGGAAAAGCATGCATTAGCAAGTTGTGAAAATGCATTTTGTAAGATAAGGTTTGTAATCTGTACAATTAATATTTTATAATCACAAAACAGAATTCAAACTAACAGTGTTTCACATACCCATTGGGATCATCTGGTTTTATTCCTACAACCAAATATCTCTGGGGAGTACATACATGTTATTACTTTCAGTATTTTCTTCCCATCTATTTATTTACCTTTGTACATAAAAAGTAAGGAAAAAAATTATGTTTTGAAGTACTGTTTTTGCTGCTGAGTGGGTGAAAAAAGCAAATGCTGTTACAGGCTTGTGTGTTTTCTCAACTGTTCTGGGATTTCATTAAGAGACATTTGAGAGATTACTCATATCAATGATATTAAATAGGTAAGGCATACTTTTATGCAGTATCTGAACTCCAAACATATTGCTTTCTAACCCTTTCCTCATTAAGCTTTTAATCTCAAGGCACCTCTGTGAAACATGTATTTACCAAAAAATTCAGTAGGATCACATTTCGGTCCCTGCTTCCCAGACTGACTGAATATGATAAATTAGAAGTCAGGAGAAAGCCAGTAACTTCCCAGCTATCTGACTATGCTAAGTTCTTAGCTGCCAGCAGTCAGAGGCAGAAACTCCTCTGGATCAGCATGGATCTGCAAGGCAACAGGAATGTATATCATAGCTCTCTAACATTAACAAAAGAGATCAGCGCCACTCATCAGCATACTAATTTTAAGGTTTGATAAAAACCTCAAAGTTGCCATTAAGTACTTTGAATTTAGCAAAACCTGGAGCAGACATGCCAGACCCAGGCCAGATTTACATGTTATGTTGTGATCTCTTCTTTCTGCAATGATTTCAAAGGAAAGTTAGATGAACTTCAAGATCTGTCTGGATGCAACAAAGGCTTTTGTAAATTTGAATGTCTTTGGGCCAAATAAAACCCAGAAATTTTTGTTGTAACCCAGGAAGAACAGTATTGCAGAACAGTTAGAGAAGTTCTGATGGAAGTACATTAAACAAAAATTGTTAGGCAGAGAAATGTCATGGAAAGCATGATTGTATCATGTAGAACAACAGGTAGAAAAGGAGGAAAAGAACATTTCCCAGCTACTGAACTAAGTCTCTGCTCAATCTGTCTACTATCCTGCTCAGAATAATCAGAACAAACTCCGCTACTGACATCTGGGTAGAGCAGCAAAAGCTGCATCCAAGGCTCCTATGCTCCAAGTCTGCATTCTGCCCACAAGCCGTGTGCCTCCCCAGAGCAAAAGGGCCTGAGGCTCAGTCTGCACATGGACATTGCTTCTAAAAACAAACAAATTAACTAAACAGCAACAAAACGACCACATGATCCAAACTCAAGCCTTGCACCACCCCCCAAGAAAAGGTCTTTCTGACTATTTTTCTACTGATCTGATTGCAGAACTGAAGATGCATTTTGAAGTTTTGCAAGTTGATGCAATCTGAAACTATAAATTTATGTGTGCCATTTCCTGAACACCATCCAAATACAAAGTCTCCCTGAGGAGAAAGGATCCTAGAGGCAACCCAAAGTCCATACATCTCAATTACATTGTCCATGTTTAAAATCACAGAGAGATAGTAATCACTGAAATCCATCCATTTTCCATTTCTATATATATCTTGTTCATTTTGTCTCATTCAAGACAAATTTAAATTTTTTTCAGTCCTACTCTCCAATAAATGTTAGATGGTTGAGATGGATCAAGAGGCATTAAGTTGTAGGCCATCAACACATGACTGATCTAGTGATCACCAGACAATCCTCACTAGCCACAGATTCTGCTGCCCTCAAAAAACAGAAAGCAGAACATTGTGGCATTCCACTGAGGAGATCCTTCGTTTCAGAAATGTGCTACCAGAGAACTCTATCAACCACAGCACTTAACCAGAGTCATCAGAATCTTTTAAACAAAAAACTGAATAAGACCAGGTCTGACTTTACCCCATCTGGTTCTATGTGGGTGACCATCCACAAAATTAATCTAATAAAGCTGATGAAAATCTTAAATGAGATGATAAAACAAACCAACCAAAACACTTTCTCTTTTTAATGTACAAAAGGAGTTTCCTTTGCTCTAAGTTGGCATTAGTCTTTTTATCTTAGCAAGCTACAGAGTTAATGTCTTACCCCCACTTATGAAAATTCTTGTTGCTGATACGTTAAACACATTTCCTTTGTGTGTATAAATAAATTGACAAGTATAATAACCATCATCCTCCCTTCTTGGATTATCAATATAAATATATTTCTCTTTCTTGAAGTATCTCTGTCCCTGAAGAGGTTTGCAGTCCTGAAAAACAAAAATATGTTTGGTTGCAAAGAGCTTTTCAGTATTCTTACCTACATTGGCTCTATCAGGGTTTTATTTACCTTATACCACTGGACAATAGTAGCATTCTTATAGTTATCAATGGTAGGACAAACAATTTTTCCTCTTCCAGTGTCATTTGGGTAACGAATCCGACTTGGGAAACATTCTCCTGGCTTGTATGAATGCACTTGCACACTCACGTTGTATGACTTTGTGCGATTACTTGGACTTTAAAAATGGAATAAGGTATGTCAGTCAGTGATTGCATTTTTACATGGAATATATTAATGCTTATAACAAATTCTATAAACATGTGGATGATTATTTTACTTCAGTCACAGCTTGGTTTTAATGATCTGCCATAAAAAATAGCAGTTGCAGGGTGAAAACTTATGGAAAAAGTCATCAATTCCACATATTATAATTGTAATATATTATCAAAATATATATTCTTGCCAATCTTACACCTTCCACTTTCCATGTCGCACTTACAAATGTGTTACGCAAGTGTAGTTTCCAGAATCCTCTCTAGAAGTTGGCAGAAACCAAAGAAATCGTTCTATGGAAAATACTCGTGATCCCTCCTCTTCCGCAGGAATTACTTTGTGAGTATCCGTGCTGTACCAGGTGATTTTTACAGACGAACTCCACCTGGGACATTTTATAACTAAGGCCTCACCTTCCATAGGATCAACTGCAAATGAACAAAAATCAAAATATCAGATAAATTAAGCTTTTGTCTGCTGAGACAGAGAACTTGGCATTCCTGGGCCAGTAGGCCTGTCATGTCCCTCTACCCTCCTGGAGCTTTTGGAGATGATACACAGCACTATTTTCACTAGATGTTTTTCAATAAAAATTTTACTTACTTTGAATTATGGAGGCATTTGTTTCCAAAAACAGTAACTAATGTGGGGGCACAAATAAATAAACAAACAAACAGATCCCTAGGCTCTAAGCAGACACACAGTAAAAAACAAAACAAGAGTACTTAATTGAAAAAACAGTGATTTCTTACAATGAGCTTATTATGTAAATCTTTGCCTAAAATAATGCTTTTATTCAAAAAATTAATTAAAACAAAGAAAAATACTGGCTTTAATGTAGTTATCTTTCCTTATTTCTGTATAATGAATATTTATTTATGCAATATATGAGTGCTTTTTTCCTGCCTTTTTAATACAGAGAAATTAAGTTGATTTTTTTTTCCTGGAAGAAAAAATAATAGAAGGAAGTCTGTAGATTAGATCCTTAGAAAAAATAAAAAAAAAATAAAACCACAAAAAAACAGCTTCTCTCTGAAGTTCATGAAAATGGGGTAGGGGAAAAAATGAAAGCAATATGATAGCATGAAAGGAAGATTGTGGTAAGAAGGTGGGAAGGTGAAAAGATACAGAAATAACTGAGACAAATAAGGAGCTTAGAAAAATAAACCACATGTGTTCACACATGAAATCTGGGAGTAAGCCACTAAATTTTTTGGGTTTTTTAGCTGGGTATACTTCTATTTTGAGTACTGAAATTGGCCCAGAGAAACTAGAATCAAGCAATTTTGGCGAATACTTAAGTGCTCAGGTACCTGAATAGTGTACTGGCCACATTAATCTGAAAGTTAAATTATATTCTAAGAAGCAAAAGATGGGAGTATGAGCAAGGATGGTGACAGAACAAAGTTTGAGATTGGCAGAGGAACTGCAGTAGATTAGGGAGCATGAAAATGAAAGTAGATAACCAATCAGCTAACCAAAGCAGAGAGTGTCTATCAAAAATGACACTTTGCAGTGGTGGCTTTAGACATGTAGGTTCACAAATCAGGTGAGAGTCTCTACATGATGAACACTTCTGCTCTAGTTCTTTCTAAAGAAGTGGCCCATCTCTACTGATATTGTCATCTCACTTACTAATTTGGAGCTCCTAAATCAGCCAGCTATGAGTATGAGTAACCCCGAGGTGAGAGTCTCTACATGATGAACACTTCTGCTCTGCTTCTTTCTAAAGAAGTGTCCCATCTCTACTGATTTTGTCATCTCACTTACTAATTTGGGGCTCCTAAATCAGCCAGCTATGAGTAACCCCAACCCCATAATTTTAACAGTTTTCCCACCCACAAGCCTTGCAAAGACACTGGAACATATCAGCAGGGTCAGAAAAGAACATTGCCCCGCCAAAGGTGAACACATTGGAAATACAGATTTTTTTAGAAGACAAATAGTGTGGAGGGAAGACATTGAAAAAAAAAGGCCTCATCTAAACTCAATGACATCTGTGAAAATCATTTTGGCAAATTTTGTAGTAGAATTTGGCATCTTAATAAATCTCATTTGCTTGAATCTTAACATTCCTATTGTAAAATTGACAATATGGAGAAATATTTAGAGACCATATCTTACAAAATTTTTCAGACAAATTAGCATCTCAGCTCGAGAATAGAAGTACATGAGTGCTGAGCAACTCTGTGTCCCTGGTCAGCGTTATGTAGCTGAGTCAGTAGAGCTGGCCCATTAGAAATAGTTTATTGCTCTGGACATTCCACCTGTGCCGGGAAACTTTATTGTTACACTGCATTTTTCAATTAACATCCCCAAATTCAGGACATTAAAGAGCATTTCTGTGGAGGACAGCACCCATTTACACCTCTGATTCAGCAGGGTGCATATGCATATGTGCTGCTCATTGCAATTAAAACATGCTCTTGGAGTTTGTGCCTAGCTGGGACCTGGAGCACCAGCTACTCTCAAATTCTTTCAAGAAGACCCTTTTCTTTCTGTTTGCAGACGTGCCAAGTGGCAGAAGTTGAACTCAGACTTGCTGTCATAGAAATGGACAGTGTTTGGTACATTTTAATATACATTAAAATCTAGATTTTAAGTTGTGATTTCTGGCTTGAGGTGAACTCACTAACTTTAGGCTTAAAATAAAACCACCAATTTGGAAACAGCCTACACATTTGAACAGAACAAACCTTATCAGAAAGTATTTTTAAAATGTGACTTACATGTTTCAGATGTCATGGAAACCGAGAGGAAGGTAGATAGGAGGATCAAATCTATAAGCCCCATCATATTTCTAAACTAAGAAGAAAAACATTGATATCTTAGAATATACTCTGACTGTATCAGTAATGCTGTATCCATGTACATGAGAAAATTGAACAGGAAATGATATTGTGCAGTGATAAACTGATCATATGAGCTGCTCTGTACAGTGTGTGTACATAGCAGCAGCTTTGCAGCTTTGAGATGATGTTATTTGTTCTATCACCATTGAAACTACAGTTATGACTTAGTTTAGTGGGACTCAGGGAATTATTTTGTCATGGTGCTCCTCAGGCAGAAGCCTCTTTTAACTTGCTTTTTTAAAATTAAGATAAATGTACATTGGCATTCTCTTCATAGTCAAGTGCAGAGAAAGTATACCCCTACTTAGAAAAGGACAGATTCTGGGTTTGAAAATGTATACCCTGGTTTAGAATTAAAGTTATATCCAATCAACTGCTTAGGTGCAAAATACTTTTTTGTCTTTTTACGAAAGGGGAGCTATCTTCAGTGACAGCTTCTCTCGGTAAGTGTTGAGCAGTAAGATCAAAAACCAGGTGAGTGCCATAAACAATGCTAAGCTGAAGAGGAACTTTAGAAATGGTCTGGAAAGTTAGGTAAAGGAGAATAATATTGTACTTAGCTAACAGCAGCAGGGCAGATCCTGTATCTCACTTACGTTCTCATTTGTCTAACTGATACGCACCAGCTGTAATTGTGGTGTGGCTCAAGAACTCTCCAGCAACCCCCTTTATTTTAAAAAATTGACCATTTTATCATGGGCATTAAACTAATCCTAATCCCGGACCTAATCCAGGAATATCTCAGGAGACAGGAGGCATGCAACCCAGCTATACTAGGTAGTTATAAGCATTCTACTTACCATGAAAAATCTTTAATGCAGTTCTTTGCTGCAGATCACAGAGCAGTGGGTTCTATTGTCATGTATGAGCGAGCAGCAGCCACTGGCTCCTACAGACGGTAGACAAGTTATTTTCAAGACAAATCAAGTCAGAAAGAAAATATAATTCATCTTGCAGATAGTGAGCATAAGGGGAGTAGTAAAAAACAGGCAAGAAATGTTAAGTACTGTCGTCACACTTACTGCAAGGAATTTTTATTTCAGTGCCAAAAACTTCCAGACTAAATAAACATTGACAAGACTTATCAAGTCCTCTGTTTTTGCCAAGTCTGAAATTCAGAGCAAATTCATTTTTGAGTTTTCAGAATTATCGTCAGCTTTGTATTGATATGGAAAGTTTCTTCTTTTAGAAAGTTTAATAATACGCAGAGGGCTATTTTTAACCTCTGAAAAAACAATAGCAAAACTTAGTGTTTCAAGAGAAAAGTGTGAGAATTTTATTGCAGGTATTGTGCAAGGATATTCACAAATCACATGAAAGATGAGGTTTAGACCAAAAAATGCAGCATCTCAGCATTAATGTCACAGCAAACCAATGCCATGCCTTGTACAGGAAGTGAGTGACCCATCAGGAGAAATATTATGTGTGAGGATCTACTTGCTTTCATTATTGCTGGAGAAAAGCATCACATACAAGTGCAAATCTATTGCCTTCTTTCATTTTAAGGAAATTTTAGGCCAGGTGAACAGATTTTGAGAGGGTACGTTTCAACACTAACATCAGGAGTTTTGCCCTGGAAGGAATGAACAAGGTGGCCCAGAACAGGGTCCATGAGTGACCTGGGACTGGACAGACCCTTGGGAGGAAAAGGTATATCACAAAATGGCACAATGGAATTCACAGCATCAGCACAGCAAAGCACTCAGCTTTGTTCATCATTCAGAGCCTGAGGCTTGTTCCTACAAGTTGTTTCTAACACTAGCAGGGAGCAAAAACATCCAGAATATTCCTTCTCTACTGGGAGCCTTTTCCCACCAAGTATTTGGTTTTGTTCCAGCAACTTATTTGCCCCCAACAAGGTCTGCCAGGAGTTATATTAACTGCCCTTCTATTGTTTAGAGCAATCTTAAGTGAGTGATACCCCATCAAGATGACAAAAACTAAACTGATTTTTTTAAAAGAAAAATCATTTTATAGACTAAGTTTGGAGTCTTTCTGAAATGAGGGGGTTTGTCTCATTTGATATTTTATTTGTAAGTGCTTATTAGGAATTTAGCCACAAGTAATACAATTGTTGGAGACACTGGCAAGTCCCTTATTGCCAGTGCTATTGCAGCCCTAGAAATGGAAGGCTGGTAATTACCAGAACGCTGCAAGAAATGTGCTTTCACCATTTTTGAGATACAGCTTTGTCTAGGAAGGGAGACAGCCAATTACTTGCTCTCACTAACTTTTCTAACAAGTGCCAGAATGATTCAGGAGTAAGAAATTAATAATTTCCTATCTACGTACTTGTCAGTAGTTGCAGTTAGCCTTCTCTTTATTGAGAAAATATGTCTTTGAGAGACCTTACACATACTGGGCTACCAGCCTGCACCAAAAGAATGCAAATTATTTGAGCTGAGATTCTCCCACCAAATTTGATGATTGCTTTATTGAATTTCTCTTCATTTTTAAGTTGTAGTGTACCAGCAGTAGTTCAAGTAGGGTATGGGGGTTGTGTGTGTGAATATGTACAATATAGAGGGCTCTAATAAAAGAGGAATGTTTCCTGAAAATCCAAAGAGCTCATGCCACTGAAAAAGCAACATGATTCTGTTTGTATTTTCCAATGTAAGCAGTAACCTCAATATGAAACAGAGGCTGCAGGTCTGGACAGAAAACAGCAAGAGAAGGACTGGTTCTGCAGTGCCTTACAGCTTCTTCCTAGAGCTGCAAATGACTGCGTGGTTGGAGTGCAAGCTTAAGCTCTGTAAACAAAAACTGCAGTGTGGTGCTGGGAAAGCACTAGACCCAAAATTTGGGATAACTACCTGAGTAGGTCAAAGCCTATTTCCTAATGATCCACTACCAAAGGAAGGTGAGAGAAGGGAGAACCCACTGTGTAGATTGCAGAAGCAGTGGTCCGTGGGGCTTAACTCATTACCTCTCTGAAGGTGACTGTGTTAGTAACATATTTCTGCTTTTCTTTCCAAAATTCTATTTTCCAACAAAATGTTTATAATACTGTTTCAATTAAGTGACAAAATTAGCATACTAGCACACTAACAAAACCTGGAAAGAGTATCTCAGTTTCTACCCCAAAAACTTAACAAATCTTACAAAGTAAAAATACCTTGAAAGAGCACTTTTGTGGGATTTTTTTACTGATATATACATCCATACACCTTTTGGAAGTGATTTTCATTCTTATCTCAAACAAGAAAATCCATTCTGACTGAAAACGTCCTATTAAAATTGCAACGTTAAAACTGAACTTATTCCAAAACTAGCATTCACAAGAGTTGGCAATTACACTAGTTACAGGTGTGGGTGCAAAATTTAGACATTTCAGTATTAAAGCATAGAATTTCTATAATTAATATACACATTATTCTTAAAAATAATTTTTAAACACAAAATACAAAAATATGCTGAAGTCTGAAAAAATCAATTGGGGAGTAAAGATTTTCTGTGTCTTTGGCTAATTAGTAAAAATATATGCCAGGAAACTGATGGCAAAATCTATTTCTAAATACACTTCACTACAAGGTAAATTTTTGTTAGTCCCAACACTATTTGTCTATCATGGAAGTATACCCACTATTTTAATCAAATATTATTTCTCGAGATAAATAAGCACATAATTGAACTGAAAATAAAGAAAGAAATAAACTTTCTTATCAATTGTTTCTATTACTTCTGGTTAATTGACAATATAAAAATTTGACCTACCATTTGGAAAATTCAGAAACCAGAGAAGTGCCTTGTTCTCTGTGGATGGGTCTTTTGCAGAGATTTCTCTGCTTATCTGGTACCAGATATTACTGTGAGCTCTCTTTATCTGGCTTGGGCAGCTCCTATGTGTAGCAGCAAGATACTGTCTTCATTCTGAGACACCTCCCACTCAAGAGAGCAGAACATGCAAATTACTGTAGCAATTTACTTTAAGTACCTATAAGAGATAGCATCTCATAGTTCCAATTAATCAGACATCTTTTACCATTAGCATAGGTTTTTCTTTATTGCAAATTGTTTCTTTTTTAGCACAATTATAGTGCAATAAATCTGCTGGCTGGGGAGAACAGAGAGCAGACACTCAGATGGCAGAAGGCACTTTGAAACAGATTTTGCTTGAAAACAAGTAACAGCTTTGCATGGTCTAGTCAAGCAGCAGCTCCCTGAAAACAGCTTGACAAGTCTCTGGAGAATCAGGAACAGTTTTTAACTAAGTGAAGGAAACTTCTTCACTGAAGCTAAGCTGATCAAAGAAGGTGCTGAAAAATCAATTATCTGCACCAGCAGCTAAATCAAGTCTGTGAGGGAAAGAAGATTTTATCCTGCAGTCATTCAATCTTTTGTTTCCCTTCCCTGGCAGAGTTGTGAATTCCATTTGTTCCTTTCAGTGTTCCTGGGACTCTACTGTCAGCATGCCACAACTCCAATACACAAAGATGGAGCAATTATGTGCCAGTATGCAAAAACCTTATCTGTATCACACCCATGGTCTCCCCAGTTCTTGAAGTGGTCTGGGGGTTGCACTTCCCATATGACAAAAAAAACCAAAAGCAAAAACAAAAAGCTAAAAAAATAAGCCAGCCAACCTGCAACAATTAAATCTCGCAATGATTTGGTCAAACAGTTCAGACTCCTACCTTTGAAAGCTCACAAATTACTCCCAGCTCAAGTTTGTGAAGTTTCATCAGAATCAAGGTCTTTCTCATTTCCTGATGTAAGAGACTTTGATGAAAATTCTGGAGTAACCATCTGCATTCAGTGATGGGTTCCATATCCTCCAACCACAACGTGTCATTTTCATCTAGGTAAAGATTAAATATATTCAGATAAAGCTAACTTCTATTTTCTGGGCACATAAAAGGTTATTCTATCACAAAATCCCTCGAAACTTGGATCAGAGGTGCTTGTAATGTCGCTCGTACCTCAGAAGAGCTCTTAATCCTGTAGTCTGTTCCCCATGCCCAGTTGTTCCCAGATCATGGTGCAGATGGGAAACTGAGCTCCTGGCTAAAGATTATAGTTGCCAGCTGAACAAAAGCCATTCTGTAGCTTTCATAAGAAACTAAAATCAATGCTGAATGTCTTGTAACTTAGGGCCCATCTTCTAAAACAAAATCCTACTGATAAGTTTATGGAAAAAAGAGCTTACAGAAATACCTGGAGATTTCTTTGAGGGGTTAATTGCTCCCTTGGCAGCTTGTATGCACAGCACTACAGCAAGCAAGGAAATCATCTGTTCTCAAAACAAAGAGATAAGTAATGGGTTTGAACAGAAGCAGGGGATAGTTAAGCACGACTGCAGGAAAATCTTTTAAAAGGTAACATAGTGAAGCACTGGAAATTTGCTGGGAACCTAATCGAGCTGCCACTCAGTGTTAAAGAACAATTTAGTACTGGTATCAAGATGAATGCAGCTGGCCCCACAGCTCCTTACCAGGACTAGGAGTCAATGACCCAGAGGTTCAAGCATCAGTGCTTCAATGACTGTTTTGCCACAGCATGAGTGTATGAACTTAACTCAAATATGTTGGCAAAATTACTCCTGTGAAGAATATGCAAGTAGAAGCCACACAAGACACAAAAACTGAAAACCCAGACTGAATGAAGTTACTGATATCTTAAGAGTTAGGAGTTCAAGCATGCAAGAGGAAAAACAATGTGATTAAAAAAGATAAAGTCCTGAGATAAAAAGCAGAGATAGGGAAACAGAAATTCAGCACCATCAGAGTTCACTTTGCTCCAAGAAGCAGTGCTTAGCCTAGCTGCACATTAGCCTTGCTTGCCTAATACCTGACTCTATTAGCCAGGAAACTTTTGCTGGGTACAGTTTTTGCACCCTGGTTGCAGACTGTCAGGGGACACAGTAGGGAAACATTCAGACACAAGTGACAGTAGCAGGAAAGGTTTCACTATCTCCATTTATTGAGGCCACCTCAGGGGGCTCTGATGGAATTGGCAAATGGTGGGATGGCAGGGTGTTGAGTTGTGCCCACACCTGTGTGAGGTCTAATGCTTTTTTGGCTGGTGGGGATCCACCCTCCTCAAGTTTCAGGGTTCTTCCTGTTCATCTGTGTCATGGTGCCCTTCTTGTGGGTAGCAAAGGCACCTCATGCTTTGCATAAAAGGGAAATTAGAAAGATTTTTCAAGGTTTATAATATTCTAATAGAGATGGACTGTTTCCAGGGAAAAGGTTTCCCCCAGCCTTTATCATTATCATGCAGCCCTAGCATGACCCACATTGTGGGTGATGGAGGGGCTGGTCCCCAAATAGCTCTGATGGCTCCTGTCATTGAGACGTTTGAGACATTTACCCCAAGAAGACATTGTTAGTGGATACATTCCTAACCAGGGTGTATTGGGTTTGGCAAAACATGGGAGGGTACAGAGGAGACTTCTGTGAGAGAGGAGGTGCTGGAGCCAAGAATCCCTTTCAGACATGATGACATGCCTGAAAGTCATGATGACACACAGTTTGCCCTCCTGCAGCCCTTGGAGGATGCCACTCTGGAGCAGGTAGATGTGACCTGAAGGAAGCTGTAGTCCATGGAAAGTCCATGCTGGAGCAGATTCCTGGCAGGAGCTGAAGCCACAGGGAAGCCCATGTAAAAGCAGGTTTTCTGGAAGGTGCAGGTAAAAGCAGGTCTTTTCCTGAGGGCTGCAGCCCATGTAAAGACCCACACTAGAGCTGTTTGTGGAAACTCTTGCACATGGGAAGCCCCACACTAGAGAAGTTTGTCAAGTGTCCTCTAAGCGAGGGACACCCCCTTTGCAATAGGGGAATAATGTGAGAAGGAAGAAGGAACAGAAACAAAATATTACAAACTGACCACAACTCCTGTTCTCCATTCCCCTGTGTCGCTTGGGAGGAGGCAGGAAGAGACTTGGGAGTGCAATTGACCCTGGGAAGAAAGGAGGGATTGGGAGAGGATGGGATTAGTTTGGGGTTTTTCTCACTATCCTACTCTGTTAATAATTGGCAAATTAAAATAATTTCCCCAAGCTGAGTCTGATTTTCCTTTGACGGTAATTGGTAAGTCATCCACCTGTCCTTTTCTCAACCCATGAACTTTTTGTAGTATTTCCTTCCCCTGTCCTATTGAGAGGGTAACAGAGCAGCTTGGTGGGGCCGTGGTGGCCAGGCAAGGTCGACTGGCATTGCAGGCTCCCACACAGCAGTAAGTGAGGGCATGCATGTAGACAGCAAAGGATTAATAAGGATTTGATTTTTAAAAAGCCATCAATATTTTTATCCTATTCATCTTGCTCTTTCATCCCACCAAGCCAGAAGTATTAAGCATCTTATAAGGTTTTCAAATCCACTGTAGTTGCCAGATAATGTATTGCAGTTCAGAGGACGTAAAATAAAAGTGACTATGTTGATTGAAGTAATTGGCTAAAGTAACCAGAATCATATCTGTGCTTTTTTATGTGGATGGCAAGTAAGTATTTCCTTTGGCTTGCACATTGGTACATTACTTGGTATTCCATTTGATCACAACCAGTTTATAAAAGATCTAACAATGATAGTTAGATCTTGTCAGAGCAAGGACAATATTCAAACAAAAATCATAACATCACTAACAAAGCCTTTGTGTCTTAAAACCTGTTTCCTTTTCTAAAGAAATTCTAAATTTCTCTGCTTCATGCCTTGCCCCAAAACAAAAGCAGCTGCACTGCCATCCCACAGGGTCTGGATACAGCCAGCCAGAATGAAAATAACAGCAGCTGTTCTGAATGTCTGAATGTCACCAGGCCACCAGCAGGATCCCATGGGAAGACCAAAAACCCTACCACAGAAAGGATCTGCGCAGCACATCTGTTGCTCTTACAGAAATTAAAACACTTTTCTGAGGCTCCAGAATCTTCCATTCCCACAGGTGGTCCTGTCCTTAGATGCCAGAATGCCTTACAGTACAGAGGTGATGACAAGTCTGAACAGGCAATTATCTTTGGGCAAGGAGCCTATCATAAGTTTATACACAAAAGCCTATCCAAAGTTTACACACAACTCTGAAGTAACCATCACTCTTGTGTCCAAATAACTTCAGGGCAGAAACAAGATGTCCATAAGTGAAATCTTCCAAATTTTAAGTTAAAGAGGTCAGTTCTTGGTGCAGCATCACAGACTCATGCCAGACCTCCCAGGTCCTTACAGCCAACACTCCCCCAGAGTGCATGGGAAGCACTTCCTTCCATGCAGCATCCACTCCATTTTCCTTTGCTGAGGAAACAATTATTTAGCACATCATTGTTGTTCTTATCTGACCTCATCCAAGAGAACAAAGAAGAATTTTTCTACACAATTTCCTAGGAAGACATATCTACAAATACGTGACATTCTGGAAATCATAACTCGGATGCATAAGACACAATTGTTATTGATTTACACAACTAAAATGAATTTCAATTCTCTGGAAAGTAGCTGAAGATAATTTCTTGACAAATTATATTGTTTATAAAGACATCTACTAAACAGTCTTGTTTGTTCCTTTATGTATGTGAATTACCAGGAGTTAATGTCTTACTGATAAAAGAGGGTCATGACATACTGACAGCATTCAAAAGCAGAGCTTCAGTTATTTTTAAAAAAAATTACAATACCACTACTTAGGAAAATATCTTTTTTTTTTTTCTCTAGGTTATGGACTGGGTTTTTGGAAGAACTGTTTTTCTCTTTAATATCTAACTGCATTTATCAGATCTGGCTGCAACCTAGATATTGCATTCCCTGAAAGTTTAAAGTATTTTGGAAAGAAAAACAAGTCTTCTCGTAAAAATGAAATATCACCCAAGTAATTTTTTCTATAATAAAAAAATCGGCGTATTTGTTAGGTTTTGTATATTGAAGCACCAGGCGTCCAAACACCAAAGACTCCTCTGCTAGAGTTCGGAAATTCTTAGAGCACTTAATTCTTAGAACTTAAAGCACCTGTCAAAACAGGGAGGGCTACAAACTTGAAAACTTTCTCCAGGTCTGGCTTTTGGCAGCTATTCACATGGAAATTAGAATAGACTATGTCAGAAAATGGGCTGTTAACTGTACTCTATGCACCCAGTTTGGCCAGCTTTAAGAAATTCTGAGAATATAGACTGTTGCCTACCTCTGTAAACTGTAGAGATACCAAAGAGTGCCTTTTAGCACCTATCACCCCAGATTTAAGGCTTGTTTCTCTATCATGAAAATAGAAACTCAGCATAATCTGTTTTGCCTTCCCTCACTAACCAAGAATCCTTTCTTTATCAAAAACCTTCTTACAGTTTTCCACGTGATTTCCTGCAAGTCTTCCTGGCAGATGAGCTGTTTCAGGAGCCAATCTTCTTTTGCCATCAATATAAAGTGAGCTATTTATTCTTATCCACAGTCACCATGCCTACTACCACCACATAACATGGTCTTGGTGTATCAATTACTCACTTTCCCATTGTCAACCATGCCAAAATCCTAATTTCTGTAGGATTCTACATGGAAAGGAATCTATGTGTAACTATGGCCTGTTGTAAACACAGGCAGGTCTTCACCAGGACTTCTTCACATATCTGTGAGTCTTCGTTCAAAAATTTGTTGTGCCAGTAAGAAGCACACATTTCAGGCAAGACAGTAGAAACTCTACCCCGTGTGCTTCCCCCATAGGATGTAGACATTATAATATAGACAATCCACAATTCTACAAGAAAACAATGCTGAATGATGGAGTCAACATAAGACAAAACATAAACAACATAAACATTGTTTAAAGTCATTTATTCTTCAGATTTTGGGTCCATGACTCCTGTGAGGCAGTTCTCTGAGGCAGTGGATCCCAAGCTCCTGCCTCCTCCATGAGGAGGTTAACCCAGAGCTGATCAATGCCTACACTAGAAATACGAGTACTCAGCGTGTGTTCAGCCAGATATGGAGATTAGTTCTTGGCTGTTTCATATCCAAAAATGTCAATTGTAAGCATCTGTGTTCCACCTCATCTCCACAGCCAGCAGCAGAGTTTGCAGGCTGCTAGCAGCTTCTGAGGACCCAGTGCTTTCAAAGAGCTGAAGGTTTCCAGCACTCCTGCCCAACTGCTCACAGGGTCTATGACACAGGCCAAACTTCCTGAAGTTATCCCCTGCAGCTGACAGCCTGCAGAAACAAGCTTGTCTGAGACCTCCCACATCAGCAGCGAAGAGTGTGCTCTGCACTGTGTGACACGAGCAGGTGCCCCTCTCTGTCCTCCTGCACCACATCTCAGCCTCACATGCCAGAACCCAACAGTCGTACTCTCCACCTGTCCCCTCCAAACACACCAGTCCAGGACTGAGGCTCCAGGATGAGGCCCAAACACTGGAATTTTCCTAGATCCTGTGAAACTGAAATGCCAGTCAGTTCTGTAGCAGAATGATTGTTTTGGAACAGTAGATACATTTTCATGGGAAATGCTGAGATCAGGTGTCCTCCAGCTTTATTTGGTTTCTTTCAGCTGTTGAACTAAACAAAGCCCTATTCCCAGAGAAATAATCCTACAAACACATACAAAGTGATCATCTTTCGCTGGAAAAGGACACGGAAAGGACATCTTGAGGTAATTTTGGATGTTCTCTGCAAAAAAGCCTGATGTTCAGAAGCTACCAAGAGGGCAAAGAGATTATGAAGAGTTACTAGCAAAAGAACAGAGAACAAAACAGGAAATGTTATTATACTGATGCAACACATCCTTATCTTGAGCACTGGGTGTGATTCTGGTCTCCACTGACGAAAAACATATTATAGCATGAAAATAAGTTATTAAAAAGAGCAGTAAGGGTATCAGAGGCAAAGAGGGCTTTGCTACAAGAATAAACCAAATTGTCTGTCGCTCTGTGGCTAAGAAAGGAGAGGACTTTCAGCATCAGGAAAAATTACACTGGAACCTATTTTCAGTACCTCTCATGAGAAAGGAAACAGGGAAATGATCAGACATACAGTTAAAGCAGAAAACACTACTCTTTCACGTAAGTAAAACCCAAAACTAATTGCTGTGTGAAGTTTTTAGTAAAGTGAATGCACAGTTGGTTTCAAGAGGTGTGACTCAAGGAGAAACACACTGATCACTATTTAAGGTGCTGTTGGAAAAGCTGCTTTAAACTGAGGCTGTCCATCCCCTGTGGCTAATACTGGCAGAGTTTATCATCCTCTTCTTCACCCATTATTGATGGCTTGTGCTCTTGGTTAGCAACAGGATAAAGACCTGGGGGTTGTGGGTGGGGGAAGTTGTGCAAGCTGGTATGATGGCTCTTATTTTCTTACATAAACAGTGAAACAGAAGAAATGCAAAAGTGTAGGCAACTCTCACTTGAATTTATATTCCTTTTTTGGTTTTGTCAGTTATTCAATTTAATCTCACAAGAATGGTGATTAATAGTTCTGCTAAGAGCCAAAAGAGAAAATTTTTTTCCCATGAAACCTGGAATTCCTGCAGTCTGGAGACTTGTTCCTGTAAGGTCTCAAGTTGTGCTTTTGGGAAAGGTTTGCTCATTTCCTCCCCTCTGTTCTTACTTTGGAGCAGAAAAAACATCTAGGGAAGGAAAAAAAAAAAGGCTCACAACAACAAATTTCCATTCTTTGTGGCATTCTGTGTGTACAGAAATATAGAGTAATGCAGATATATGCAAAAAATTCTTCTCCAGATAGGGGACAATTAAAAAGATGAATTTTGAACAAATGCAAAGTAGCAAGATTTTGCATTTCTAAGGAAAGAAATTTAATCTTTTATACCAACAGACAGTTTCCCATTCCAAATCCCACTTCTAGTGCTGTGTCAAAGCCCTTTTGGGAAACAGGTTTCCTGGCAGTCTTTTCCTTGGTGTTTCTTACTAGCCACTTAAGTCCCACAGGACCACACAGCTCTGCTGAAACCTCAGTTCACTCACCTAGGCTGCACATTAGGGCCAGTGGTCATGCTGCTCAAGCAGCACTTCTCTGGATCCATGGTCTTCTGTCACAGGCGTCACCTCAGTTCTTGTCCCTTCACCTCCTGGCTTTTGCTAACTGGTCACTCTGTACCCTGTGAGTGCAAAAGAAAATGAAACCTGCCTTGTGCTCAAATTGCCAGTGAGATAAGAAGGAACTGCTGTTCCACAGAGGCAAAGTCTAGACTGCAGACACATTGCACAGCTTGGCAGGGCCACTGCCTCAACTGCAGGATCTGTTTGCATTAAAGCAGAGGATTTGGGGGAAAAAATGTGCATGAAAAAGCAGCAGATTTGGGCACTTCTAGGTCCTTTCACTGCTGTGGAAACTATACCTCAGTGTGAAGGAGAAACTATATTTCACCTCCTTTCTATTTACAAAAGAGCAGCTGAAGCAAGTAAGTGTAAAAGAAGGAAAATTCAAGTACACTTTGTTTTGTCATCTAGTGTGGATGTGTTGGTATCTCTCAGGGTACATAAACATCCCTAATGTAGAAGTAAGTAATAGAAATTATGAAGGAAATGGAAAAAATGCATATGAGTTCAGTGAATATTCATCCTGGAAAGACTGACAAATCACAGCAGGTAAGCCTTCACATACTCTTGATTCCAGAGTAAATGTGCACTGTGTACTGGACTCCCAAGCAAGCACAGGCAACCCTGAATGCTGGGTCGGATAATGGCACAAATGAGGGTCACACCCTCTGTCCAGAGCACTGATTAGCTAGTGAGGATCTTGAGGCTCTTGTATCTTAAAAAATTGCCTGACATCCTCAGGGGACACTACAGAATTGCACACTAGGTAACATATGGACCATAGGCTAGGCCAGGCCAAGGGTGCTCTGTACTGCTTCAGCAGCCTCAGTGCAAACATTCCCACACTGCTGCAGATGTCACAGGACAGGTGGGTGACATGGAGTTGGTTGGGTCAGACACTGCACTCCCAGACAGTACCAAGACTCATAAAAGAAAAGTGATTTACAGCTCAGACTGAGAACAATCCACAATGCCCAGACAAGGCTTTCAGTCAGAAAATTAACCAGAAACCAGAAGACCCAATTTCTAAGGTTTGTAAGGACTTCTACATCTGAGGAAGAACACTCCATCCTGTACTCTGAAACTGGGATGCTACTTGTTTGGAATGTATAAGTCATGAGGAAAACATAGAACAGCCAAGAGTGAATTTGGCTCCAGCCATTTATGGGATGGACATTATAAGTAATTTATATTCTGAGGCTCTGACTCCTTTTAAGTGGGTTGGGCTCTCACACATTTGCTTCCAAGAACCAAATCTGTACTACCAAGTACAAGTTCTGCCAGGTGCCTCAGAAGAAGCAGAAAGTGTCCTAGGAGAAGCTGGGGGAGACATTCTTCTTCAGGGCAAGGGAGGTCACCAGTTTCCTAATGACTGCTCTAACCACAAGGCCAGTAAGAGAATGAAGAATTGAGCGGGGGTGCAGCATGCATTCAGATTTTTTGTATCATCAGAGCTGTTTCTGCTGTTTCTGCTTATTCTCAGAAGGCAGATGGCCAGCTTACATCATGACTGGGGGTGGAAGTAAGTATTTCCCATTAATTACCTCTAAATTCAACAGTAAGGATTAATCAAGAGTAGCCAAATAAGAAAGTAGAAGTCTTTCTGGGTTTCTTAGAGGCCCTCAACTTCTGCCACTAATCAGACTGGCCCAACCCTCTCCCTCTGAGAGTTGTGAGTGTACCTAAATTCATGCAAAGAAATTGTCCATAGGCACTTTTCTACCTCCACAGGATATCACAGAAGCAATACTGTGTTCATACAAATTAATTTGTACTATTTTTTTCACACAATCAGAAATTTTGTGAATGAGAGTGCTTGTGTGGAGAATCTTTCCACAGACCCTCGTCCTGCTGTTATCACAAAGCTTATCAATACTGGCAAATCAGCAAAATGTTTCTGTCAAGCTGGTTCTCTGCCCCAGAAAAACCTCAGGTGTCAGATCTGACCTTTGGATAGCCACAGTTTGAATTTTAAGAGCTCAGCAGAAAAGGCAGTCTCTCATAAAAATATAACCAGAAAATTGATTTTATCTCTCTATATAACTAGCACCCTTTTTCTATGAATTCATATGCTAAAGGCTGGAAAGACACAATTTAAAAGTAGTCATAAGTAGAACAGCAACCCCCTGACTCACAAGCCAATGAAGAAAACATATCTGTAAAGCAATTGCTACATTATAGAACCTTGAAAAAATAGGTGGGAGATATTGAAGTCTTTGAGTTAGTCTTCTTATTAAAAATATTCTACCTATTTCTTCTGGTTTGATCATTTGAGTCAAACAAAGTCTGGAAAGAAGCAGTTAACTTCTACTGACTGAAATTCTGGGTAAATTAATGAGAAGGATGAAGAACCCAGAAGTTTAGGTCAAAATGTAAAGTCCAACAGGAACCGGTATCATTTGCATCAAAACAAAATAAATATTTCTGTTCCAAAGACTAAGACGATAGAATAGTGACAACAAAAACAGAACCTGTGCTTGCAAAATATTTCAAGGTGATTTTCACTAAGTCCCTTCAGATGGTCCATTACATCTTGAAAAGACAAATAAATTTACTGCAATAAACAACGGAAATACCAGATCTTGAAACAACAAACATCTAGTTGGAATTACCGAAATCATGGCAAAATGTCAAATTTATAGAAGGATGAAAAGCATCTGTGGAGTTTCTTGTGGCAACATAATGGACAATGACAACAAATGTTGTTGACACAAAGAAACAGGCAGTGATAGACAAAAGTAGACAATGCTGAATTTTGATGAGTCTAAAATTGAGACAAGATTATTCCTTCCAATACTTGCCATTTATAAATTAAGCTATCAATAAATGACACATTAAAAAATAGACTAAAAAGAACGCTTGCCAACAGTGGCAGCAAACTTTGATGGAATAGCTCCATCCTTGGATTGCTTTCATAGTTCAAGCCATAGAAATGTGAGAGCAGCTGTGCTGCTTCAGACCATCTAACTAAGTCCTTCTTCTGAGATAAGGACTATTAAGAAAAACAAAGAGTAAAATAAAATCTAACACACACTGTAACCCTACCTCAGTACTGCCCTAGCCTTCAAAGGCTCTCACCACCAGGAATGTCCTGAGCCTGTTCATGTTTTGTCTATTTATTCCCATTCAAAACCTGGTCTCTGCAGGAGCCCATATGGACTTCCTATGTGTGCAGTGTCCTCTGTCAGTGGAGCTTCCAATGTGAGAGCCAGCCCAGCAGCTTGGGGCAGCTGATGAGATGCCAGTCTGATTTTCAGGAACTCCTTTCACCACGGCTGGAGGCAGAATGCCAGGCTGGGTTAGCTGGGCCTGACTCTGCACAGCATTTCTCATGCTTTCCTCCAGTGTTTGTTGTTTCTGTTTTTCCCATCAGCCCTTGGAAGCAAACTCTGTCCTTTGGCTGTGAGACAGCTCGTGGCTGGAGGAATAGGTCAGCTGGAGCTATTGCAGCTGGCAAATCTCCCTCCAGCCCTTGCATACCCCTAGCTGGAGGAAAGTGGGGACTCACAGCATCTGTAACTAAACTTCATTACATGACAAAAGCCTTGGTTTCCTCACTTAGGGTTTTATGATCACCTTCAGGTGGATATATCCTCCACTCCTGTATGAAATACAGGTGCGTCTCTTCACTGTAGGTCAAAAGTCATTCCTACTACAGCTCACCTCAAAAGGCCCACCTCTGCACTCACAGCTGGAAAATACTTTGCTGACACCAAACCAGGAGCTTTTAGTGGAAGAATAAAATCCTTTCTACATGTAAGGCAAGGGAATTTCCGCTACACTGGGGCTTGTAAAGGAACATGGTGATCCAGGAGGTGGCCCCACTCAGGAAATCAGAAGATCATCAGGCTGATTTGAGCTATCTTCAAATAAAAAAGCCAAGAGCAATGAATATGTCCATATTCAGTACATTTGTGGTTAGAGAGGGGTAGGTACAAAGATAAAATGGCACTTTCCTGCTTCACGTGTCCCACAAGTAGCTCAAAATGCAACATATGATCATAATCAGTAATTATGTACAGTGCTGCTGTCTTGATTCTTCCTCACCTCCTCCAGGGGTAGGTACAAAGATAAAATGGCACTTTCCTGCTTCACGTGTCCCACAAGTAGCTCAAAATGCAACATATGATCATAATCTGTCTTGATTCTTCCTCACCTCCTCTCTTCTTCACCAGGCCAGGCCACAAAGACTTCATAATGCTGCCAAGTCCAGGTCAAATTTTTGCAAAGCAGTACAAGAATTCTGGTTTTTTTTCCAATTAGCATCTTACTCAGTTGAAATGGTATTTAGCTACCAAAGAAGTCATGTGGCTATTTTTTAAAATGACATGTTTTGTTTTGCAAAATATGTACTTTGACTTAACTCCCATTACAATGTGACCAAGAATTCTCATTTCATTTCCTATGGAAGACCATCTCCTACTATCCACCTACTCTAGAAATGGAAATAGCCACCGTCCTGTATTATTCACATCCTTGAGAGAAATGTCTCAAGTGCTCTAGGCCAATCCCAGCTAGGAGCTGTTGTAATTTACAAGTGCAAATATATGAGTAAGGTGGTTGTTTTTTTGAGAGACACAGCTGTGTGATGCTGAGTATGAGGCCAGGTAGAGGCAATCTTTTTGGTGGGTTTCAAGGAAAAGAGATAAAATGAAGAATGGGGAAAAAAATGCATGGCCTGACTCGCAGACTCCTGAAGCCTCACCAAACCCACTAAGCCATTCTCTTCCATAACTCTTAGCCTATCCAAAGATACCAGCAACTGCTCACAGCCTCCCATAACTGGGACAGAAAAATTCAGTCATGGCAGCCCTGCATTTTTGAGGGTGCATGGGCACATTTTTGAGATACCACTTTCTGCAGTCTCATCCTCACCATTAGTTCTGGAACTCAGAATCATTTTCCCTGAGCCATAACCATGGCAGAATTTTTGATTTGGCTGCACTTATATTGATATCAATATTAACAACAACAATAATATTTTAACAGACAAAGGTCCTAGATAGACTTTGAAACAACCTGATACTTTTGTTTTGCAAATTGTCTTCAGCTTACAAACCCTGTGGCTATAGATTATTAACTAGGGGGTAAAAAACAAAAAGCACTACATATCATTAGGAAAAAGAGTTTGCAAGCCCCTTGGGATCTGACCACACTATCCAAGGTAAGGATTGGGAACTGAGGATTGGTCATTTCAGGCAGCCAGTGCTTTCTGCTCCTGAGAATGCTGTGATGTTTCATTTCAGATGATCTTCATGATGCACTGACTACTCCTCTCTGATGGCAGCCTTGAGACAGCTCTTCTTCATGGACTCCAGGGGCCTACTGTCCATTTGTTATCTGGCTTCCTATAAACATTTCAGCATCCAAGACTCTAAGATTTTCTCACCATGGAACTACTGGATCAGTTTATTCCCAGCTCAGGGGACCAGATAATTAAATTAGGCACAAATTCCTCATCTATCACTATGTCAAGTAAATAGGACTAGGACTCTCAGTTGCCTGGGTAGCACATGGCCAGTAATGATCCTCCAGCCATTATGCACAGCAGATCTGCTGAATGCTGATGCCAGATGAAGTGGTCTCCAATCACAGTCTTCTTCTTGGAATAACCAAGGCAAGAGTTGCTCGATTAGATCTAATTGACATATGCTGGAGGCCAAGTAAGAAACACAGCTCTGCAGAGCTCTACTACTCCCCATATCCCAGTCAGCTCTGATGCTTTGGATTAACAGTTGCACAGACTCAAAGGCCAAAACTCTCATTTTCTACTAAATTCCCTGCTAGTTCTTACAAATGACAGAAGAAGCACTAAAAATAATTACAGTATCATTCAGAACAGCAGTTGTCAAATACCTTCCTTTTTTTGCTCCCTCTTGGTGTGCTTTTTTTATTTAATGCTGTGGCTTGGCATTATTAGCAGCAGAACTTCATTATGATCTCATGTAAACAGTGTGGCTTTTATTGGAAGGGGAGAGCTTCAGTCTCAGGCATCACTAGGTGGAGGCACTGCACAGCACAAGGCTGGTGTGGCTCATGGCTCCAGGGCTTTCAGGATCCCCACAGCCAGCTTCTATGGCTCACTAACCCCCACCCTGAAACACCCACCCAATCTTTTCCCATCCTCAGCTGCCTGCTCTCTTAGATGTGATCCTTTCTTAATAATAAGCCAATTCATCTTCTAATTTCAGTACCCAACAAACTTTATGGTCCAACCCTCCAAAAATGTCAAACATGCCAAAGTTAGCAGCTTTTTAAAAGTGACAGCAGACGGTGCTGGCACATCTTTGGCTCATTTAAATGCATATGTGTATCAAGCCATTCAGATCTAGGATGAGGAAACATATTTTTATGAAAAACTTGGCTTTTCTTTTAAAAGTCAGCATGTGGTCTATTCTCTTCAGTCTCTGAGGAGAATTAAGTCCCGTTTACTTTAAAAATACAGGAATCAGAGCCAGATATCAAGCAGAACCAGATGTCACGACCCAGAAGAGAGCATACACAGATGGAAGGGGGACATATGGCACACAAGTTTTTTCCCACTGTGAATGTCCCTGTCCAGACAGCTCTTTAGCTTTTTCCCTGTTTGTTCCTGGAGGCAATATGTAGGGGAGTTAACTGCCAAGGTTTTTTTCTGTTTTAAAGGGACAGATGAATGTTGGTTTTTGTAACTCCCAAATAGTCTGCTTATTGGCCACTTCAGAATATATAAACTTTACCTCTCAGTAGGGTCTTTAAACTGAAATCATGGAATATTCTGAGTTGGAAGAGACCCACAAACATTATCAAGTCCAACTCTAAAGTGAATGGCCCATATGGGAGTAAAACATGCAACCTTGGCTTTATTAGCAACATGCTCTGACCAACTGAGCTGATCTCAGGGTCCTAAAGATGCATTTGTCCTGCCATTTCTGCTATGTCCCACTTGAAATTATGTAGTTGTTTCACACCTTACCTAAAAAGTACAGATCTATTTGATCTACGTGTGCTTCCCTAGGAGTGAGAGGTCAGAAAAGAGCAGATAGCTTGAATTTCTTTCCAAATCCAATGTTTGTCCAAGTGCCCCAGCTCCATGGCACAGAAGAAATAGTAATGTTATACATAGATGGGAAGAAAAAAAAATAGAAAACAAATAAACAAACAGTGTGGATATTAGAAACAATGAGTTCAAACAGAGAAAAAAATGCCTTCTTAAGGACTTGTTCCCTTCACATCTTCCAGGGACATTAGATAAACAGAGAAAGAAAGTGCAAAAGATCATCTCTCAAGGAGAGACGAAGCAGCACCAGGGTGTGTCACCATAGACAGTGCAGGAAAACTAAGCACTCCACTGATGCATATAGCCAGGGAGATAAGGGAAAGAGAGAACATGGATTTTAATAATTGCCAAGAGAAATAAAACCCATCAGGGAAAGTATTTAATCAAAAAGAAAGGAAAAAACCAATGAGACAGCATTCAAAATTTCCCTCTGACTACAGCCATTGCTATGCTCAAGAAAAAAAAAATCAAACTAGGTCAAAGACCAAATGAGAGGCTGACAACAGAAATGAACCAAAAATATTTACACATCTAAGTCACTTGATCTGGAGCAGTAATTCAAAATCAAGTTTTTGGAGCAAAAAATTCACCCTAATGACTTGGTGACCTTTCTACCTTTCTTCAGGGTGAGATAGTAACCCCTGATAAACACTGCCAAGCAGGGCTCTAACTCCAGCTGCAATGCCACAGTGTCCCACGTGCTCTCTCAGAGGAGTCACACAAGCTGTACATTTCAACTGGTGCCCAACAGATATCAGACTCCTTTTTTTCAATCAGTTTTAACGTGGGAGGCAATCTTAGAGTGGGCTGAGGAAGCAAATGTTTCTACTACTACTATTTTCCAGCTCCCTTTTAGTGACTAATGATCGGTTTGTCTCAACAAACGCATCGAGTGCTGGTTAATATTATCCTAAATTAAAAGAGAATAAACATGCACATCAAGTGTTGTGCTTTGCCTTTACTCATGAGAATAATGAGTGTAAAGATGACAGGAGGAAATGCTATTGCTCCTGTGTTCATGAGTTGTAGCATCTCTGACTAAACCCGAGACCTGGAAATTTATTTACGTGTATTCCAAAGCTCTACAACATAATTCTTCCTTGGTACCTCTAGGGAAAAGGTCTCTCCTTAGCACAGATGTCCTAAATATTAACTGTACCCTGCCTGTTTCATTTTCAAGCTAACTGCAGCTATGAAAGGAAGCCGAGTCACTGAGCTACCATAGTGTCTGAACAAAAGGCAGGATGGGCTTACCTCTCAAGCAGACGGTCAAGGCACCAAGATAAAGGGAAAATGTTAAATTGCTCTTGCACTGTTCTACATTCTAGGATGCAATACAGAGGTTAATTTAAAGGAAAAGGGAAAAAAAAAAAAAAAACCCAAGAAAAAAAAAAAAAAAAAAAAAAAAAAAAACAACCTAGTTGGTCAGGGCTGTCCTGTTTGGAGCTACTGCATTAAATCTACCAGGTCCTAAAAACTCATTCTGAGCTCAGAGCACATTCCTCCCAGTCACATAAACATCTATCCCTGAATTAATACAGTCATAGATGCTGTGCTGGTTGTGTGTGGGAGGCTGGGAAGAGACACAGCTGGGAGAGGTGACCTAAACCAACCAAAGGGATATTCCAGATCAGATGACATTATGTTCAGTATATCAAGCAGGGGAAGAAGGAAGAACAAGGGGACATTTGGAGTGATGGTGTTTGTCTTCCCAAGTAACCATTGCACATGATGGGGTCCTGCTGTCCTGGTAATGGTTGAACACCTGCCTGACCGTGGGAAGCAATTAATTCCTTGTTTTTCTTTGCTCATGTGTGTGGCCTTTGCTTTCCCTATTAAACTGTTCATTTCAACCAACAAGTTTTCTGGCTTTTACCCTTCTGAGTCTCTTCCTGATCCCACTGGTGGAGAAGTGAGTGGTGTGTGGGGCTTGGCTGCTGGCTGGGAGGTGTATATTAGAACATGAATCAGCCACATCTCAGTGCTATTTACCACAGATGTAAGAAAGCAGGATATGATCATGAAAAAATCATGAAAGAAGTCTCATAGAAAGCATCAGTGCCACAGTATGGATGGAAAGATGTAATGGAATTAGCAAATCCAGACAAGTTAATCACAAGGCAAGGAAAGGACAGTGCAATCTGGAGTACCAGACAGGAGCAAACCAACAGAATAAATATGTCATTTTGGTTTAAAAGCAAAAAATGGTAAAGAGAATGCTTTTAATGTATCTTACACCACATACCATTTAGATTTTGCTCTCTGTCTGCATAAACAATAAATATATCTACTATAAAGTGATAAACAAATACTTTTCCATTGATTACACTGCATTTGCCTTTTCCTTCTGAATCTGCCAAGTTTTCAGGGGCAAACCTCTTGCCAGCTAATAATTTGTGGAGTTGTTGGGATATTTTTTATTTTTTTTTAATAAAAAGCTACCAGCACATCTGTCTCTATGGGACTTCTTTTATTGTACCACAAAAAAAATATTGTGTTTTCCAATGTGACTTGCAAAAAAAGTTTCCAGGGACAGAAAACAGAGACAAAATTCAGCTTCAAAATTAATCCCCCTGATAAAAGGAGAAGCCATCTCATGTCATGCTACATTGAAGTAGCTAGCTAACAATCAACCATGATAACCAAAGCCTATCTCCCACACTCACTTTTATACAAGGACACAAAATAATCACACTAAATGTGGTTATTTGAAAGAAAGTATCAGGTAAATCAATGCTGACTCACAATCATCTGTCTTCACTTAAGAGTCATTAGGAGTCTCAATTAGTGAGAAATGAGAATTATCTTGAATTAGTGAGAAATGAGACCTATCTTGAATCTATTACAATCTTGAATGTGACAAACCTCTGAAAAGAACTATGAAAAAAGCAGCCCGAAATCATAGCACCACGTTCACAGAAAAAACCAAAAATATCAGCACAAATTGCAAATCAATTTACTTTTATGTAGTACTGCAAGTCCTAGTCATTACTTTGTTTAGGTTTTTATTGTTTTGGGAGGGTTTTTTGGGTTTTTTTTTGTTTGTTTGTTTGGGGTTTTTTTGTTATTTCAAAGAAAATTAATATGGAAGCTGAAAAAATCTACCACAGTTTCAACACCTTTACCTTATTATTTTTCTCCTCTACATGGATAATAAGAAGGTTCTGTTTTTAAGCACAAATTTTAAAAAGGAAGGAAACTAATTTTGAATACTTTTTTTGAGCAAGCTAAGTCTAAACACAATGTAAAAATTTGACAATTATGGTTATCTGAATTCTCTAAGACTCTAAATTTATTTTTTAAAGATTCCAACCTAAATATTATGCATTTCCAAAGAACATGGATTCACATTGACTAGGACAACAGTGCCTCATCTGATGGATCTACCTTGTTCCTAGTCTCTGGTCAGTGAAGGCTGTGGAAAATTACACAGTTGCGAACCCCACAGCCAGGAGAATGAGACATTTGCTCCTAAGGAGTATTTACTACACTTTTACAAAATAAAAAAGTACCATGAAATGCTATTGGAAATCTTTCCCTTTGATTATATTTCCACTCCTAGACTTTGCTTTCTCTCCCATCAATGCAGGCCAATGAAGAATATATTCTAGATACACATACCTCTGAGAAGCAACTGAAAGGAAGTCCTATGACAGATGCTATCCTGGCAATAAACACGATGTTAGAACCTACATAACTTCAGAAAATAATTTTTAAAAAGCAAGCAAAATTTGTATTTGAATTTAGATTATGTTCTCCAAGGCTGAAGCATGAAAACTCCTGCTGCTTCAGACCACCTTGAAAAGGATACAGCCTGTCATTTTCTCACAGGGATGCACACCAAAAGTGGATTGGGATCCAGAAATACCAAGCTACTCTCAATCAGTTTGATGTAGCCACATGCCTCTAACTTTTTCTTTCACAAGTAGATGAGATACCATTTCTTGCCATTAGAATTTGGTCATGTTTCAGAACTGGCCACTTTCCACTCTCCAGGATACCCAGCCCAAGCACAGCTCTGATAGATTCTCAGTGAATTTCTGTGCATGCAGTTAGCACAGCTGACACACAGCATGAGAACATCTGTTTTCCAGAGAAGCAGCACAGTCTAGAAAGCTTCCCGTTCTCAAGAAGTATGAACTGTTTTCAGTTTCCCAAGCATTACAAGTGACTAAGTTTCAAAAGCAAACATACACCAGATATCACAGAAGTGTTCAACACTTTAAAAATCCACAGATTTTATTCCCTTCCATTTGCTGAACACATTTGATACCAACTGTTCAGCAGAAACACATTTAGTGTTGTGATGAGTTTTAAATATACCTGCTATGTCATGTATTTCCCCAACCCTTTCAAGAAGCAAGGGTAAGGCCTGTTGCTCAGGAGACAAAGCTTGCACAGAGCAGATTCTTGCAGCAATAAGATAATCAGACAATCGTGGAGAAGCAACAAGAATTGGAACAGAATGACTAGGAAAATGCTGATGATAGAAATAGACTTTTAATTTATCAACTGCAGTTTTGATTTTAAAAAATGGACTTCACAGTTGTTTCTTCATATAACATTTATGTGGACCACAGCTCCTTAATAGCCTATCATCATCACCATGTTTACTTACAATATTTGATGGAGACTAACACAACAAATTTTGTCACTATCCAAAACCTGTCACAGAAATAAAGTTGCACAGAGTTTTTTCTTTTAGGGTGTAATTTATGGAAAAGATGAGCAGTTTCTACTCTGCAAAGAAAACATCTACTTTGTAGTATAAAGTATATGCAAGAAACATCCCAATTCAGAATTATCTTCTTACTATTATTTAAATAATTGCTTCTTAACTTTCCTTTGCTGCAGAACTGTTTGACATTAGGGACAATGAATACACTTCAGAATTAGATGCCTTTTTCCTGGATGGCATTTGATAGCGCACATTTTTCCAGAATCTTGTGTTTGCTGAACAAGATTTCTCTGAGAAGTCTCCTTTCCATTGAATAGCTCCATGTTTTTGCTTAATGAATCTGATTGATTCTGTCATGCTCGTGTAGTCCTGTATTTCACCCATTTCTATAAGAATTACTTGAATCCCATCACGGATGAGAGCATTATACATAGCTAGCTGTTGCTCAGAGGTGTCTTCCAACAGGCAGCCCCTAGATGTTTCTGATCCCAAAATAATCATCAGTCTTCTGCTTTGCTTAAGGGTTTCATCAGCAACACTGACCACAGCTGTAAGTGATGAAGGAACAATCAAAGTCTGCATAGAAACTTTACAACTGGTGTAAAATAGTTCTTTATTTTAAAATTGCAAACATTTGAAGCTGTGGCTAGTTCAGAGCAGTGGTTGCTTTAAGATCTTCACACTTCCAATCATGATTAATGATCCATTGCATAACATAACTTCTAAAAAAGTTCTTTCCTTCAGCCCTCAGGAGAATTTATCGTTCAAAAAAAACTCAACAGTATTATTAATGCTATTAAGTCCTCATTTGTTCATCACTAAGAAAGCGCAGACCCTCACAATATCAGAACAGAATTTTCAATTAGGGGAAAAAAAAAGGAAAAAGGAAAAAATTTTCATTGGGCAAATTAGCCAATAAAACTAAATAAATACAGCTTTCTTTTAAAAAAATGTGGGTTTTAATTGCATAAGTAAACTTACAATCTGAGAACAATGTTTCAAAAGGCAACCTCTTAACTCTGCTAATTAAAGCATACCTTCTCCTGGTAAATCATCCCTTCCTAATATGAAAAGGTTATATCCACATTGTTTTTCTAAAACATCTGGGAGTATCCTACGAACAAAGGTTTCCAGACAACATATGCTCATGTCTTCACTGCTTTTTGTGTACAGGACATATGCATCGTAGATTTTCCCATCTAAAACAAACACAAACATTTCTATTAAAAAACTAAAACTCAGAAAAATGCCTTTATTGCAAAGTTTCATTTTTGGACTGTTTAGAAATAGTAATGTGAGGCTGATTTCACCTATCTAACAGAATCACCTCACAGAAGTAAAGTGATCCATGAATAAAAATAAAGATGACCAGCCAGAGCATCTGACTTAATTTCCCATCCTGGGGATGAAGGAGTCACCAAATGAACTGGGTGTAAGACCTGGGACCTGCAGGAAGGAGCTCCCAATCCTAGAGGTGCCTGGACATTAAGGAAGTACCCTCTCACAGGACTTTCTTCACCACTTCTCCTGAAAGAAACTCAACAGCAGTTATCCTGACTAACCACAAGAGAAGGTGGAAAAATGGCAATTCTTTCTTGTAATGATCCTCAGAGGGCTTTTCTCGGGTAGAAGAAAAGCCCAGAAGGCTTCTGAGGTTTTGAGAGTTAAGGCTGCATAGCAAGCTGCACTGAAAGAACCAAGCCAAAATCAGATCTAACTCAAAAAGTTTAAAACTTTGATTTTTTTTTTTCCTTTTAATTAGAACTCTATTACAGTGTTATAGTAAAACTGAATTTTTGACCAGGAGTTGAAATTACTTTTCCGTAAAAACATTTAGCACAGCCATGAGTAAACATTAACTATCTTAATGTATGTAATCCATCTACTTTCAAGCCATGGGAAACTTCAGACAGTTTAATTCTGAGAACTGACATGAAATATATCTATGATGTTGTGCTTATTTCAAATTTTTCACACCTGTCCAATATATTTGCCTACAGTGCATTAAACTAAAACACATTAGAAGAATCCCAGAACACAGAACTAGCAGCAAATTTTCTCTTTGATATGTCAACACAACTGACAGGATTTAGAAGGAAAGTGAGGGTAATAAAGAGGAATTGCAAAAATTATTTTAAAAAACCAATAACATTAATCTCTAACAAATGAGTCTGATTTTCAAAATAAATATTTAAGGCACGTCTTTAAACATCCAGTTTACAGGATGTAGCTCTGCTGACACCTATTGTTCATCATCAGAGTGACCATAAATCTACATGTAAAGAAACTACAGAAAAGCAATAAACAACGTGCTCCTTTTGGAATAACCTACAGTTCTTCTTTTGACCTATCTCACTGTGTTCCCTTCAATATTACACAGTCTTTATTACTTCAAGCAAAATTATCTATTTTATCCATATGACTGAAAAAATCCTGCACAAAATGTCTTTGTGCATATCTACAAATTCCTTATGGAAGTTCTATATAGATTGTACTAAATAATCCCATTATTTGTCAGAAGTAAAGGCAAGAGAGAAAAATCAGTAGGCTAATTACACTTACATACCTGGTGACACTCACATACCTTCCTTACTTGTAAGGGCACAGACAGAATTACGGTACCACAGTACCAAATCAATCTTGAAAATCTTGAAGATTATTAAAGTAATAAATGTTAAAATTAACAAAGAGACAAGCCCTCCAGTCAGCCATCTTCGTATGTCAGGAACTGCATAAAAATATAAGAAATTTGTTTTAAATGTTGAATTTGTCCAAAACTGATCTTTCACATAAATTCAATATGAATTTCAATATTACATTTTTCATTCCTATTTCCCTTGGTTTTTAAATAATGATAAATACAATGCTATTGTGATTTCTTCCCTATGCACAGGCACATGCATACTGCAAACTGTAATACATCTGTTTCCTCTCAACATGATACACGAGAACTTGGTATCAAAAATCCTTCTGGGGAAGAATAGATAATCACAGGCCTCAAAATAATAGTATTTTTTACCTCTGTGTTTAAATATAATATAGGATGCGACTTGCCCAAAGGCATTTGAAGCTTGACAGACAAAAGGCTGTTCATAGTCTTCACTCCTTACTTCTGAAATTATTAGCTGCACGGAATGCATAGGGCGCCCGTCGTAAGAAGTTTCTCCCCTGTCCAAAAGGTGACAAATAGAACCATAAAACCACAGCCCATTCAGGAATGGCTTCATCTCTAACAACTGCAGCACAACAGTGGTTATTTCCTTCTGCAAAAGTCAACCACACTTCCCAACAGATGAACAATTACCTCATATGAATGAAACCCAAACAGTCAGACCTCTCCTCGTGCTGACATTTAGCAGATGCGTCGGAAAGCATCAAGACATCAAGAGGTTATCTTATCTGCAGCTGTGTTTCCCCAAAGGAACTACAGTTGGAAGTTCAAAAATATGCCTTACAAACCTAAATAAACTCTTGCTATGGGCTTCCCAATCCCTGTGAGAGTAGATGGACATAGATATTTCACAGGATATGACATTCAGGGAATGAATGAACCAACATCACTAATGCAAGTGACCAAAGATGACCATGTAAGTGCTAGGAAGTACAAAAAATAACATTGCTTTTGCAATATCGTGTCTCTGGTTTATAGCACAATTGTTTATGGCTCTATAATTCTTTATGACAGTATAATACATTACTTTTGCAGAGTGTTTTCTCTTTGTGAGCAACCAAGTAAGTCAGCATTTTGTTTTTCCCTCTGTTTTATTTTGAAAACTAATTTCTTGCAACTATATGCTTACTTTGCAGACATCATTCTCTTTTCTTCACTGTTTTTTTGGTCCTAGATAGTGCTCCAGAATTTACAAAAATTATCACTTTTTTTAATTCACAGCAGCACCATAAGGGCTGACAAAAAACCCTGAGATTTTTAGTTAAAACCTGTAATGTCTAAGAACATTTCAGATTGCCTCTTGCTCCAGTTTGAGTTGGTCCTTCCAGTCAGGTATAATTTCTCTTCTTCTAATTCCATTTAACCTGCTTTTCATCATCAACTTATCTCCCACTTGCCCTTCACATGCATAACTCAGTCCAAGTTCTGCCAAAACCCAGCTCATCACTGGAAATCTGTCTCCCTTTTCTCCTCTAACCTCTAAGCTTCAGTAAAAATGCCCTCAATAAAGGCTTCCATTAGCTCTTCAGTTGATCTCAGTTAAATTTCTCTAACTTAATGCCCTTAAACCTACAAATATTGATTTTTCCTGTATAGCACAGATTTGTCCTCTTGCAGCCTTTCAGATGTGGAACACAGAAGAAAGAGAGTCTGAAGATCATGCACCTGAACATGCCTGATTCGACCAAAAGAGGTCTCTGCCAGGCCAGAGCTTGCTCAAAAGAAACTGTATTACAATTATAGGACTGTAACAAAACACCTTTTCCCCGCAGTGGAAATTCAGACTGATTTTTTACAATGAGCAAGAAACGTACAATCACATGTGAAGCTCATGTGTCTACTATGTTTAAACTTTCTATTTCAAAGCAGAAAGTCAGTTGGAGAAGGCAAGCATTAGAGTTTTTAAGAAGATTGCTGTTTAAAGCAAAGGGAAAATGTTGCTAAATATTTTAATGTCAAAGGGAGAAAGTGTTACTTTGGTTGCCAACACATATATTTTCTAATCTGAAAATATACTTACTCATAGGGACTTGCAAAAATTCTGCTCATATAAAACACATCAATATACACACCGTTGCCTGTCCAGTACACCTCATACCCATCAGCACCTGTGGTGTTGCAATCCACAGTAACCTGTGAGCCTATAAAATTGTGTTAAAGTAAAGAATTAATTTCCATGACCTAATTGAAGTCTATACAATCCTGTTCATGGATTCACACACACACACCAGCTAAGAATGATATTAAACCCTTTCAAAAAAGTTACTCTAACAGAGGGTCTATATTATCAACGATCTGCAGGTCCGGAAAGAGAATAGTAGGACAGAAGAAGCTGAATCCAGGAAGGAGATGCTTCTCCTTGGGGCATCACTTTTCCTGCAGATTCAAGATGGACCTGTTTTTAGAATCACTTCCAGAGTGATGGAAAGCAACAGATGTGACAGATAATCACTTGGGTTCCTACAATTTTCCTTGCATTTGAGAAATTTCTTTAGGACTTTGCAAGCAACATGCCTCTTTTCTTTCCCTCCCACCCCTCATTCCTCCTTTGGGAGATCAACAGAGAGAAACTGACCAGTGAAGTAGTTTTTTCATAAAATAAAAAAAAAGCAGAGAATAAGACACCCCTTGAGAATACATTTTAACTAGGATACAAATTCATATCTTCTCTAGAAAAAACTACTCACCAAGTTCCACTTCAATGGAGTTGTTTCTTGGGTAAGTTATTTCTGGAGGCTTTTTTGGTGGGGTCACTAAGAACAAGAAAGAAAGTTCTTTTCAGAAGAACAGGGGCAGTTGCAGTCTGTTTTATGCTCTATAATACAAGTACAACCTAAAAACATCCCTTGTACTAAATACAAGGTTGTCAGCCATTTTATAACAAAATATCACTCAATACCGAAAGTACCATATCTCAGATAATCTGTCATTACTGCACTTTTAGGTGAAAAACAGTAGTCCTAAGCATGTCCATCCCCAAATTAGTTCTTTCCACTTTAGTAATGAGCACAAAGACAGTGAAATTATTTACTTGCCTTCTACAACCAGACTGATGTCTCGTGAAATATTATATTGTTTCCCATTGTAGGTATATGTTGTTTCACATGTGTAGTTTCCTCCATCATGTACAGTCACATTGAAAATTATAAGGTCACTGTTTGAAAGGGCAAACCTTTTTCCTTTCAGCAGCTGGCAGTCCTAAAAGTGTATAGAGAACTCTGTTAATTCACATCTCTGTATATTTCCATGGTTTGTCTCTCTTTGACACAATCTGAAGTTTCAATGGACCACAGCGTAAGGATGGTTATGCAGAGGCTGAGGAAGAGTGAGGTCAGCAGAATATGAAGAAATGCACACTTCACTTCAGCTGAGGTTTTAATTTAAAGATACCCCAGTTCATTCCCTTTGGAAAACAACTTTTGATATTAGAGAAATAAGAAAGTAAAATGTGGGTTGTCAGTACTTGCAAAAGTATTCCTCAGTGAAGCATCACTCAATAATTAGACTTTATTTTTAACAGCCTCAATGTTACTGGTACCATGTGGACTGCATGAGCCTGAAGCAGGAATCTGGCAGACAGCACTACATTCTTGTAACAGAAAGAGCCTTAAAGAGAGCGTGAACAACAAGAAATAGAATAATGGAATAGAACAGTATTGAGCACCTAATGAACAGATGCCACCTGGTGGGTACGTGGGTCAGCATCACTCCCACACCTCAGCTGACATTCTGTTCTGATAATCAAGAACGCCTTTAAAAGACAGAAAGTCTTATCTTCTTCAAATTTGTTTTAAAAAGCATTTTTCTCCAACTTAAAATAAATCTTTAGTTCTTCTGTTCCAATTCTCAAAGATCACTGATTTTTATTCTAAACAATGGACAGATATAAGACAGAACAAAACACTATATTCTCACCTTATACCAACGAACAGGATGAATATTCTTCTCTGTCCTGAAATAATCCAAGTGGGGACAAACGACCTTTGCAGAAGATGATGTGAATATCACCTCCTCTACAGCAAATTTTTCATTTAAGCATAAACCATCAATCCTCTCAAAAACTGTTACTTTTGTACACATTTTTTTGCAGCTTGTCAAATTCCTGTAATTAATAGAACACAATTAAATTAACCTATTTAACACATTTTGCAGGTCAAAAATATATGGCATTCTGTTTGGAGAAGAAAGAGAAGAAAAAATATTTGCAGTTTCTTTAATAGATTTACTTTTTCCTACAAGGAAAAAAAACCCCAAAACTACATTTAATTTCTCCAAACTAAAGTTATTTTTTTGTAGATGCATTCCCTCTACTTCATTAGTATTTCTCTTACCCTCAAAATTTTACTTGCTTTCTAAAAGTTACTCACTTTGCAACTAATTTCTGTAAAAATATAATTTTTTTTAACTTTCACCTTATGACACATTCATAATCTCCAGAATCTTCTAACATGGCAGGAAGAAACCAAATCAGATTCTTCTGCTGATGAACTCTAGACAGTTTGTCTCTAGGCACAGCTCTCTTGTTACCAACTTTATACCATGTTAAGTTGTAGTCTCCACTTTTCAAGCTCTTTTCCAGTGAACATTTAATAGCAAGAGGCTGCCCATCAGGCACAAGACTATGCTTTAACATCACATCATAGGCTTCACATTTCTCTAAAGGAAAGAGATAAGCATTAAAGAAAAACTCAAACACTCTGCAAAAATATACTGAATTCATTTCCTGATTATAAAGTTCATTGGAGTTTTCACCTCCATTCTCAAGTCAACTACTAAAAATACAATTTTAATCCCTTACTTATCATTGCAGCGGAGAGTACTACTCAGTAGTTTACAGATGTAGTTATGCCACTAAAATGAAATGCTGTTTTTTGAATGCAATCTTTACACGCAGTAGAATGCCTTTGTAGCAGAGTTATCATTTGCGTGTTTTATTTCAGATGCAAATTACTAAAATACTTGTGTTTCTCCAGTCTGTTTCGTGGGCATGTACACAAACACATACATGCACACAAAATTCACATTTAATGTATTTTTTTTTAACTTCACTTAACTGTAGTTAAGACTGTGCTTTTGATATTTAAACGTCCTAAGACGACACAGAAGTAAAGATTGTGTTGTACAAATATTAAATTTGCTACAGGAATTTCAACTGACCCTTCATTTTATGAACATTGAGAGAGGAATCATTACAATCACCAATGAGCTCATCTTTCTTACTTTACTTCTGACACAGACTCATGCAGAAAAAGAGCAACACCAAGAGTTTGGTTTGGGCTTTTTTTTTTTTCTTTTTTGCAATAAAAAAAGGCACCAGCTCTGGCTACCATGGTCCACGTTCCCAAGTCAGTAATACATTTATCGAAACTTCCTTGTTTTGTTATTTTATAAGAACTGCCACAGAGTGTCATGCAACTGTCTGTTTAGCCCAAAATCCTGTATCTGATAACTATCATTGGCAACTGTGCAGAACAGAGGAGGACACAATAAATACAATACCACTCTGACTTCAATCTCTTTACTGAAGGGACTGAACTGAGATCAGTTCTGCATGCAAAACCATTCACTGATTTTTATAAATTTTCTGAGTATCATGCATTTCTTGTTATGAGAAATAGTACACTTCTTCTCATCTGCCTATTCTATGATATTTACATTTTCATAGACCTTCATCCCATCTTGCTTCTGTCTCTTTACCTCAGAGTCCTCCTCATTTGGAGACTTCTCATATGGAAGCCATCCCATATCAGACAACACTGTCACTCATCTCTCCACCTCTTCTGATACCATCTTTCTGAGATGTAATGACCAGAACTGCAGAGTTCGACTGGCACAGATTCACTGTGGGGTTAAAGCGTAGTATAATGAGGCTTTCTGTTTTCTGCTGTCATGCTTTCCAAAAATTCTGGTCACCACTGATGACAGTTAATGATTCCAGAGAGCATCCAGAGACATCAAAGCAGCATTTCCCCAAGTGGCTATTAATTAACTTAATGCTCACATCACACACATACAGCATACTTACTTCTGCTATACATGCATGACCTTTCATCCCTTCATGCCCCTTCACAGCCACTTGATTTTACTGACTGACATTCTATCACTAAACTATTTGATATCCAGGCACCTTCTGCATAGCAAGCATCCGTTTTAACCACTAAAGAATAATTTTGTGTCATCCACAGTTTTCATCATCTCACCACAGATCTTTTCCAAATTACTTATCCAAACATTGAATTACTCAGGTATCTGAGCTGAATGCCCCATAATAACTGTGGTGATTGTGATATGCTGTGGCCACAGAAACTGATCATGTTTTTCTGCCACTTAATGCTAATATTCTTCACCAGTGTAAGAGACACCAGCACATGCTAAAGACCACCCAGCTGGAAAGCAGATCTGCAGAGAACATCGGGGTCCTGGTAGACCACAAGCTGATCATGAGCCACCAGTGCTCCCTCATGGCAAAAGAAGGCTAACAGTGTCCTGGGATGCATTAGGACATGCCAGATTTGAATTTACTGGAGAGAGCCCAGCAAATAGCTACAATCATGATTAAGGGAGTGGAGCAACTCTCACTTGAGTAGAAGATGAAAGAGCAGGAACTGCTCAGCCTAGAGAAGAGAAGAGAAGATCTGATGAGTGTGTGGGTGGATCTTATCAATGTGTGTAAATACCTGATGGGAAGGACACATATTGATAAGATCCACCCACACACTCCTCAGACAAAGAGACAGACTTTTGCCAGCCGAGCTCACTTACAGGATTATGCAATGAGCGCAAACTGAAACATAAAATATTCTATCTGAACAAAAAAAAAAAAAACCTTTTTTATTGTAAGGGTGATCCAACAGTGGAACAAGATGCCCAAGGAAGTTGTGGAGTTTCCATTTGCAGAGGGTTTTTTTTTTGACCCTGTAAAGTTAGATGTCAAGGGCTCCTGTCTAACCTAAATGATTGTTATAAGTTAGAACATGAAATATCACATACGATGTTTTATAGGTTCTTTTCCTTCTCTTGGCACTATTTAAAAGAACTCATTGGCATGCATGTAAATTTCACTATTACGGCCACTTCTTCAGAAAGTTAGTATTACTTGTATGAAAAAAAGTTCCATTAAAATTCAGAACAAGACTTACCATAGCTACCAACAGACTTACTTGCAATAATTAAAGACAGAAATGCTGTTGCAATGTTACATGAAAACAGTGTTTTTGCTGCCATGTTCCCCTGCTGAAATGGAAAGAAAACTTTCAATTAGTGGTTTCCAATATGAAATTCCATAATTTAAAGTAAACTTCTGCATTACACAATTAATATAGCAATTACACAGTTTAAAGAGAACACATGAAATACAGGAATTTCTTTTACTTGTTTTGAGCCTGTTACCTGCTTTTACACCTGACAGCTCCTAATTATTACACCAGAAGGAAAAAAAAATGAGTGAAAATCTCCTATTTCAGCTTGTCAAGCACTTGGGGTTTTTTGCATCGCTAGCACACTCCTTCCCTTAGTGCTTAGGAAAGCATTTCTTGCTTTCCTAAGCTACAGTCATAGATTCTCTAACTCTCCCTTAGATGGGATCTGATTTCATAATTCTTACTTTTTTTGCCACCCACTTCTGTACTGCAGCCAGTTATGCTACAACCTGTCTGATGGGGAGGATAGGACATAACTTGCATACAGTCTTCAAAGCATAAACTCACTATGGATTTATAAACAAAGACAATTATTCTTTTTTTTCTGGATTTTTTTTCCTAATTATTTCTAACCCTACCTTTTTTCTTTGAATACTACTAAGTACTGATCTGATATTTCTATGGGCCTATAGTAAAATTTCAAGATCTCATCACTGGGTACTAAGAATCAGGCAAACTCAGTCAGCTGTTGAGCACATGATGTTAGGATTTTGGTCATATGTTTTCACTTAAAATTTTTCATATATTTCTCTACAACAATTTTCTTCTGCTATTATTACCCAGTCATTACTATCATGACATCTTTGTGCCATTCTTTGCAATTTACACCTCCATGTTCTAGCCTGAATACATTAGTATTGTTGGCAAATTCTGCCACTGAAACAGATGCCCTCTGTCTAGACCATCAAAATACATGCTGAGGAGTTGTTTGGGACTTTAGTAGTGATGTTTCTTCACCTAAAATCCAGGTATTTATCTTTTATATGCTTATTTATATATTTGAGAATGATTGTCAGGACTCTTTAGTAGTCCTCTGATCCCTAACATGTTTGGAGAAGGATCTCTTAGTTGCATGCCTCTGGCAAGCTGTTCCTTAACTTGACCTGCTTTACTGTTTTTGTTTATATTCAGCCGACCACAGTGTTTCACAGCACAGTGAGAGGACAAATGCAACTATTCCAGCTGAAGTATGAGCAGGAGGACCCCATCCTGTCGTGACAAACATTGAGCTGATCACCACTTTCTACAAGAGTCGAAGATGACACTTCCGGCTGCCGTGTCTTACTTCACCAGACTGACTCAGAAGTGTGCCATGTGTTGAGTCAGCCACACTGCCTCTTGCAGTGCCTGCTTCCCTTCTTCCCTTTCTCTTTCCTCCTCCCGCCTTGCAAATCTCCACTCAAATTACCAGGCAGGTCTCTTCTTGCCTAGCTCTAAGATGGGATGAGCCCCTGAAAGAATCCTGACACAAACATTAAAATCTCAGGAGGTAGGTTATATGTGTTTGTACAAAAGCTACAACTTTTTCTATTATTCGTGATGCACAGAATCTCTTAAAAATCTATACTTTTTAATTTTAAAGAAGAGGAAAATATTGTAACATATAATTTAAAGATAAAACAGGATTGAATAGACTCCACTTATGAGCAGGTATTTTCTTTATGACTTCTCTGAATCACTGCGTTTTCACAAACTCTGCTCTCTTACAACATTACCTTGTTCTTGCTCTAGTGGTCTGTCTCACAAGAGCTCTCTCAAAAAGTTTTTTGCCCCACCAGTAAATTTAGCAGATGCAGAAGTAGTATTTTACTACATCCCAAAAGAAAGTCTTCCAGGATGCTGCTTTTCTATAATTTCAATATTCTATCTATTTAAATTTATAATTTGCCTTTTTGTCAACATAGAAAAACTTGCTAACATATGTAGAGCCCTGTGAAACCATACACGCCACTTTGAGGAGACTCCCTCTTCTCTCACTTTCCCTGATAAAAATTTCCATTTCTATGGAAGGTAGACACAACAGCAAAATTAGGCTCTTCTCTGTGCATGCATTCACATAAATAAGGATGAAATAACATACATTCAATTGCAGAACCAATTGCAAATGTTTTTCCTACCCCATTCTGCCATGATAAACGGCTAAATTTCTGCCTTTCCCCAGCCATTCTGTCCACATCTTGAGCACTCAATCGACCTTTGAAGCTTTATCATTCACAACAGACTTCAGCTCTGGTTATCTTTGCCCAGATTTTCCAAAGGGGAAGAAAATTTCAGGTATGCGAAGCCATGTCCATAAAGTTTTATCCTGAAAGGAAATATTTTTATCAATTGCAGTTTTTTAAAAAAATCATTACAACCACCCCCCACCCCTCAAAAAAAACATCAAATTTCTGAAAGAGGTCCTCACTTATATGTGCACCTGAATTACAATCACAGCATAGATGACAGAATGTAGGCATAATTTGCATTAAAATTTCTGATTGAATTGGCATAACCACCTTTTTATCTGCTTTTTAGTCCTTTCAAAGTTGATCTACTCAATAAAAAAAGAAGTCTCCCCAAAACTTCAAAGGATCACAGGTTTCACTGATTCTGGTAAACTTGTGGCAGGTTTATTTGAATCTCATTCAAAAGCACAAACTGATTCAAACATGCAACAGTCCTCGGAACTGAGAGAACCAACAGAAAGTCAGAGTACCACACTATTTCTCATATATAAGCCTAGGAACATTTTAAATCATAAAAAATTAATATTAATTACCTTAAATGCTCCTATTAACTGCAAGGTACACCATGGCTCTTCTAGAGAGATTAATCAAGTGCCTCACTTTTGCTCACGAAAAGAAGGATGGCGGCACATACATCCATAGCTCCACTGGACACACCTAGTCAGCGTGGAAGAGTTGCGTTAGCCCCGTCGGGATGCAGCGACAGCTCTGCGACTATTGCGATAGCCGTGCTTCTGTCAAACGCTGGCATCGCTCAGCGGGTGCGGCAGGAAATCATTTTCCAATACTCTTCATTTAAATTGCGACGTACTTCTGGAAGCATTCCGTGGGAAGGGGCTGTGGCTGCTGGGCGCTGCAGGGACCTGCCAGGGGCAGCTGCGGAGAGCAGGCGCTCGCTCGCTCTCGGTCAGGAGCCGAGCCACGGATCCTTTACGAGAGGTCTCACCCCTACTCCTAAAGTGTGCCCAGCCCCGTTTCCCCAGCAGACACTGCCTCGCTCCGAGCCACCTCCCAGCCCCAAAAGCGACCGTGGGCGCCGCAGCTCTGTGGATGTGTGCAGGGATCACCCCGGCCTGGCCGAGGCCGCCCGCCCTCTCACAGGGGAGCGGCGCTCCCGGCCGCACCTGCCCGGCCCGGCCCGGCCGTCCGTGCCCGCTCGGGGCCGAGGCACACCCTGAGCCCCCGTTACACCGAGGGCCCGCTGGGGCCGGGCCAGGGCCCGGGGATTCCCCTACCTGCTCCTCGGGATGGGGGAGCCCCGCTGCCGCCTCCCGGAGAGCCCCGGCAGCCGCGGGACGGGCGGCTCGGCCCAGCCACGCCTCACCTTCCCCGCCTGCCAACCCGGTGTCCCCAGGACGGGGGTGGCCCTGGGCAGGGCAGGGCCACCCCCGTCCCCTCCCGTCCCCTGCCCGCAGGTAAGCGGTGCTGGTTAAACGCAAGCTCCGAAAAGCAAAGCGTTTGAGCAGGCACCCCAGCCCCTCGCTGCCGCGGGCTGGGCTCAGCCTCCGCCGCAGGAAATCCTCCAAGACTGCGAGATGTGAGGTGACTGACTTTTGTTTGTTTATTTACAAAGTACGAACAGCTGCAGCCCTCCCTAGCTGAAGAGACCCTGTCGCTGGAAGAGGAAAAGCCCTTCAAGACTCGTGGAGGCTGTTGGCAGGAGCATCTCGGGGACATCGATTGATTTATTTGCTTATTCAGTAGGCTGGTTTGGCTGCTTGGTCTGACTTGCCCAGATTGTCACTGAGATATTTGGAAGCTTGAACGTACAGGTTAGTCTCATTTAGTCTCTAAGTTTTTATCTACAAACTTAACAGCTACTAAGTAATCCTGATATTTTAGAGATTACTTAATTTGTGGCTGTTCTGGGAACAGTATGTTCTATAGGTTCTGGTGATTCTTAGTTCTCTGTTTCACACCACAGCTAGAGCCAGAGTTTTTCAAAGCAGAAGTTCCTCAAACTATTTTGTTATACACGGAATCAAATGTGGGCAATTTTAACACTGCACTGACACTTACTCATTGACTACTAAACTAGATATTAAGGTAGAGGAAAGATCTTTCTTCTGTTCTTCACAAAGCAGGCAACAATCATGGACTATAGAATTATCAAAGTAGATGTTCTCATTATTGTTAAAAATATGTCATATCATTTGCTAAGCAAATTACAAGTATTCTACAAAAACTGTGGAGAACAATCCAGACATGTCCTGTCCCTTCCACCCCTTTTAACCCTTCTTTGGTATTTCTTTCATTTCACGTTCTGGTGCTATTATATTTACCAAATGGAAACATGTTCAAACATCCTACCCACTAGCTGCTGATAAGTGAAGATGAAAGATTATGCCCTGCTGTGTCTGCATAAACTGTCTCACATCAATCCAAGGTATGTACTGCTAGCTGGAGGCACATTGCAACACTTCCAGACCCAAAGCTGTTGGGAGGTACACAGAAAATTAACTTATTCCTGATTTGGCAAACAGAAGGATTTATACAGTCAGCTTGTTTCTCTTTGGTCACCACTTCTATCCATATTTAATTTTGGAAATGTTTCTCATTAACTCTCAAACAGTGGAAGATTGTGCAAGATTTTTAGTTTTTGTATTATTTTGCATGACCAAAAAACATCTGTGACCTATCAGCAGTGCCTGACAGCAGTTAGTCTGAAATTATGTCTTTTCAAGCATGCTTGTGTGGTCACCAGGTCCTCCACACCAACTGACTTGAACTGCAAAAATCAGGGCAATACTTGCCCTGATTTTTTTTTAGGACAAGTGCCAATAACAAGCAAACATAGTTGTTAGTTTTTTAAAGGCAATTATAGAATCCAGTAATCTCATGTTTTACCTGCACCTGGTAAATCACCCCTTCTACATAAGAAGAGTCATACCATGTCTCTAAGACAACCACAAGTATATTCAGGGCAAAACTGTGGTTTATAGCAATAATCATATTTTTTGGATTTGGCTGCCATATGTATTCATCATATATCTTTCTCACCTGAAACTGAGCAGGGCAAATAAAAATATAACAGACTTTAAAAAGTACTTTATGTAATTTTTTATACCATTTCTACTTTAAGCTTTGTTGCACAAGGTAACTTTGATGAAGACATTAAGATTATCATTGTATGTACAAATCTTTTAAAGTTATAAGAATAAAAATATCAAGAAATGTAACTGCAGGTAATTATTTACATAAGTTAAAGGTAAGTAGTTATATAAGTGTACACTTAAAACTGCATAAAATGTATGTAATACATGATTTGAGAACAGAAATTTCTTCTATTGAGGAAGAAATATTCAAGAACACTATAATTTACAGGGTATGCAAGAATTTTGATTTAGAGAGGTTAAGCTAGGGCAGGAAAATCAGAAATTTAAAATATAAAAGTTATGCTGCAGTGTTTGATTGCATCACCTTATTCTGTTGTTTTGTTTCATCATCCTTATTGCCTTCATTGTGGTAACCAGTTGTCATGGTGAGCAGAGAAAGTTGAGCTCCATTGCAAAGCCAGAGTTGCAGGGCTCACTGGGAAGCCACCTAGCAAAAGATGCCAGCAGATGCTTGAAAAAGGAGAAGCCAAGGTGTGGCAGTAGTTACTGCCTTGGAGGGAACTTGCCAGGGGATTAGCCATGGCCTTCATATCAATGTTTTCATTAGTCCTGGTAGTATAAAAAAATGGAATTTTTCCTATGTAATTTACTAATGGCATAGTTAGAAAAGAAAATATGACCCTGCAGCTTGGCTCATGCTGATTTTTACCTATTTACTCCTCCTGCACTCAGAAATTACACCACTATTTTTTTTTATTTTATTTTAAACATAAAAATAGCCGTTTGCCATCCAGAATCACAGACTAAGGAGAATTGTGGTCAAGATTCCTATGATTCACCAGTATAATATATATTTTAAATAATTTTTTTTAAATATAGGAAATGCTGCCTTAAATCAGGTGAACTGTTTCCAGTAGAGTTAGAGAAGTACTAAAGGCTCCTGCAATGCACTGATGCAAGTCTTTATTATAGAGTGAGAAAAGTGGTCAGAATCCATGGGATATTGGTTAAAATTGGGGTTATTGGAGATGAAGTCTTTATTATAGAGTGAGAAAAGTGGTGAGAAAGAGAGAATGTGAGAAAGAGAATCCATGGGATATTGGTTAAAATTTGGGTTATTGGGGATAGTCTGAGAAGGTAAAAGGAGATGATAGCACAGATAGTCTCCTGTCTCTTCCAATGCTGGGAACCCAGAGCTGTGCAGCCTCAGCCAGACCTCTCGTCAGCACATGCCACATCACTCAAATCCCATCTGTGGGGACATTTGCCAGCACTGGGAGCTTTAGGGCTTTACAAGGTGTCTTGAGAATAGAAAACTCTATTCATCATCTTTACTGTCGTGAAAAAAAAAACAGTCTATGAAAACGGGCTGTTTCACTTCAAGTTAAGCCAAGACAACGGGTGGAGCCGTCACCAAGTGCCAAGTGTCTAAAGCTCCCCCACACAGGTGAGCTGGCTCCACCTGTACCTGCAGCACGGGGTACATCCAGTACAGCCCAGGGCCTGCACCCACTTGCATCAGCTCTCATGGATCAGTAACCTCTGCATGCCCACACAACCCTGACCACACTCTTCAGCGTACTGGCCCACCTTCAGACAAAATGCTGTGCTCTGTTCTGTTAGTACGCTCAAAAATTGCAAGAGACTTCACTGAACTATGGGTGTACTAGGGGAAATAAGAAGCTTATATCTCAGGAAGGTTTTAAGTTAATTTGGCTTGATTAGGTTAAATTGAAATGAGATTATAACTTCTGCCTATAAGCAATACATCCAGTATATACCAATGAACACCTCCTTTGTTAGGATGAAGCGTGGTAACTCACAGACAGAACAGCATAACTGGATACCTGAGATAGGAATGAACTAGCCAAAGGGCAGGGGCAGCCCCTTCCCATCCTGTGTTTCCCAAACTCAGGCCTTCCAGGTACTATATAAACATATTGCATAGGCATCTACAGCCAATTTTTTGGTCACAGACAAAGAAAAAAAATACATTTATAATCAAATACATGTGACACTCGCTGTCATAAAATTGTACCTAGGAGGTTTGAGATTAAGTACTCTAAAAACTGGAAGGCAGCATTTGGCCTTACAGTTTAAATGGTAAAAAGATTACATGGAAATTACCAAACAAAATTCTCCATGAGTTTCCTCTTGCAAGTCTTCACAATTACTTAGTTGAAATGTTCTCAGCAGACTTAGGATTGCATATTGCACATTGCACTTTATCTCTGCAATTACACAAGCATAACCCCTATTGCAGGCAGAGACAAGGTTTAATGCCATCTTGTAACAATTAAAAATGTTGGTGCAAGGAGTCCTACAACCAACTAACAACAAGAACTTTGAGCTAAATGAGAAACAGGAAAGAAATACATAATGTAAGTATTGCATCAATCACCACAACTTTCAAGAAAATGCAAAACAGAGAAATGTAGGTCTCTAACTTCCTAAAGGGGCTTCTTTCGACAATTCAGAGACAGTCAAATCTCCCACTTGTAGAGGGTTTTTTATTATTTAAAACTAGTCAAGAAATTACTCCAGCATCTTTGTAAGAACTTCACTGTAGGTCATTAAAACAAGTTTCTACCAGATGCCAGCAT